CTACTGTGGGGGAGAACAAACCAGATTTCAGCAGAGGAACAAATCAGGAAAAAGAGCTGGAAGTGGAGAAGACACACATTGATGAAATCACCCAACTGCGTCGCAAGGCAAGCCCTCACACGGAATCCTGATTACTATAGGAGAAGAGGAAGTCCAATGAACACATTAGGCTGGAAAATGTAGACAAACATGTTAAGGATGAACAATAATTGGATAGAACTAGAACCGAAGTCCCAGGGCAGAGTGGGTTTGACAATGCTGGTTAGTGATCTATCCTCCATTGGGGGTAACATGTGTAAGTAAGTAGTTTACTATGTAGAATGATTCATCAATATATATTTAAGCTATTAACATTTAAGGTAAATTGAGATTAATATGCGTTGACTGTCACTTGTGATCAAGCATACACGTTTATACCAACACGATAGTGATTAAAATAGGCGAATTGTTACTGCTCGACTAACACTGTCTGTTAAATATTTTAATGAAAGATCTTGACAAAATTAACCGTAATCATCGTTAATTGTAGGAGAGTCTCTGCGATCTTAGCAAGTACCAGAACTCAGCTTCAGATGTATCACACTACTACAAGTACCACGAAACGTTTTCAACAGTGTGTTGATGAACCGGATGAAAGTTCAGTAGACGTCCAGCTTCCAGATCAACAGTCAGAATTCCGTAAGCATCGGTTGTACACAGACCAAATCGTGACATTACAGATCATCATTAAACAATCAGTTGAATAGAACTCATCAATATACATCATATACATGAATTGGAATAGATAATTGCGATGAATGAAGTAATAATAAAATGCAATACCTCAGACGTCTTAATAGTCCTGGTGAGTTAGTGTTTGACAAAATTTTGACACACATTCAGAAAGCTCAGTTGACTTTAACAAACTGTCTACAACTGTGGCTCAGAGTGGATATCCATATACCAACAAATAGCTGAGTTTACTTCCTAATACTTCCCCATGATTCAAATTGTGAATGTGTTTTTTTTAATTAGAGGACATTTGAAGATAACTAATATTTGATAACAGATATCTTAGGGAGTATTGTTTTCTTACACTGTGACAGTTGAGGTTAGTCTCTGTATCCGACGCAAAGTATTGATTGGTAAGAATCCAGGTCTTATTCTAAGGTGGTTGCGACATAAGAGATAACTGCTTATAAACATGTAACAGTACTCCAGATCAACTTGTTCACGAACCAACCCCTTGTTCACTTTTTAGTACATTTTTTATTCTTACTATAAACCCTCCTACTAGCAGCTCATCTATTCTCTCATGCCCCGTCGACATTAACAATTCTAGTTCATAAAATGATACTCTTCATCTACTGAAATGGGACTCCACTTTTCATTAAAAGCTTTATATCACATGCCACTTGGATAAGATACTCATCTCAGGGGACACTCGTGAGCATAATCTGTCCAAATTCTTTTTGTTTCGCCTGATATTTATAAAACATTAGCCGTAAAAGTAAAGCTTCCTTAGGTCACTGGTATTGGATCACAGGTTTTTCATAACATTTCTCGCTTAAGTCATTACCATTAAATAAGCCATGTTGAGGTTAGAGAAAGATTACCAACAAAGGATACCATTAATCATTCATAGAGAAGTAAATTTTAAGAGACTGATGTGGTTACTTATGCCTAACCACTGTCTGCCTTTACCCCTAATGTTCCCCGGTTTATAGTCAAGTTGGAAAAACACCCACGAATGACCAAATTGAAGCATTTTGATAGTTCATCAAGTCACAAACTGTTAATCTAATCCATTTTGGTAGATTTAGACTACCAGATTTCAGTTCACCTGATTATCGTGACTAATGCTAGTTGACGTTAAGTGATATGGTTCAGAATCGTTTGGAATGACACAAACAGATTCATCGAATGTCATCCTTTTATAACGCTTGGTTTCCTCCGTCTACACGAATGGAACGCTAATTTGCCTTAAACGATTGTAATTCCTCAAGAAAATTCATAATGACAAGACTTGAATACAGTAAAAAGACAATGAGATTGTCAAATTATATTTTAAATCATTCCATTCAGTCAACTCAGTCAGTCAGTCACAACGTAGAACTTCGTACGTACGTACATCAGTTCCAGTTACCATACCAAATTAGCACAGAAACGAAGTTGTCGATTCAAATCTAATAGTGGTAGAAGTGGTAGGAGTATAATCAGAAATCCGAAAGATTAGGGTTTGAAGATGTTATTGAAGGAGTATAATCCAGTGAAATAAATTGGGAAAGAGAAAAATGATAGAGACATGAAGAATTCAGAAGATCAGAATTTGGCAGAACACAAAATGTGGATGCACCTTCGCCATTGCAAACGATTTTGAGCCATGTCATTCCAGGTCTCTAACCATCGGTTATCATCTTGCGAATCCCAACCAGGTAGTCTACACGTACCAACATGGCTCAGTCCACTTGTTAGCGACTTCATGGATTTATGCCGCGTTTTGGTCTGGCCGCCCCTAGCTTTCAATCAACTACTCCAAGCCTTACACTCACATACCACACAGAGATGAATATCGGAATCTACTATGTTTGAACAGATTATGAGTTCATCTCATCTGCGAGTAGAATGAACACTTAGTGACACAATGACCAATTCAGCTAACTATTGAGATACGTCCCAGCTCCGCTAACTAGAGAAAGAAGTCCAAGTTAAGAAGAGGGAAATATATTCCATAATCAGTCAGAAGCACGAACAACAACAACAACAATAAGCACAACTCAAGAGTATATACACAGCGTTACAAAATAGTATATTAAAACAGACAACAAACCAAAAAACATTTAAGATCCTCTCAAATGGGACATACGACATGAAGGTAAAAACGGGGGCTTCCCCCCCCCCCAAAGAAACAAGAAATTCAAATTCTTAAAATAGAATTACAAAAATTAATCATTAACCAAATGAGTTCTTAAGATCTAACATTTCCAACTGAATCCTACAATGGTTCAGTCCATACAAAGTACGGCGAGACAATAACTCATGGATGACCTTTGAACGAATCTCAAGTGGTCAGTCAGTCAGCTACAATGTAGGACCAGGCACATATATGCATCGGTCCAAGTTGCCATACTTAATTTGCACAATAAGATCAACACCGAATTTATAGGAGTAGTTACTTCTGTGGTAGTAATATTTAAGAGAAAGATTGTGTAAAGGATATAATATAGGAAGAAAAAAAGATATGAAGCAATTTTATTCTCAAGGTTTAAAGGAAGATTAAGAGAGTATACATCTACGCTATTATGATCAATTCTGAGCCATGTAACCTAGAGTCTCCAACCATTGGTTACGATAGTCACGCGGACCCCAACCAGGTAGTCTGCATCTGCCAATATGGCTCAAACTAGAGGTTAGTGACCGATACCACGTTTTGATTTGGCCGCCCCTAACTCTCTTCCAACCATCCCCAATGCTAGTCAGCATTGCGCGTCGTGGTAATTGGTGTTCATGCATACGTAACACATGGCCCAACCATCTCATTCGATGAAGATTCATCACCTCATCAACTGATTTACCATCATTCCCTAATACCCTGCGTCTAACCTCGCTATTACTTACCCGGTGATCCCAGCAGATGCGAGCAATATTTCTAAGACATCTATGGTCAAATACTAGTAAATTGCGAGTATCTTCTACTCATAATGGCCATGTTTCACAGCCGTAAAGTAGAACAGAGTGAACTACTGCGCAGTAAACTCATCCCTTATTTTGTAGACGGGTAATCTTAAGTGACCTTGGGACATATTAACCAATCAGTAAACAGTCAGTATAGAGTAAAAATATATTCTACAAAACCAAAGAATCATAGTGAATACACTTCGTTTACATGGTCCAGAAACTTGTCAACGTTAGAAAAAGGTTCAAAGGTTCTAAAATCGTAATGCATAAGGTAGAGGAACTCATCCATATGGCTCCATAATAGTTGGTCTCTGGAACCATGATAAAGTCACAAAAAACCCCTCAGCCTCGACCACATAGCTTCATTATTGTTTGTGTGTACTACGATTGTGTAAATTTACCATTTTTATTATGGATATGTCCCTACAATACTCATACCACTGAACAGTCAAAGTTTCAGTAGCATCCGCGATTATTGCAGTCAATATTACTGGTGGTTTTATTATACAGTTCGTGGGGATTAATATAATTTGCCTTAGCCTCAATCTGGATCGAGCAAAAAAGATTCCTATCCTAGCAAACGTCTTTCTCTAACATATGTTACATCGAAGGACAACGTCACGGTAGTCTGCACAAAGTCTACAAGTCATTTGATAACCACAATTACAAATAAGGGAAAGTCTTAGTATTCCTATTTATTGTAGCCGCTTAATTGTGATGTCTTCTCTAAAATCCTCTGTGAACTGATTGTACATGAGCATTGGGTACTGAAATTGGTACTGTGACCTCGAAATCTTTCCAAGGCTTCTGATTGACTCATCCATAAATTATAGTCTCGCCCTTTATAAAAGAAGGCCGTATGCCAATTCCTTATGATTTTATGTCCTGCTTTTATCACGTGAATTATCCACCAATCAAAATTTGACTCTTCTAATCTTAACACTGTGCCAAATCAATGATGTTCAACTCGTATGAGTAGTCCAGCGTCCTTATTTGTCCCTTGTCCACCTAGCCCTTCCAATTGAGTCCAAAAACACTAATTGCAGCTTCTGTTATGCGAATCATTTATTTCAAACATACTCTGTTTATATACCAGACAGATAGACCACATCAACACCATCAAATAGAAAATAATATTTGTACAAGATCAAGCCAGAATGTGGCTGTGAATGTGGGAGACAATAATCAATCAACTGAATAGAATTTAAGAACAGTAAATTGTATAATACTAATCAATAGGTCAAAATGAAGCTTATAATAAAAGGAATATAGATATACATTATCTAATCACTGAATAATAGTCGATTTATACGTCCTGGGAGTTACCTGTACTTATGTCATCACTAGGATTCAATAATTCGATTACAAACCATTACCATTAAGCTAGTAGTTATGAATATAGCAATGATTAATGTAGATACAAACCATAGAATTCCATTAGAATCATTTCTCATATAGAAATCCTCAGTTACATTGTTCCAAGAAGAATTGACGACGGACTGTTGTTTATCGATCTGTAATGGTTGTTCATGTCTCATTGAACAAACTATTATCGATAATCGATAATATTTCTTATTGGATTGAATAGCATTGAATCTAAATACCTTTGTTACATAACGATGAAACATGAAATTCGATGAATGATTTCTTCTTTTTAAAAGAATAATCCAATTTTGATTAGATAATCTGTTATGATTGTGAAATGGAGATAAACAAATGAAAATGGAACATTTCTTGAAGATTGAACAGATTGATCGTTCATCCTTTAGATGAGATTTCGAAGGTGAATCATTTGAGATTTGGATATGATCTATGTATTCAATGAGATTTCTACTTTTAGAATCCTTGTAATCATATATTAATGGACATGATGTTCCTTGAATGTAACATCTTGATGTAAACATAGAAGATTGTGCTTCTATCAAACAAACATAATGTCTGAAATAACAATGTAGAGGAAATTTGAAAGAGTCACTCATGAGATTTCTTATCCTAATATATTCACTAGGTACCGAAATCAGGATACTTGAAAACAGACACACGAATAGCCAGCCGGAACTTTGCATAGAAACAAGCTTCATTTTGGCGCAGTGATCTCAAATATTGTTCATAATATATATTATTTATAATGACTATTAACTGACCAATCAGGATTCAGTATTGTTTAACCAATCAAATTATTACGATGATTGCATGTTGAGAACATGAAAGTTTCTAATTTTAGAAGTCATTTCATTAAATCCAATAATAGATAGATTCAATTGATTATAAACAGTTATGCTTCTATTGTAGTGAATAAGAATACAAGTGGGGACAATTAAATGTATTCGAACACAAAATAACAGAATCTTTGAGTAACATCTAAGAACTATACAGTATATAATTCATTTGTAAAATGCTAATCAATCATCTCAGACTTGATTGTTCATTCGTTTCCATACCAATCATTCTCTGTTCTCGTTCTCTTTCGTTCGGTGTTCTTAATCTTCTAATTCCAGGTATTTCACTTTGGATTGATGATACATACTACTTATATCTATCGACGTCAGTAGTACATACACCATACCATGAATAATTCGTGCATAGAACAGTTTTATTCATATCATGTGATGATATTTGCCGACATAGCTTAAATTTGAGTGTAAGCGTCTGTAGTCGATTGTATGTCTTCCTCTTGAGTTCATCTTACGTATGTTCGACAGTGTATTGGATGTAGATTGTGTATTATCTAGAATTCATTCGTTAGTATTAGAATTAACAACCGAAATCGGAACAGACTCATCTGATTCCTGGAATTGTGTACAATCATTATGTCGGTTGTGTAGTGAAACCACTGATGTCTAAAATCTGCATCATAGACTTTCCAACACTATCTTCCCCCACGAAATAATGTTCGGTCCTTACGTCGCAATGTTATAACCAAGACGACGTTCCCAATTTGCATTACCTTTTCAAATCTCACGCTTTGATTACCGTATGTCAGTATTTGGGGATAAACACTGACACGTAATTTGAGACCTTCCGTCATGTGATCTAGACTTGCATAAAAATTATGATACATATTCTTTTTGCCATTCATATTAGAATACACAGGTAGATATGCCTTGATATGTGTAATTAACATTCATTCAGGCTTGATTCACCTGCGAAACAATGGAATGGAAAACATGCATCTGCCTCATACTAATTAGGATATTCTTGGACTTGATTTGGATTATCTGCCTGTGCAAACTCCATATCTCGGCAAACTGGTTCTCTGATTGCTTCAGGAAAACTTGCCATTCCCTCTGATTCATCAAACCACTGACTAGGGATTCTACTCGACAAACATTGTTCGTGAGAATATCGAACATCTGATACAATAACATCAGAAATATGACTAGAATTCGACTCATTCAGAACATATTTGTTACATTCATTAGGAATATCATTAGAGATAAATTGATTGTGAGGACCACTGACACTTGATATGACATCAAGATTTGATTTCTCTGAAGTATTTCCCTCGAATTTATTGAGAGTTTCATTAGAGAACAATGGATCATCAGGAAAATCAGCGTCTACCGAAACTGGATCCGGTTTTTGATCATGATTTGACTCATTCAACATATTACTCTCTGAGTTGTAAGAAATTCCATTGGAAATATGTGAATCATAATGACAAACCATATCTGGTACAATAACATGAGAAATCTGATAAAAAGTTGGTTGAACAAAACTCCATTTAATCATCCACCATATTGATTAAAGTTTGACAAAAATAAATGTGCTGTAGGGCCAGTGTGATGTCACTGAAACCTAGCCAAATCATCCGTCAGTCGGGTCACTAAATATCGAACAGATCATCGTCAAGGTCAAGGACAATCAGCGCGCATCAGTTGATCATACGTCATGGACTGGCCCATGCGGCAGTGGTTCTACTCTCGCTTGTATCTACTTTAACTAATATATTCCTGTAATAACGTCCTTTGTATTGTGCAGTCTTCGGAGCATCCATGGTCCCTTGATACGTCGATGGGGCAATCCACGTAAGGTGTTGGTCGCGAGGTGTGATTTCGAAGTTAGCTTGTTCGTTACATCGTTCCCGTCTTACTCAAGTAGGCCTCCATTCATTCGACATAGATCATAAACGTGATGGTCTACAGTGCCTATTGAAATTATTGTGAGTAGCATAAAACGTTTGAATAATTTTCTGGTCAGCGTTTTTCTAGCGAGATAGTTTTTCTACAATTGAAGGACATATGGAACTCAGAACTACTGTCTGTCAACTAATTTCAAAGTGAGAATCTTCAATACGAACGTCAAGACAGTCAGTCCTACTGTACGGAGATGAGACGTGGAGAACTACTATATCCATCGTCAAGAAGGTACAAGTATTTATAAACAGTTGTCTACGGAAATTACTAAACATACATTGGCCAGATACTATCAACAACAGCCTTCTGTGGGAGAGGACATTATAAGTGGATAGGAAATACATCAAGGAAATCACCAAACTGAATCACGAGGCATTCCCTAACTTGGAATCTGGAAGGAAAGCGGTAAAGCGGAAGGCCAAAGAACACATTACGCCGGGAAATAGAACCAGATATGAAAAGGATGATTGTTAACTGTAAAGAACTGGAAAGGATTACCCGGGTCAGAGTTGGATGGAGAATGCTGGTGGTCGGCCTATGCTCCACGAGGGATAACAGGCGTAAGTAAGTAAGTATGATGCTTTATTAGGTTACATGATAAGTCTTCGTTGTTTGGAATGTTAATTATTTGATTTGAGTCCTAGTGTAGACATGAATACTGAGATATAAGCTGACTGGTTCAAGATTGGAGTTCATACTGGTCATGAGTTTCATCACTGAACTCTTCATTGAAAATAACCAACCTGTGGAAAGTATCATAATACTTATCAAAGTACTCAGCAAAACAACAGAAGGTTATTACTAACCAGATAATCGGTTGTTTGTTTTTCTCGAAATTCCTTGGAAAATGATGAAGAAAGTCATCAATTTAGATTTTTTCCAAGACATTACTGAGAAGTCCCATAATAGGATGAAACGGTCCTTCAGTACTTCCAGGTTTTCCATAGTGATCCAACTTCAATTGACTTATGAACTTAACTGTTAAATTCAAAAGTCAACAACAATTTAGCTGTCTACATCTGTTGAAATATTCAATAATTTGAAATATCTGTTATAATGGACTGTTTTACTTGTTTACAAAAATGGGACGTTAATTTACCTAAGACGAATGTCTACACTAGATTCCATCTCAGTGTCTTTTGAGATGGTGGAGAAGATTTGTAGCTCAGGTGGGTGATTTTGATGTAGGTTTGTTCTCTGTGTTGGATGGTTTGGTAGTATAGCTTTCATCGACCTTCTGAACGACATCATCAGCACAATGTCTCAGTGTCTATTCTACAGGACTTCAACATAAGTCAAATCAAGAATATGTAATTAACCCGACTAGAACATGAATATATCCCCCCCCCCATTAAAACCCAACACAATTCAACAACAAATGGACAATCAATCAATAATAATAAATCATAAGGATAGGGGAACATATAACTCATCTGACACCTGTTAGACTATCTACATGTCTGACTAAGTGAAACAACCAATCAATTATCATTCTCGTCCACACATCAATATCAGAAACCATCTTCAATAAAATTTCAACGAGCAGATGGCTATCAGTACTCAGTAGCTAAGTGAATAACACCATAACGTTTGAAGCGAACGTTACTTGGTGCGGGTCTCAAAGTGAACATCAACTCAGAGATACAGGTACATCCAGCTGACGAGTCCCAAATAGGACGAAACGAGCATCCTAGATTCCCCTTCTAGTCACTATCCATTTTTGCTTGTGAGTTCAGGCAATATCAAGGCAGTTGCCACAGGATGCACATATGCCAATAAGAGACTGATTAATTGCAGTTCTTAATAACAGTAGAAATAATTTAAATAATTTTTCTGGTTAGCTTTTTTTAGCGAGTTGTTTTTCTACGGGATAGGGTCGCTAACCCCATGCCCAACTCTCCTCCTTTATCCGGTCTTGGGATCGGCAGTAGCCTCTGGAGGAGCTACAGGAAGATACAAGTAAATAACATCAAGTGAATAAAAGTTAGATAACCTTGTTAATATCCAATAATATAATCAATACAGTGATCATGTGACTTGAAAGAATAAATTTAAAATACCCTCTAAACTAAAAAAAAAAAGAAAGATCTAATCATTATGCATTCACATTGTTATATTACATAGAAGATCATTCTATTTCAATGGAGTTAGGATCAAGATCCCCACAAACAACTATTCTGCACAGATTAGATCTAAATTAAGAATTAATAATGAAAAATAAGTATTTAAGTCGGTTAATGAAAATATTTCATTTGATCCCTAAAACTAAAACTGATCTAGATCAAAATGAATCAAGATCAAATGATCTCCATATAATATCTTCTATTTATCCATTGAATAAAGAAGGATCTATTGAAGATGATCGTGATGAAAATGATCGTGATGATGATCTTTTCATTCCTAAAACTAAAAATGATCTAGATCAAAATGAATCATTTTCAAATGATCTTTATCGAATATCTTCTATTCATTCATTGAATATAGAAGGATCTATTGAAGATCATGATGATCGTGATGATGATCATTTCATTTCTAAAACTAAATCTGATCTAGATCCAAATGAATCTAGATCAAATGATCTCCATATAATATCTTCTATTTATCCATTCAATAAAGAAGAATCTGTTGAAGATCATGATGATGAGGATGATGATCCTGATAATGACGAATTCTCATCAACTTTAACTATTCCAATTCAATTCATGCAACATAATTCATTGAATTCATCTAAGAATAATAATAAACCTGATCTTATTCAATATGTATTAGGTGATCATCAAACTACATTGAATCATTTAACAACTAAGAAGAAACCAGAAATCAAATTACGTAATCATGATATTACACAATTATCTAATCAAAATATAAAAATCCATAATCATTATGATGCTCATGATGATGACAAGAAGAAGAAGAAGAAGACGAAACTAAATGAAGTTCCTATAGGAAACTTAAAAAATTCTACTACTTATCAACAATATACTACTGATATAAATAAAAAATCAATAAAGGAATCATCCAACAAAAACAAATTAAAACAAAAAATGAATTTAAAAAATAATAAAAACAAAAAATCTAACAGTTGCCATAGCAACAAGGATCAAGATCATTTAAATCAAAAAATTACAAAAAAATTAGAAATACCAAAAAATGATTTCATTCATGAAACAAATAAGATATCCATTAATATCAATGATCCTACTCATAATCATATCGATCATATTCAAACAGAAATCAATACCATTGAAATATTAGATCCAATCAAATCGATTGATGATCCAATGATGAATGGATCTAAAGAACCAATCAATAATAATAAATCTGTTCCATTGAATAATCACTTGGAAACAAAGAATATAGAAGAAACAACAGTTAATGCAATACAGAATGATAATGAAGACAAAAAGCTGGAACCTAGAATCAATACTGAACATGACAACCATATTGCTGCTGATGATGATGATCATGGTAATAATATCCATTCAATATCAAAAGACAATGTAACTAAGACTGATCCAGAAAACAAAGTCATACCAATCACTAATGTAAATTATAAAAAGGAGATTCATCCTATACAAAAGGTAACTAATAATTACCTTGACAACAATTATACGAATACACTAAGAAGTATGAATTATATGAAGAAGAAGAAGAAGAGCAGAAGATGTACAAAGTGTAGAAATCACATGATCAAATCATACCCGATATCAAGTTATGAATCGTCTAGTGAGAACCTTTCAACTCAAACTTATTCAACATACAATGATCAAGATGATCATGATGACGATGATGGTTACCAATGTAAGTGTATACAATTACATAATCAATTACATAATCATTCATCAATTCATCATAGATGTATAAGATCCTATCCATATTCTAGATGGAATAATACATTAAACAGATTCAAACAATTGTATCCAAATCAATTGAAGCATCCAAGACAATGTTGTCATGGTAACTATTATAAACAGAACTATTCAAATAAAAATCGACTTTTTGATCTAAAACGAATGATTAGATCATTAGAAAAAGACCTTAAGTATAGATTACCATCTAGAGATAGATTCAGTTTGAATGTTAAACATAGAAATGGATCTTGTAAATGTACTACTGATTCATTTGTACCATCAAAAGAGTATGATTATTCTATGAATCAAGATCATTTCAGTAATATACCATCTAATACAATACAACAATCACAATTGAATACTATTCCATCTCCTATGAATATACAATCATGGTATCATCCTTCAATGATACCAATGATATCTCAACCAAGATTAATAATAAGACAAATACCAATACCAGTATACCCGTACAATCCACAATGTACAACATCAAATCAATCCATTCATTCATATCCATTAACTATCATGAATCCATATGGTAATACAACTATACCACCATCAATACATTATGGTTTACCATACTATTAGTATTGATGATATTTATAATCATCATTAATGAAATATAATTTTCATAGTTATATCGTTTGTAGCTTTTATGTGATAGACTGATGGTAATTCAGTTAAGATGATAGTTGGAGGTAAGTGACAGAAAACCCTCGTCAGTAAGGTGTACCTGTAATCTTGGGGGTAATTATGACCCCCGTTCCGTGTCATCCAACTTCATAGTCAGAGATGTTACCGTTGGGATAGGTTGATAAGATTTAATCTGAACTAAGGAAGATCTGATACACATGACAATGATCCCTTTCTAGTCATCAATTAATTGTAAATAATTCAGCTAATTAGTTATGAATAACGTTGAATCTGACACAAATTTAAATCAGTTCAAGGATGTATTAATCTTTGAACTGGATCATAAAACTATGACATAGAAAAATTGGTAGAAACACTCTTTGACTCAATAGCGAAGTGGATAACACGATGGCGTATAAAGGGAATGTTACTGGGTTCGATTCCTACAGTAAATATCAACTCTGAGATGCCGTATATCTAGCGGAAGTGTCCCAAATAGGATGAAACGCGCCTCTTGATTAAGTAAATTGCCGTATTCTTTTCAATAAGTTTTGGATCATAGATGTTGAGACCTATAAGTGAATAATATCGTGGTTAGGGTAACCAGTACTGTTAATAAAGAAAACAATTCCATTTGATAAATCTGTGAATCTACATACACTGACATGGTTAGAAATACGTGCTATTTATCCTTGTTCACCATCTACTCAGACGTACAATATTGGATGCCAAAGGTATATCATTAAACTTTGGATCTATTGACTCCTCATCTGAATATGAACCACAATATGCCTTTTTCATGTCTAGGGCCCTTACATTAGTCATAATGAGTGGTTAAGGACGTTCAGTAAGGGGACTTATGTTATGTCACTCTGGCATAATTGCATTCATCTTCTAAATTTCTTTAAAATGTCAGGTCAAGTATCACTTCTAAAATGTCACGCTTCAATCGTATTTATTTCATAATGAACATTATTTCTCATTAGTAACGATTTATACTTTCCTGTTGTTGATATTCAAGACAGCGTCTGATCGGTCCATATTACTGTATATGCATCCTGAAAGGATTATCTTAATAAAACATCTTTGCAAGTCAAAACGTACGTTTCGTCTAACTCGGAACTCTCTAACTGGATGTATTTGAATTTTAGAGTTGATTTTCATACAGAAACTTGAACTCATTACTTTTCATTCGAGATAACAGATAATGACATCGACTTTCTATGCGAAGATCAACACTAAGTTCCTGTTACATCCAATTGATGAGTGTGAAAAGAAACGAAATCCAATTCCTGGATTGAACAATTATTTCTTTTTCCATAGCTTCAAGACAAGTTAATCTTTTCTTTAATTTTATTAACATAAACCATTCACATTTATAGTTACATAATATACCTTTGTGGGCTAGGGTAATTTTGCATTGGTTTTCAAGAGAACCAGACACCAACCAGGCTTTCACGTGATAACTCAAACAGTATAGCTCAATCCTTTTTAACAGGAGAGCTACACACCGCTGTGTGGCTTAATCCAAACAGTACAGCTCAGTCCCGCCCCACAAGAGAACCAGATAATATATGGGCTTCAAAGCTACAATCTGAATAGAACAGCTCAATTATGTGGCGCAACCACACAGGTACCAAGCACCCTGGTGGACCATTCGCATCATTCATATACACATTTACATCACATGTATAATTATTCCGATCAGTGATCGCGTAGGTCGATTATGTACAACATGAACAGGCCAAATTTGACCCATTCCTCTTACACGACAGTCAAACTCATTACTATTAACAATAGTGACATACCTTACAATGTTCCAATGGCGATGGCCCTTGAGAACACTGAAAAACAACTACCAGTATGAATGAAATCGGTTAACCAGAAAATTAACTTTCCACATGAACAGTCATCAAAACTTGCCAAAGTAATGGCAAACCATCCATAATGTCAATGGTAAACCTCTAATCTCATATAAGACCTTTAGATCTACATGGCAATATAATATAACCCATTACATATTTTTATTTCAAGTTACTTATTCATACTGAAGAGTCATCAAAATGGAGACGAAACATCCCTATAGTCTTACATAATCTTTAGAATATCTTAACTTAAAATTATTTCACTCTTAAAGTTTAATTTACATGTTTCATACAATTTTCTACACAATTCATCGTCTAGAGTTAATCTAATCCATGTGAACATAAGGAATATGTCAATTTACTCGTCAAGTGTTGACTTTCAAACCGGTTCCTTTTTTAAACAAGTTTTTTGTTTATTTACATAAACATTAAAACAATATTATGAATTTTATAGTTTAATTCATTAGTCAATTGAAGGCTAGACCATCATAGAAAACCTAGAAGCACCGAATAATCGATTCGTCCTAGTATGGGACTCCTTGGCTGTACGCTCCCAAGATTCGAACCCAGGACCCCTTAACCCCACGCATGAACGCTTAACTTCTAGATCACTGAGCCGGCATTCAACAGTGTTAATGTCTAACTTCAACTAATCTAATTAATCCAGCTGATTAATTAATCAAACGATAGAAATGAAACTTGTTACCTATTTCAAAACTTTATATACATATATTTACAACTAGTAGTTACCTAATTCAACCCGTAGCCCTTTTACCGTTACTGCCAATGACAATGCATATGAACAACAAAATGAAGATCAAAGTATGTTTAACTGAAGAGTTCTTAGTAAGATAATACAAACATGCTGTAATCCATTGTTAATCATATAGTTCATTGATACTATTAAACATACACCTAATCCATTAAAGATGAAAATAAGCAATTTAACATGGATTGAAAAGATACTCTTTAATGAGAATGGTTATGGAAAAAATACTTGTTAAAAAATCTAAACAGTCTAGAGATTAAATCCTTGAGCATGAGACTTTTAGGTACTGGGTTCGAATCTTGCGAGGCGGGATTGTGGATGAGCACTGTTGAGGTGTCCTACAATAGAACGAAACGGTAGTTCAGTGCTTCCATGTTTTCCATGGTAGTCTAGCTTCAATTAACTTATGGATCTAACTATAAAATTACAAAAATCTCCCAAACCCCCCCCTCTGCTAAAAGCACGCGCATACACATGCAAACACACACACACACACATGAAAATAGTTGCCATATTCAATGGATTTTTATTGTTAATTGATTTAAAGTAAAAACATATAAACCTTCAGTCTATAGATGTATATGTGTGTTTGTTTGTATGTGTGTTATTTGTGTTCCTTTCACCAAATATTGATTATTTGTAAACCAATTATAAAATGAAAGATGGGAAAGGTTAACAAATTAATTGATTTTATTTAATGTGTAAATCTACTAGTAGAAATCAGTAACTGAATGGATAATTCGATGGCATTTGAAGCGAAAGTTTTTTGGTTCGAGTCCCAAAGTGAACAAGTCTGAGATGCAGTTACATCCAGCTGACAAGTCCCAAATAGGACGAAGCGCGCGTCATGGATTCCACTGTTAGTCACTATCCATCTTTGCTTATAAATCAACTGTTTGCCCTATTGTAATAATGAAGAGTTGTTATTACTGTTATGAACAAGAACATAGGTAGTAACAGTTGATGTTCTTTCATTAAATGTGAAAATTAAGCTTTGAATATTTCTGTCGGGTTGATTCAGAAAACTTCTCGCAAAAGAGAAGAAAGACTTAGGAAAAATCAAGAAATATTTTGTCTAATCAGCGTTTGGCTAGAAGTTTTTCTAGAAACATCTAGAAAGTGAAAAGTCACATGTAGAAGTTCTGATTAACTGATTACTATACTGTTACTATGTTTAGAAGTATTCTAGAATGTTCGGGATAACCTAAGGACTTACAAAATACTATCAAAACTCTAGATTTTTCGTATATAAGTGAACCTTTAGAGTAAAGTGCTTCTTGCATATTTTGCCGCCTTTTCTCTCATCTTCAAGTTGCTATGTTGATTTGGCTTAGTGCTTACGAGACAAGCTTAGGATCCGAGAATAGTGTTCAATTAACAAGGCTTATCAACTTCATTTGTAAAAATCCTTCATCAACTGTTTCAAATTTTAATGTTCCTTCATTGCCATAACAACTTTCTGTTGCTGGACAAATGTTTATAAGGGATGTAAATATCAATCAGGGTATTGAATGGTTTCGATAATACTCGGATATTGTTTTGATATGATCGTTGAAAACAATTCACAGAAAGTGTTGGACAAAGATTTCGTTCAAAGATGACCTTTTTTGTTTGACTGTATTTTCTTAGGTTACTAATACTCAATCTAACTTTCATTTTTCAATATCAATCAGCGACATTAACATTGAACTATTTGACGTTCTCATGTGTTTTTGATAAAGAGTTCCTGTGATTTAGACTAGATCTTAATCTTACAGAAAGTATCTATTCTATATAGTTGGGATGATGAGTCAATTGAAGCTAGACCACCATAGAAAACCTGAGAGCACTGAAAGGCCGTTTCGTCCTATTGTGGGACTCCTCAGCAGCGCGCATCCACGATCCCACCTTGAGAGATTCAAACGAAGGACCTACCAGTTTCGCGCCTGAGCACTTAACCGATAGACCACTGAGCCGGCATCTACTCTTTGAAAATGTTTAAAAAACTTTGTTGACAACTGGAATTTTAGGTTCCATTCCTGTTCCCTGGAAACACTTAACATTTGGATCATTAAAAAAGAAATTTTAACAAATTAAATAATATTGTTATGCACTTAGTTCCCTTTATTATCTTGAAGAGAGACACAGAGAGAGGGCAAACAATTGACCAAGATAACATGAACTCATCTTATTTTGTTAAGCTCTCATCAGCTGATTACAATCTGTGAAGTTCACGTACTTTTAAAATCTCCACAAACCCCTCCTTCTGATAATAATCATCATGTGCTCACCAGTGACTGAGTTCAGGAGGTATTTCCTGGAATTCGAGTGAGAAGCAATGACAAGTGGAGTTTAACCGGGTCTGTTGTGAGATGGTAACTCAGTGGACACAATGGTGAACGATTGGTCAATTTCGTGGATTGGTTGAAGTTAGACAATAACACTATTGGACGACAGATCAGTAGTCTAGAGGTGAAGCGCTTGCGCGCACGACTGATAGGTCCTCGGTATGAATCTCGTGAGGCGAGATCGTGGAGATAAAACTTAGAGAATTACCACAACCATCATCAAAAAAAAAACGTGCAAGTATTTATCAACATTCGTCTACACAAGATACTCAATATCCGTTGACTGGATACCATCAGCAACAGCCTACTGTGGTAGAGGAAAAACAAGCCTCCAGTTAAAGAGGAAATTAGAAAAATTCGTTGAAAGTGGATAGGACATATATAACGGGTATCATCAAATTGTATCACGAGACAAGCTCTAAATTGGAATCTTGAAAGGAAACGAAGAAGCGGAAGGCCAAACAATACATTGCGTCGGATAGAGAAATCAGGAAGAATTGGTGAAAGTAGATAAGACACACATTGAGGAAATCACCCAACTGCAACACAATACAAGCCTTCACATGGAATCCTGAAGGCCAAAGGAAAATAGAAAGACCAAAGAACATATTACACCGAGAAACGAAGGCAGACATGAAAAGAATGAACAAAAGTTGGATAGAATTAGAAAGGAAGTCCCAGGACAGAGTGGGTTGAAGAATGTTGGTTGGAGGTCTATGCTCCATTGTGTGTGTGTGTGTGTGGGAGGGGGGTAACAGGCATAAGTAAGTATTAGTGTTTGTATTGATCCAATATATCCATTATTCAAATAATACAAATCAATCAATTAGGTATGAAAAGAAAGTAAGGGATCATTATCTATTTCCCATCTAATACATTAATGAATATATGAAACACAATTGGGAAGAGAAATTCCATTATACTATAATCTGATTGGTTAATTGCATTACACATATTCAATAATCAAAGAATGTGCTACACATAATATAGAACAATGCGTAGGTGGATGTAACTATATACTGATATAATAGATCTATGCAAGACCAAAAAAAAAAAACCAAAAAAAAGGAGGGGAAAACTAGAAAGGAAACCTCATTTTAATCATTCTTATTTCATTTAAATTACTTTTCTTGATTTAAACTATTCTCCTTATTATCAATTCATAAAGATTAAATAAAGTATAATTCATTATCATGGAACATATTAAAAAGAAAATGTTGGCAATGAAATTGGATAAAGAGAATGCTGTAGATGAGTAAGTTGGGTGGGGGATGAAATTGGGGGGTTATATTTTTTTTTGTTTGTTTTTAAAAGTTAAATTGTGATTTGTGTTTATGTATTGAGTTTGTGGTGTTTGTTAAGTTTTTTTTTTATTAGGATCATATCATGAATTGATAGAAATTGAATGCCAACTTAATTGTCTAAAGGTTAAGTGTTAGTACACGAGACTGAAGGTTCTGGATTCGTGCTCCACGTGTAGAATCATAGATTTATTCTTCAGAGGAGTCATATGTTAAGACGAAATAATTGTGGTGATTATGAGTATATCATTGGATTGATGGAAGTTAGACATGAACACCATTGGATACCGACTCAATGGTCTAGAGGTTAAGTATTCGAGCGTGAGACTGTAGGTCTTGGGTTCGTGTGTTGGCGAGGCTGAATCGTAGATCCGTACTTCTGAGGAGCCTCATATTAGGAAGACATGATTGTTTAACGCTTTCAAATTTTCAATGGTTGTCTAACATTATTTGATCCATGATCTTAATCAAAATTTTTGTTTAAGTAACGATGTTTTATTTATTTATTAATTTAAACACATAAATATTAGTACAAAAGGGCCCCAGATATATATGCGCCGCACAAATCTCATTTGATTTGTGTGAGGGCTGTGATACTGCCCGGATGTCCAAACTGAAGTAGGTGGTTTTCTTAGGCGGCCACATCCAGAGCCTTTGACCCAAAGGTCTGATCCACAAGGCAATGGGGCATCGTAATGAGATGCAGTTCCATGGTAGCCTGTGACCAACGATTGATTCATACGCCATTCGTTCCCTCAGGATACTGGAGACCATGTGCACCATTGATTTAGAATCAAGGTTTTCCAACTCCCCTAGGTGGACTTTCTGTGTCTACCCACCCGGTTTAAGCTCCTACCGGATATTGGCTTTTCGTCCTCTCAATTTCATAAACAACAGTAATGCCACGAGAAGACAGTGAGTAGGACTTCCCTGGAAGAGGCTATATACGCGCGACCATGTGAGAGCATTTCGACAGGGAGAGCAGACTCTCCTCACTTTCGGCCGTACCAGGGCATTTGGGGGCAATGATACATTAATGATTAGTTAAATATTGAAAATTTGAAGTGTAGTATTCATTTACCTACTTTTGTTCGATCGATTAGATAGCATCATGTAATCGTTAATTTATGATATTTATACAAGATCACGAACTGATTATAATCGGATACTATTTCGGTGGTAGTTTAATAACTTAGAAGTCTTGAGTTCGATTCTTGTTATAACCATCCATATGTGTTCATCGTTGAAGAATCTCATGCTCAAAATAAAACGCTTGTTCAGTATTATATGTTTAATTGAAGTTAATTACTGATATGAACTGTTTACTATCAGTAGGCTGTATAGGTTAGACAATCACTGAAAACGAGAAAACGATGAACAGTTATTTCATCTTAATATGGGAGTTCTCAGTCAAAATACACATCCACAAATTCGCAGGGGTTCGAACCTGATAAGTCTTACTGATTGAACTCTATATTTGGATCCTAAGCTATTCTCGTAATCCCGAGGCTAAATCTACATAGAGACTTGAACATTAGAGAAAAGGCGGCAAAATATGCGAGAAGCACTTTACTCCAAAGGTTCATTTATGTACAGAAAATTAAGGGCTATACCGAACATTCTAGAATACTACTAAACGTAGTAGCAGTATAGTAATCAGTTAATCAGAACCTCTACATTTGACTTTTCACTTCCGTGTTGTTTCTGGCAAAACGTCTAGTGAACGCTGATTAGATAAAATGCTCCTTAATGTTTCCTGAGCTTGTCATGTCTATTACGAGATGTTTTCAGGATCGCCCCAACAGAACCAAAGTCTTACAAATCTGATCACTAGTGTTTAACCTTTACACTATTGAATTAACATCCACAGACTTATATCACAATTGATTGATCACTGGATGGTGATCAATGTCATGCATGTCAAGTTTTTCTTAGTGCTGATCGAATTCTATCGATCAAATTGCAATGTGGCCACTAGTCTAGGTGACTTGACACTGCGTACACTATGTTGAGATAAGATAGCACGAAACCCGGGTCCATGGTTTCCTGTTGACCACCTCCAACCACCATCTTATCTTAACAGACTTTTTTGTCTAACTTCTCATGATATACATCTTGATAGTATAATGCTCAGGATTCTGTAGTCTGTATAGATTGATTAATTTCATATAAGACGTAGTGACTCTTATGTCACTTGTTTATCAGTATGTTATCACTCTGAGTTAAAGTACAATACTCACCAGTTGAATAGCCTTCAATGAAATGCTGTTTCATTTCTCCAAGTAGTCTAAATCAATCAAACGAAACTAACCGAACTTCATAAAGTCTTATCATCTTATTTGTCAATTATAATGTCAGTTAACTAACAATTAAGTCATTACATAATATCCAACATAACTAACTGTTCATCAATATTACTTACCTACGTACTTAGTTACGCTTGTTAATCCTCGTGCTGGAGCATACGTCGCCAACCAGCATTCTTCATTGAACTCTGTCCTGAACAATCCTTTCTATATCTGCTTCCAATTCTCAGAACAGTATATTCTCTGACGTTCCTCTTTTCCGTTTCCATTCAGGATTCCAAGTTAGCATTCAGCAACAATGATCATATATATATATATATATACATTATGTGTATGGCTCAAAGCTACACCTTATCAAATTAAGTGACACTGGGTACTATTTGGATATTTAAAATGGAGTAGGTTTGGAATCCGAAGATAATTGGTTAGAAATTAAATGTTATCAATGTAATGATTGAAGACTCAGATGGAGTAAATCAATAATTCATTTAATACATCATTTACAATCAGAAGGGGGTTTCGTGGAGATTTCAGTATATTTCCATAGTTGAAATCATGAGTCAATTGAAGCTAGACCACCATGGGAAACCTGGAAGCACTGGATGGCCGTTTCGTCCTATTATGGGACTCCTCAGCTTCTTTGAATTGTCTCTTACAAGTTCTATCGTTCTTTTATTCTCTTTGTTACTTAGACTTCTTTTATTTTCCTTTTTCTTTTCTCTTCATATTCTTCTTCTATCTGTAAGAATCGAACTCCTCTCAATTTCTCATACATACTACTTATATCTATCCATATAAGTAGCACATACCATATAAAGATGATAATTTATAAATGTTTAAGAGTACATAATTACTTACTTACTTACGCATGTTACCCGTCGCGAAGGAACATAGGCCGCTCACCAGCATTCTCCATCCAACTCTGTCCAGGGCAATCCTTTCCAGTTCCTTCCAGTTGTTATTCATTCTTTTCATATCTGCTTCTATTTCCCGGCATAGTCTGTTCTTGTTTAAGAGTAGACTAGATCTAATTTTACAAGAGGATAACAAATGAGCATTATCAACTATCAACTACGATGTTATTGGGTACAAATGGTAGAATGAAAAAAGAGAATCACTTTAATTATACAATTATGACTGAAGTTAAAATGTTCAATCTTGTTTTAAACGGATGTAATGAATGATTTTAGACTAAGTCTACTTTAATAGTTGAATTCATGAGTCAATTAAAGTTAGACTAATATGGAAAACCTGGGACTATTAGACAGCCGTTTCGTCCAAGTATGAAACTCCTCAGTATTGCGCGTCCGTGATCTCGCTCGTGGGATTTGAATCCCAAACCTTCAGTCTGGCGTGCAAGCGCTTAACTTTTAGACCACTGAGCTGGCATCCAACAGTGTTAATGTTTAACTTTAACTAATCCACGAAATTAGCCGTTGCCCACCATTGTGTTCAGTGAGTTACTATCTCACTACATCATACGCTCACTAGTTACTAGCTTCAGGAGGTACTACCTGGAATTCTAATGAAAAGCTATGACCAGTGGATTTCTATAGGGGTCTGTTGTGAGATAGTAACTGACTGAAGACAATGATGGATGTGTCGAACAATTTCATGGATTGGTTGAAGTTAGATGACAACAGCGTTGGATGCCGACCAACTAAGTGATCTATAGGTTAAGCGCTTGCATGCGAGGCTGATAGGTTCTGAGTTCGAACCGCGGAGTCCCATTCTAGGACGAAGTGGTTGTCCAGTGCTTCCGTGTTTTCTACGGTGATATAGGTTTAATTGACTCCTGAATTCAACTATTAAATTACTATAATATCCACAAAACTCCCCTCTGATAAGTTTGATTTATCATGCATATAGTGATCGGTCAATATTTTAAGGTGAACTTAGAAACATGTATTTGTTTTATCAAAGTCTTTTGACTTTCAATCAATTGGTGAATTTCGTGCTTGAATGTCATATTTCCTTTTTTTTCTTTATCTATTGAGAGAACTCCAAGATGGTTGATTATTTAAACAACTACACTATTTTACTTAAAAACATCTTTTTAAAACGTTTTTATACAAAAGTTTTATCAAGGCTGCAAACAGCTTGATCTGAGCTCGAACAATAATGACGGATTATAGAATAAACCTGAGTCACTACTTTTTTTTTCTAAAAACAAAGATCTGACAGAAGCTTAGTTTCTGGGTCCTTCAAGGAATTTATGGAATAGATATGATGAAGGTACATCCAATTGATGAGCTCTAAACAGAATGAAATTCACATATTTGATTCCATTGTTAGCCACAAAACAAATATGCAAAAAAAACAGAAGCTATGATAATTGTGAACTTGTATGTGAATGAGGCAGACAAAAATTTATTTCTAGCTCGGGAAGTTTCAGTCAATATCATCTTTCATAGTTGAAAGCGTTAGTCAATTGAAGCTAGACCACCATGGAAAACCTGGAAGCACTGGACGTCCGTTTCGTCCTATTATGGGACTCCTCAGTAGTGCACATCATTGACCTCGCCTCGGGAGATTTGAACCTACCAGTCTTGCGCGCGAGCACTTAACCTCTAGACCACTGAGCCGGCATCCGATGGTGTTTATGTCTATCGCCAGGCAAGGTCGTGGTTGCGCACTGCCACTGGGGAGTCCCACAATAGGGAGAAACGAACGTCCATTGCTTCAAGGTTTTCCATAGTGATCTAGCTTCAATTGACTCATGAATTGAACTGTAACCAAATAAACAATGAAATAGAGGAAAGTAACCGCTTCTTGACGATTTCAGTTTCAAATTACATTTTGATGTTATCATTAATTATTCTGATTATTATACTCTATAATCCGGTTGAATTTCTGACTACATATAGGCTGTTTAAATTGTAATCTCTTCAGCACTCAAAACAAATCTATAATGATCTAAGTCGTTTTGTCTCATATCAACATAACGAGAGGGGAAACTGACAAGAGACACATATTAAACGACTCAAACTAATAGTAGTATCAATGAAAATGCAAAAAAAACTAAACATCAGAATAGCTAGAAGCACTCAATGTTTGAAATAAAATGAGAGATCAATATATCTAAGGTGTTGCTGTAGTAAAGGAGAATACAAACTGAGACCATTGAATGTATTTGAACACAAAATTACAGGATTTCTCAAGCTTGACTATACCTATTGCAAATGTCAATCAACCGTTTCAGACTTTACTATTCCTCCGTTTCCATAGCAATCACTTTCTGTTCTCATTCTCTTTTCTTTGATCTTCTTAACCTTCCGCCTTCAGGCAATTCACTTTCTATTGATGATATATACTATTTATATCTGTTGACATCAGTAGCACATACCATATTGTTAGTGATTTACAACTGTTGATATCACACACAATCACCACTTTCAATGATCTCAATGAATTTAACAAGAAAGTTTTCACTGATTGCTTTTATGTTAACCGATTTGCTTAACTTAACTATTGGCTAGTTCACTAGACTACTACTGTAGTGTGGTCAACTTATATCCATATAAGTAGTATATGGTAATGGTCAGACATAGAATGTATTTTGGCAGAAGACTGATAAGGAAAGAGCCGAAATGAAGCGCGAACAATGGAATTAGAGAAGATTAACTGATATTTACAGAAGGAACAGTTAAGATTGAGACAACTGATTTTAGTTTTGCAAACTAACTGTTTGTTGTATGGTTACCAGAATTTAGTGAGATAGGCTGTAATTTGTTTCTAAATACATTCGATTGTCCCCAACCAGTGTTCTGTTCATTACACTACTTCATGATGACAGCTTCAGAATCCTATAAAAGTCATAAGGAAATAAATAATCTTTGTTTATATAGTTGTGTCCAGTTATTTGTTAACTAACATGTCATTCTATCAATGTAGCGGTTGTTTGAAAAGTACTCATTTTGAAATTAATCTGTAGATGGCATCGAGTCTCGATTGGCTATGATCACCACTACAGTAAGATTACGCCCCCGAAATCGACTTGGTTACTTTGATAGGTCGTATACCAGAAGGCTGTAACCGGTCCAAATAAAGTATATTTATTGGCGATCTCGTGGTATCGAAAGAATACCGAGACAAGCCAACGAGTGCAGGCAAAATGGCAGAGAACAAAAGAGTTCAAACGAACAAGGCGGACGACCGAACAAAAAGTTATTTTGATACAGTTAAACAAGACGAGTACAGTAGAACAATCACTGGTACAATTGGTTATAACAATAATTGTTTGCGTTATACCAATCGCGTTCTCGTCGAAAAAAGCAGGTCACTACAAATCATAACCTGTGAAATTCAACTACATTTAGGGTAAGGTGTTTAGTTATCCACTAATTACAATGTACAGTGATCAAATTGATTGAAATCCTATAATTCTATTAAGCTAACTTCGAAACTTAATGGAACTTAGTGAGCAAATCCTATGTATGATAAGGGGTTGTAGCTGTAAATAATTCCCCAAAATCAACAGCTCTGTAAGTGTTCGACATTGGATTCTGACTACATTAGTTTTAGTGGACTCAGTCATGCATCGGTACTAGATCATGTTACAGAACGGTGTGGGAATTATCTCCTACGATGATTGTATACAGGATCTAGACTTTTCAATAATCCTAAAATTCAACGAAATAACTATTCACTATGTCATCATTCTCAAAAACTATTTCATAAGTTTATTGTTTACCTCAATTGAACTAACCTTATCATTTTCGATAATCTTTATAACAGAGCTGATCAATTGGAAGCAAAATTACGTGAAAAAGAATTAGAAATGCAAACTAAAGATGAAGAAGCTGCAGAAGTACTTAAAAAAATTCAACAAGTTGACACGGACAAAGAAACGGCACAAACTCAATTAGCTGAAACTAATACTAAATTAGAAGAAACAGATAAACGAGCAACTGAGGTAAATCACTATGAGTCTTTATTTTATCGTTATTATAAAATTAATAATTTGCTTGTTTAAAAATACCGCCACTTTTATGAGATTGTTTAAATGAACTGGTTTTTGTATAGTTTTGTAATCAAAGTCTAATGGTTTCATTGTTACATGAATTGTCCATATTTCATAAGCTTGAGTAAGTCCTAATGTCATTTTCCAGCCCTACGGTCACTTATCCTACTGGTACAAACAAAACTCTTACATTGATGACAACAACAACTACTACTATCAGGTTTCGCAAGGAAAAGTATATATTATGAAGGGCTGTTCCTTTCTCGACAAATTCAAACACTATTAATCACGATTTTTCTGTCGAATATTGGTAATCACTCTTTAAGCTGGTTAGTAGAGTGAATAGGAGTGCTATTTATTTTGGAGGTTTCTAAGAACTGTTTACAATTTAGAGATAATTTGCTGTAGAGGGAGACAATAATTTATGAATATCCTTTTAGCAATGCCAAAATGACCTTTGTCAAATTCACTCACCATCGTCAGCTTAATAGCCAAAAGGCTGTTTAATCATAATGATAAGTGAATTACACGCCCAACTTCAGTACATGCTATCTATAATTTCGTTGATTCGTCCATAAATCAAAGAGTGGCCCATACGAACTTTTAAAAGATATTTTTCTTTGTAAGTTTTCATAAAAATATGCTTAAGTGTCTTCTTTTCAACATTTCTCTTCATACAGTTGGTCCACGCACAGTGAATCTTAAAAGTATTTTTACGCTTCATAGTTCGTTGATTGATTGTTTACAGTTATTGTGTGTAGTATGAGTCCTTAAAGATATCCTTCGGTATTCTTACTGATAGCAATTTGGAAGTAAATATCACTCTTTGAATAACTGTTGCATTCGTAATGTTATACACGTATCATGAATATGCATAATGTAGTGTTCAATAGAATGAAAAGTAACAGATCTTTTGGAGTAAGTGGGCAACTCGAAAGTTTTTCATTCATTATTGCTTGTTAAGGTCTTCAGAGTAGACAAATCTTAGTGGAGATTGTCAGGATTTTTAGCAGTCATTTTCAATGATCATACGGAGATATCTTTCTGAATAACTATTATATACTTGAAAAAATAGGAATCATGACGTTTCATGTCAGACACTAACTCAGAGTCGTCATCGTATGGAAGTAAAACAATTGCATACACCTTCGAATGATTCGAAAGATAAATTCTCAGTTTCTAGAGTTCACTCATAACATTCAACTGAACAAGTTTACTTTTAGCTTCTGCTGTCATTACTTACTTAAGGAGGTTGCATGAAATACAAAAATTAATCACTTAGTTCTTGGTCATTCTGAAACTTATATCTTTCTTTTTTAAAAACTCAAACATGGATGAAACTAGAGGCTATTCTATCTCATAATTTCCAAAGTGGGATTGATGCTATAAAACTCTAATTCAGTAAATAGAAGTGTGAGTACTTAGTAGGTAACACGTAATTTGAAACGTTCACTGAGGGTACACGTTTTTTAAAGAATGCTGTCCAAATGTCTCCGGGTCCTTTTCCCTCATCCTTTTCATCTTTCTGACATGAGTCCGAAAAGTCATCCATTACTAAAAATACATATCTTTGTCAGTGTACATTCATACATCTATAGATGGCACCGAGTCTCGATTGACTATGATCACCACTACAATAATATTACGCGCCCGAAATCGACTTGGTTCCTTCGCTAGCGCGTAAATCAGAAGACTGTAGCTGGTCCAGACAGAGTACATTTGTTGGCGATCTCATGGTATCGAAAGAATACCGGGACGTGCCAACAAGTACAGGCAATAAGGACAGCGCGTAGGAAAGTTCGAACGGACAAGGCGGGCGTAAATCATATGAGATTTAAAATAAACAAGCACAGAAAATCAATTGAGTGGGAAATTTGTCAGTGAAATAAAGAAGTGGGAAAATAGGAGATTTCGCGAGACAGGGATGGCAAGAGTATGATAACATCTTACTCTAAGTGTTCGACAGCTCTTTCATGTCAAAGAAGTCAGTCTTTAAGTCCATATATTGTTTCGCAACCCTATCTTGAACATATATATCAAGAGTATTTTACAATCGCGTTTTTCGGGTGGGGCATTCCAGGTTGAAAATTCCCGTTCTAGTGAGTCAGATCACAGATACTTGAACGTATGAAGGGAATTTTTGTGACAATTTGAAGGTTGGCTTTTAGTTAGTCATTTTCTTTTCACACTTGTATCAGCGATATGTCTATTTCAAGCTTCTGTTAATCCTCCATGCCTTCACTGGCCCTCCACAGATTTTTTGGGGGACCAGTTAAGATTTCCTACATTCTCATTGATAAATATCAGTTAAAACAGGAGACAATGGTTTCTCCCTAGAATACTACAGACACATTGCTTCACGTAAGTCGATTGAGATAACTTTGAAGCAGGTTTCTCCACTCAGTCAGTCACATAACTAGGAATGGGTGGGATGCGTGAACAATCTCTTTGTCAGTTAAAAAGTGCTCTGTACTATTTTGAAAAGGACGAAAAACAACTCATGAATAGTTGCTTTCTGATCCTAGAAGAATGATTCACTGTGTGGCGCTAACACATTTATTATGAAACAAAATCAGCCTTTTATGAATCCACTTTTTGTCTCGTGACAATCTCTATTTCGGGAAACCTCTTTTATTCCCTTATATTGATGCTAAACCTGTTTATTAATATCATATATTCACCACGCGCTACGTGCAACAACAAATTCTAAATCTCTTTTTCTGATATGCTTGCTTGCATATCATGGGAAATGCTGCCCATTCCGCGTAGTCGTCATTTACCATACTGAAAACTCAGATGCCATGAATGTTTGGTGATTTCGTTCTTTCACAGTCTTAGTCAGCTGATTTGCTACCGAATCTCTATACTTCTAATGTCGGGAATGTAAAACCTCTGCTATTTGAAAATACATATGAGATTGGTCGTAGTTTTTCGCTTTATGAAGCACTTGCGCGGAAAAATATCGAGTAGCCGCTTCTAATAGTTGTCACGGTAACATTTGATTTGCATGAATACCCCTAGACCTGCATTATGGGTTGAGAGGCCACTCATATAAATAAGAACAACTCATAGTATTTTAGACACTCGACCATACCAATACAAGAACTATTGTTTTCGATAGGTAGATGCGGATGAGCTTTTGTCACTTACTTTGAAGTTAACACATGAAACTCTTAAGGATTTCAGTCATTTTAGTCTGTTGCGAAGTCAAATAGAGTAAGGTTGGATGTGCGTTTCCGCACCGCTTTTTCCGTATTTCCGGGTGTATTCTAGATTGTTCATTACTGAAGTATTCACAAATAATTTGTACAAGTTATAAAACTAATTTACGACAACTAAAGATATTTAAGTAAAACGATAAGTGATATAACAATGACCTATGAAAACACATGACCATGATGATATATCCTCACATTTTTCAAACGTCTGAGTGAACTAATAAGGTCATAAATCAAGGATTACAGCACAAACTACTGATAATTGAGGCAGTGTGTAGCGGTCCACGTTGAAGATTCTACAGATATTCTACTTTTGATAACGCTTTTGTCGGTAACACATTTATAATTCAAGGATACTAGACAGTCAAATCAGAAGTTAGGGATGAGTGACTTCTAAGGTACTTTAGTACAGTTTTCGTTATGTTAAGAAGTGTTTGATCTAAGCTAGCCAGCAGTTGCAAGAAATGGATTTCGTGGAGTACCCACTTGTGATCTAGTGTGGATTCGTGACCGAGGGTCTTAAGCTAGGTTGTGTTCGGCAAAGTTTATAGTGGATGTCGAGTCGAAGACGGACTATGATCACCACTACAATTCGTTTACGCGCCCAAAAACGACTTGGTTCCTTTGATAGCTCGTAAATCAGAAGACTTTATTAATCCAGATCAATTGTATTTATTGGCGATCTCGTGGTATCGAAATAATACCGAGACGTGCCAAAGAGTACAGGCGAACAGGCAGTGCGTGAGCAAGTTCGGACCAAACAAGGCGGAGAGCGAAAGAAGAAGTGAAACTGATACAGTTAAACAAATACAGTAAAACAATCTCTGGTACAATTGGTTACAATAATAATAATTGTTTCCGTTATTCTAATCGTGTTCTTATCGAGACTGGCCGGTCACTACAAGTTAATGACGTCAGCTTCAATGTCAAAGACTTACAAGGCTATTTATTTCGGTGAATTAATTACTGCTACAAAGTCTATCTAGAAGTAACTTCATGTACTAGGGGAATATGGAGAGTGGAGTGAGTTAGGCGAGATGATAACCCATCAAGTGTACAAAACGCATCTACATTCAATGATAGACGAGATAGACAACAATCAGCAATAGTACGAGCCTCAGACTATGACTATAAGTTGTGTCATCTCAGTTTGACTTAATGTGAGTAACACTGGAAGCTTCATTCTTTTCTGGGTAACGTAAATGTCGTGTGCTTCAGGTATTCCTTTGAAACGAACCTTAAACTTGTCTACAGAATACTAAGTTCGAATAATTCCGAATGTTTTGCCCCCAACACTTAGACTATTTTTCAGAAATGGTTGATACAGTACTATAGTACCTTAATATAACAGTAACAAAACGCTTGGTAATAACACTTTCTCGCATATCTCACCAATGTAGAACAATCAAAATCATTCAAAGAATGTTTCGGATGTAATTGAAGTCACTAAATTCACCCCAGAAGTCTCATTTTATGATACATCTCAAGATTCTAATGAGCAAACCTGGGATGGCTCAATTGTGAAGAGTCAGGTTTATTTGATTAAGCATTTAGCACACAAAGGAGTGAGAAGAAAGCATCAAGACACCTCAAGAATAAGGGAGGAACAAAGAAGGATAGAAATTTTTTCAGCGTTACTTTCTCATGACTGGAGATTCGGCTACCCAAAAAATCGGTTGTCGGATGTATCAGAACCTGGAATTCAACCACTGGAATTACTCGGACCGAGGTTAGAACCTGAAGGTGAAGACCAGGTGACGTTAGATAGCCATTTAGAGCGCAGGAATTTATCATACGAAGAGACAGATGAGCTGTTGTTTTCTGATTATGGGAGCGAAAGTGACTATGAAGACGAATACATTGAACGGAGGCGCAGCTCGAAGTTCATCGACGACAAATCTGCTATGGAAGAAGCTTTATCAGCCGTTTATCTTAATTCCGGAACACTTATAAAGATGGCAATCATTGGTGTTGAGCTGCAAAACGTTATCAAAGTTTCCTTACGAAAGGTGAGGATGCTTTATATACACCGATATTTTAACCGCCGTGTTTGGTTTTTGTTGCACATTTTGGTCATAATATATATTCGGAGTTTTTTAACTTAAGAATGTCCAGTCCTGTTATCGGTGCTGTAAAGTCTAAAATGCAAGGAATGAAGCTTCAAATAGACCAGCTTAAGCAAGAGTTATCTTCCAAACAAGCCATTTTAAGGAAGGAGGAAGAAAATAAGATCAAGGTATTTAGTTTTTAAGACCTACCGTATTTATATGGAATTAAACAAATTCCTTACTTGTTTTGTTTATTTATTTCAGGCCGAAGCTGAAGTCGCCTCACTTCAGAAGCGAATTCGACAGCTTGAAGATGAATTGGAATCTACCGAGACTCGCCTTCAAGAAGCCACTATTAAGCTTGAAGAAGCAAGTAAAGCTGCCGATGAAAGTGATCGGTTAGTTTATAATATTCAGAGATTAGCCTTCCTATCAATCATCATTGCATGCCTTTTTGTTTACCAATGGATTCTCATTTATAAGTGTTTATGAAGAACTGATCAATGTGATGGTTCCAGAGATTGTTGTTCCCTTGAAACATCTGGTAAACTGTAAAAGTGCTCTTAATTTGGAAACATATCTTTAAAAGTTTCCTGAGCTTTCTAACTGACTTCGATTCCGTTATTCAGTAGTTAGTGCAACCCAGATTTCTAGTATGGTAACGCTATCTCTTATACAAGTTAATTTTTGTTAGGACTCGAAAGCATAATATAACACCTTTCCTGTATTCCCACACAATGCGGGAATATAGTCTTTAATTTGGCTTATAACGGATTTAAGACAGGCTTGGGAGCAGGATAATGTTTATTGAATATGGCAAAATTGGATAAACTATTAATTCCGAAAACCTAGGAATTAATGTCTCCGGTTTCACAAGATAATGTCACTGACAGCCTACTAGTTTAGAGGGTCCTTTCAATGTAAATTGCTCGAATTGGAACTGATATTGACTTTTAGGCTAAACATGAAAGCATCTGGACGGACGATTGTATTTGTTACTGAGCAGTCAAAAAGGTTTTACTGTTTACTAGCGTGTGATTAATCTAGTGTTTTGAGAACCTCCATTGATACCGTACTACCTATTTTGTATCAAATTATTTGATTTTCAAGTGATTCTAATTGTAATTTAAGTTTTAATGCAATCTACTATCTTGATGTATGCTCTTATGATTTTGTTTGTTAATAAAGCTTACTGTTAGTATGGCTCACTTTGTGGCAACCAAAACATCATTTGAAGAGTTCCTGCTTTCCCTGTGGTTTAGCCATTGAAGCCGGTGGGCGTATTTGACTGAAAAATATATTTCCAATGGAGATCCTAATCACATAATATTCGTGATTTTAAGTTGCAGATTGACTTTTTGTCCAAGTATATCTCGTTAATCTGTTGATATGAATGTAAAGGTCCACGTTAGGGATATTCCTATGGATTTATAAGTAGCCATCGTATATCTTATCTAAAAGTATCATGTTTAAGATGCGTTTTTCTGTCTGAATTGCAATTGTTGATTCAGAACGGGTCTACTTTATCGCTTTGATTGATCGTAGAGTGGAGTTAAATGCGTTGACCAGTCTATTGACCTCGAATGTCTTATCAGCCTCAGTGAGTTGGTGTTTAATTTCGAAACAGGTCCAGAAATCTTGCTTGGTCTTAGACGTTAAGCGACACAGCTCATAATCAACATAATGGCACATCTGCATTCATTTCTTTTCTTGGTCTAGATATTGAATTTGATACGTTCCGTTTAGTGTGGCAACCAAAAGAATAAATCAGTTTTTTACCTGACTACGTCAAATTCATACTATTAAGCAAGCATCGTCAGACTCTCAGTCTTAAACTAGTCAACAATCCCTCTTCAAATGAGTTGATTTATAGATGACGACATTGTTCGCGTATGCATTTCAAATTTCCTATTTTGATCGATTTTGTTTGATTATGTTTTGTCATTGACACTATATATTCATAATCTTAGTGCTCGTCGGGTACTTGAGGCCCGTCAGACTGCGGAAGACGAGCGAATTTTACATTTGGAATCTGTGGTACAAGAAACTGCAAAATCTGTGAGAGATGCAGAAACAAAATATGAGGAGGTATTGTATTACATTAAAATATATTTTTTAAAATAACCATTAATACGTCTTGACTGTTTGGTCATATTCTTTCTAAAGCCAATTCAAAGGAAACTTTCACAAACTTTTTTACTAATAAAAAAAGTATTATGAAAACATTTAATTCCTTTATATATGTTTCATAGTGGTCGTAAAGTATTGGAGAATCGTACTTTCGCAGATGAAGAACGTATCAATCAGTTAGAAGAGCAATTAAAAGAATCTACATTTATGGCTGAAGATGCTGATCGAAAATACGATGAGGTGCATTTCTAACTGAAACTAATGCATTCAATGTCGTATGAGAATGAGTTTCAGTGCATGCCATATTGTACCTGTGTATTTACAAAAAACTTAGAATGGTTTAGATAGTGATTGTTTCTTATTTCTACCAATTTTGCATGCCTTCTTATTCAAAGAAGTTCCGATGGAACTCAGAACATGGTACATTTAGAAATGTCTTCGCACATTGACGAAGACGACTACAGTAGTCAATATGGCGAGACTATAGTTTATGAACAACCTTTGACCTATACTAAAGTGACTTTAGGAAATTTCAGTCACTTAATTGGTCCAAAATAGGGTTATACATTGGTGTAAAGAACTAGGATTAGGAGTTTTTCATGACAAACTGACATAAGCTATAATGCCGAAATATTATTTAGCCTTATAGATGAATGAATTCCACTACAAAATCCAAGAGTTACTGTCTTAACTTCAATTGGCTCGTTCATAAATTATAGTCTTGCTATTTTGGTGGTAGAATTTGTGAATCCACTTCATCAGGTTCATTTGTTGTATTACAACTGCATGCTATATTTTACATACTGTTTTAAGTAGTTGTTATTCGTTAAATGCATTGTTTATCTTATTTGTATAATTGTACAAACTGTATATCATAAGGTTATACAATTGATGATTATGCTGTTTGGTAGTTCTACACTTCATATACATATTTCAATATTCGATAACGCTTAGTTTGTCTGAAATCATTCAATTCTCAATCGATTGTTGCCGAAAATTCAAGTTTATCAGTGGATTGTCAAAGTACATTATCGAGATATGATGAAAACGCTTTGTTCAATCAGTTAACATCTAGCAAATATAGTCGGCTACGTATAGACACTATGAGTCAGTGTCTGTAACACAACTGCAGCCAGATTTTCAGGCCAGGATTAAAATGTCGCATTATATAGTTTTAAAGTTGCTAACGTCATTTCCTTTTGTTGTGTTTTATTTGTACGGTCCTAAAAAACCGTTAATTATTACTTATATATCACGTCATCTTGTCGTATTGTGGTAACTTAATATTATATATGATTTTATAGCAAGCATAAAAAAATTAAAATGTATAAACCTAACTTATTGTATATGTAGGCGGCTCGTAAGCTGGCTATCACGGAAGTGGAACTCGAACGGGCTGAGTCTCGCCTGGAAGCTGCCGAAAGGTAGTAATTCCCTCCTGCTGCTACTACTATTAATACTACTATTACATTTGATTATGCACTAATGTCGATTGTATATTCTTTGTGTATGTATGTGTAGCATGCTAATTTCCACTTGATGCACACTTGTTTTTACAATTTTCTATCTCAATTTTGATTGTTTTTGGTGTTGTATACATTTTATTGTAATTAATTCAAGGCATATGCAAGTGCAAAACTGAACATTATTTTCGTGCTTTTAAATTTACATGGTTTGGACTTGTTTTTTCTTTTGCTGATTGTCGTGCATTTCTCCTATCCTATTGCTGTGTTAATTCGTTTGCTTGACCTATATATTCGGCTGTCATTCGCAGGCCACTCGAAAACTTGCCGTTGCCGAAGTCGCACTATCTCACGCTGAAGATCGGATTGAAGCTGCAGAAAGGTACTTCTTCTTAGATTTATTGGTGAAACTGGTGATTTACATCCGGTATTGCACCATATCTGTAGTCTAGTTCGATTGTATGTGATGTTCACTGTGGAATCTTTTTTGTTCCACTAAAAAAACTAGCCATTTATCCTAAAGAACAACATTAAACGATACTGCACATGAATTATGAAATAGTTTTACTATTATCATTAGTGTTTTTCATGTTATGGAAAGATCTAGTAGATATATCGGTTGTGCATGTTTTGTCTTTGAAAACTTCAATTCTCATCGTATGAATAGTAGTTTTGTAAAATAGAGTATAAAAAGATGGGAGTAATTAGTTCCTAATTGGTCACTTACTTATTAGTCCATTGGTTTATGTGGTGTGAGAGTTGCTTAAGCTTTTGACTATGTAATTAGTTTTATTGAATGTATGCTATAATAGTCATTATTATAACTGCATTGTGTTATTTCGTTCAGTTTATTGCATTACTTATTGCTTGGATTGATTTCATTTCATATAGCATATACTCCCCACTCTATTCCCTAATATGTAGCTGTGATTGTAGTAGTCTAGTGTTTTATTATTTTATTTAAACACACAAATATTGGTACAAAAAAGCACCAGATAAATATGCTCCTCACAAATCTCATTTGATTTGTGTGAGGGCTGTGATACTGGTCAGGTGCCCAAACTGAAGCAGGTGGTTTTCTTAGGTGGTCACACCCCGAGCCTTTGACCTGAATGTCTAGTCCACAAGGCAGTGGAGCATCGTGAGGAGATGCAGTCCCATGGTAGCCGGTGATCAATGATTGATTCGTACGCCATTTGTTCCTTCAGGATGCTGGAGCCCATATGCACCATTGGTTCGGAATCAGGGTTTTCCAACTCCTCTAGGTGGAGTCACCGTGTCCATCAACCCGGTTAAAGCGCCGGACGTTCGCTTTTCGTCCTCTCAATTTCGTAAACAGCACCTCCGTCACGAGAAGGCAGTGTAATATACAATCAACTCATCCATCACGTACTTTAATGAGCCATCGGTGCAGATAGAGCAGATCTCGAACTCGGAATACTTGGTAACTGAAAATTAATCACTAAGTTACCGCTCCTTATTTTAGGAAGTATTTCGTAGAGTAAGGTTGTTCATAAGAATTACACACTCATTCAGCTAGAAAGCAACAGTGATTAGTATTGGATTGCAGACGGGGACTTTTAATTTGAACAACTTTCTTTAGCTCTTAAATTATACTTTAGGTTTACTTAAACCGTTTTAGATTAACCATAATGATTATAGTAATTTTAATAGTTAAGATCATGAATCACTTGAAGCTAGACCAGTATGAAAAACCTGGAAGTACTGGACAGCCGTTTCGTCCTATTGTGGGACTCCTCAGTGGCAGTGCGCATCCACAATCCCGCTTCATGATCTCAACTAATAAAATGACTATAATATCCACAAAACCCCTTGTCATAATGATCATACATTATTTTTTTTAAGTAACTCTGATCTGCTTTTCTTCCTCTAATTTTTCTTTTCCATACTGAACTTTCATTTCTTATTCATGCATGATCCTAATATCATTTGCTGTGGTGTATAATGGACGTTATCAAATCATTTCGTTGCATGCATTACTAATGATAGTCGTTTAAAGGAGCTTCAGTCAATCATTCATGGTACAATGGGTCAGTTAAAATCTTTAGAGCATCAAGAATCTCAGGTTTGTAAAAGAGGCATTAATTTCTATAAACATATATGTATATTGACTAGCATAGAGTATTTATAGTGACTATATTGAATAATGGTAATGAGGAATAGTCTGACATGAATAGATCACAACAGTAATACACACATCATGGGTAATAACAACCATTCATGTTGTTGTAACCTATGCATGGTTGTGAAGTTTTGTTATTGCATGATTAAATTTGTGAACATTTCCACGTAGTCTTCTATCTCTCTCTCCACCTCTATCTACTGTCAGGATTGCATGATTTGTCAGTTACTGCTTGTCCCTGAATGCTTTATACCTCATTCATTGTGTCTGCGATGCATAGTGTTTCTAAGTTAATTTATTATCATCTGTTTATAGCAAAATTACAGAACTCGAAGAAGAGTTACGCATTGTCGGTAATAATGTAAAATCTTTGGAGATATCTGAACAAGAGGTATTTCTATTATTTTGTAGTATCTCTATGCTTATACATATATATATTTGCATATCATATATGCAACTGATCGATTAGTAATTAGTGACCAATATCTTGTTTGTATAGTCCTTCTATTCCAGATCGAAGTTACAATGTGACCACTATTTTATGCTAATCAACATTGCTTGCAACACGTTAGGTAGTTGAAGGTAATGTATCGCTTTCACAGTTCCACTCCAATGCACAACTTTTATATACCATCAAACTGAAAAGATGGATAGATTTTTGAGAAGAAAAATACTACTGACGAAGTCATTCTTTACGATCATTCAATTTTCTTAGCCTTTGACAAACCAGTTGTATGCATTCGCCAACGAGACTGAGGGTTGCAGGTCCGATTCCCGGTTTTGAACTCGTGGATAGCCCACGAGATAGGTGGTCCATATGAAACGGTGGAACAGCTGTCCAGTGCTTTCAGCTTTACAATGGTTGTCTAACTTTGATCAGTTCATGATCTCCACAACCCTATACTGATTATCAGAATATGTCGATTTAGAAGTCTAGATATCTGTCTATGTAAATGGCTCACCACACACACATTTAATCTTTTAAACCGTTTACTTTCAACATGTGTGGCAGTCCACAGTGAACCTTAATGCTTTAGATGTATTTCAACTGACTGTATGTGTGCTTACTTACACATTATTATTATAAAACTTTCTCTATCAATTAAGTACGTTAGAAAATGAAAGTATTAACATTCAAGATGTTAGGAATTTCTGAGAAAGATAAATACTGTGGACTCAGGTGGATGATTTTCGTGGAGTTTTCTCTAAACTGAATAGTTTGGTCGTAGAGCTTTCATTGTTGTTTTGATCAACATCATGAGCACAAACTTCAGGTAGGAGTGAAGTGTCTCAATGTGTTTTAGGTGAACACTGAAGAGCTGTTGATAGATTCATGCCAAATTTTGGTTGCTATTATTCTGTCGAGTATCACACATCCGACAGCGGGATGACTAGTCGTTTCTCGAACGCCTACAGTCAGTCAGTCACAACATAGAACTTCGTACGTACGTACATCAGTTCAAGTTACCATACCACATTAGCACGGAGATGAAGTTGTCGATTCAAATCCCATAGTGATAGAAGTAGTAAGAGTAAAAGCAGTAATCGGAAAGATTAGGTTTTGAAGATGTTATTCAAGGAGTATAATCCAGTGAAACAAATTTGGAAAGAAAAAAAGACATGAGGAATTCAGAAGATTAGAATTCGGGAGAAGATAAAGAATGCACCTTTGCTATTGCACACGATTTTGAGCCATGTCATTCAAGGTCTCTAACCATCAGTTGCTATCATCTCGCGGATCCCAACCAGGTAGTCTACACCTACCAGCATGGCTTAGTCCGATTGTCAGTGACTTCATGGATTTGTGTCACGCTTTGGTCTGTCCGCCCCTAGCTTTCTTCCAACCTACTTCTACATCATAAAACATCGCACGTCCGGACAGTCGGTGTTTGAGCATACGTAACGTTTACACTAAAGCTCAAGATGTTTAGTGTGTTATTCTACATAAACAACTATCACTTCACTAAATATTCTGCATTGTTACCTAAAATAAGGGTGGAAAATCATGTGATATTAATGACTAATTGTGGACATTTAAAACCAATGAGACCTCAGTTGTTAAACGCCATTTTATTCCTTTATTTTAGTCCAACATTATATCTGCTTACATTTGACTGGTCATATTTATTCTAGGCAGCCCAGCGTGAAGAGGCATATGAAGAGAATATACGTGATTTAACTGAGCGCTTAAAAGCTGTAAGCTGAGCATGTTCAGATACTCCTCTTTTTCCCCCGCCCCCAACTTGTATATAAAAGTTGCATGGATACTAATTGACCATAGGAACTTGACACTTGAAATATATATTATTGTTACTATCTAAATAATCATATTCATTCTAATATCTATTTTTGTTATGTTTTTTCTCGTTAAATGCATGTTTTCTACGACTGGATATTGAATTCGCATGTTCTCAAAACACTTTTTTTCTGTGTGTGGATATATATTCAATTTAGTTAAATAAACAACGTAGTCTTCATCAATCTCAACTTGCCTCTTTATCAAAACAATTGATTGAGGTAGTTTTTCTTTTGGTTTTTTCCTACTTTATTGATTTATTTCGTTTGTAAGTGATTGAATATTCCATGTGTTGTTGTTGTTGCAACTATTTTCAGCTGACGAGTCTTAAATAGGACAGAACGTGTGTCTTAGATTCCAGTAGTAGTTACTATTCAACTGTGTTCTTGTAATGCTCGTTACTTCGTTATAATTATATATTTGATGGTAACAGTTGATTAGCCAGTCAGTCGCTAACAGTGTCGTAGAATCTTGCACTCAGAGCCTTTGACCTAAAGTTCTGATCCACAAGGCAGTGGAGCATCCTGAGGAGATGCAGTCCCATGGTAGCCAGTGGCCAACGATTGATTCATACGCCATTTGTTCCCTCAGGATACTGGAACCAGCCCATGTGCACCATTTGTTTGGAATTAGAGTTTTCCAACTCCCCTAGGTGGACTCGCCTTGTCCACCAACCCGATTAAATTCCTTGCTGGGCATTCGCTTTTCGTCCTCTCAATTTCGTAAACAACACCCGTTGTGCGAGAAGACAGTGAATAGGATTTCCCTGTCAGAGGCTATATACACGTGGCCATGTGAGAGCATTTCGAGCGGGAGAGCGGACTCTCCCCACTCTCGGCCGTATCAGGGCATTTGGGGGCAATAGGAACATTAACGGGGCAGACTTTCATGCATATAGGAAACAATTTTTTTCGAACCTAGCACACAACAATACTCTCATACATTGTCCCATTGCCTTTGGCAGACCAGACAACCCGAAAGTCACGAGAACACCATCAGGGCATGCTACAGGCTAGGTACCCCAGTTTTGCACAATTGTGTATTAGTAAGTGAAAATAAACTTAATGCATGGTGATCAACTTATAATTATATCATTTAAGGTATCTAATCGTTAACTGTGGTTATCTCACAGACTTCCAATCAAAACATTTGAACATTTAAGAACATGATTCAGTCACTTCTTGAACTGATGTCATGTTTTTTTTTTAAAACACTATTTTCCAAATTATTACTGTATTAATTGTCTATGCATGTTGGGGTATATTGTATATAAATGAGTACAATCACATGTCTCATTCACCTGAGTAGATGAAAATTTACCGATTTACCATTTCTTACTGGTCTGACCTTACATTTAATCTCAATATGACTTATTTGGTGGTTCCATCATACAACGATACTTCAAAGACATTTATGTTCAAATACTAACAAACTATGCTTATTTTCAACATGTCAGACCATTGGTCTGACTGCTTTGGTTAATGTATATTTATTCTTGATCGCTGGCTGATTATAACTGACCGTTTAAAAGCTGTAAAATAATACACAATGGACTGTTGTGAAGTCAATTACGCATTTGATAGTAATATACACGAATATCTCGACTATTCCATATGTAGTGAAATGATTTGGTTTGTCCACCATTAGCTTTCTTCTGGCCTACTCCTACACCAGACTATCATCAAGGTAGGTGGAAGTTGGACATACGTAACACATGTTCCAACCACCTCAATTAATGAAGATTTACTACCGCATCAATCGACTTGCCACCCTTATTTAGTACCCTTTCTTTAACCCAGGCATTGTTTACTCCATTGTCCAAGGATACATGAGGAATGTTTTGAAGATACCTATGATTGAATACTAATAACCCACGAATATCCTCTATTTCTAATGATCATGTTTCATATCAATAAAGTAGAACGAAGCAAACTTGTACAATAAACTAATCCATTGGTTGGCAGACAGACGTAAATTGGCGAAAGTCAATCGATCCTGAATCCGTGCTGAGATTTCGTCAGACACTAAATCATCAAGACTTGTGAAATTTCCAAGATAAGTGGAGCGGTCAATGCGTTCATCTACTTCACTCGCTATGATTAATTCAGGCGCTAACTCAGGTTAATCTTAAAGTAACATTTTACATTTGGCAGGAGGGAACTGCATTTCAAACATTCTTACATTGTTGTTTAAGGTCGTTAAAAGACTGCATTTTATCAGCGTTTTCACCAAACAGAACTATACCATTTGCATATTCTAAGTCATTGTTTATGGCATGATGCTTTATTTCTCGTTCAGTTGATTTTTAACTGCATTTTGATAGAGTAATCAAGTCATTTTTGATTGAAGCATGCATAGAAGACACCTTCAATAGATGGTGTAATTTCCATGAAAAGGAAGGTGTATTTCATATTCTACATCTTATTTATAATAATTATTATTATTGTTATTAGGCTGAGGATCGAGCTCAAGAATCTGAACGACTTGTCAATACTTTACAAGCTGATGCTGATCGTCTTGAAGGTAAAATACGCGTACACACACACACACACACATACGATTACCCCTACATCGAACTATTGTATTTCAGCATCTAAATAGGTTTTGTTTTGCATCGTGTTGTTTAGAGATTTAGATTTAATCTTATATCCTAGTATATTACCCTAAATAATGTATGTATCTTGCCTTGTGCATGAATCAATGCTTGCCTATGTTTTTCATTTTATTCTATATATAATCTATCTCCCAAAACATTAAACTGGGAACTATTCCAGGCTGAACGACGTGTTAAAGAAGCAAGTCATCAAGAAGAGATGAAACAAATAGAATTGTGCAAATTAGAAGGTGAGTATGCATTCCAAAGGGATGGTCTAGGATTTTCTACTGAGAATAACATTTGTTTTTCGAATTATTGCATTCATAATGTTTATCATTCAGTGTATACTCAACTCGGAACTCTACTGTTTCATGGGTCAGAGAAGAAAGCTAGTGATATTCTGTACTATATTTAAAATAGTCTTAAGCTGGAATTCTGAACTTGTTACCAAGGGATTGAAAGTTATGTACATTAACCATTCAAACTGTTACTTCATATGACTAAATCACTGTTATTGTCATTATTCTGGTAGTAGTCATTCTAAAAGCATTTAGTTTCTTGTTTAACCTGATTAATATTGTCCAGTTTGCAACAAGTCTTATCCTATGAAGTGTCCTAGTTAGTTAGTGCTATTAAAAGTATGCAAGGGTTTGTCACTTCCTTTTATTAGGTGATCTGAAACGAAAACTGTTCTAGATGGCATAAGAGAATGACTGTAGAGCATAAGGAGGATAACTCAGTTTTGAATAAAGTGGTCTTGATTACCGTTAGAAGTATGAGGGCAGTTATCACTTCCCGACTGCCCACATTGGAAGGGTTCTTCTAGAGGTACTTGGAAAGGAAATTGGGTTAAAAGTGATCTTAATGATCTGAGGGTGTGACCGCAGTGCTCAAGGGATAACTGCTTGAGGTTGGTCACATATCACCTTTTTGTGGGTAATTTTTGGGTTAGCTCCGTACTTGTTGAGACCTTACTGCCTGAGGTGGATATCCATGGGATAAGGCGAGGTGTGCATTTTTAGGGTCGACGTTTTCTAACCCCACCCCTCCTTGTGGGAAGGCAGCATCGCTGTTATGCTGGTTGTCTGAAGGAAACACCTGTTGTCACACCTCTGTACAGTCAGCAGTACGATTTCGCCTTTGGACCTTGGGTTTGCTGCTTTTAGTCTTACCGCTCTTCAACCGACCTGTCTGGGATGGTAGAACCTTGAGGAACGATTGTTGCAGCCAGTATAGCTCGATTGGTTCATCACGATAGGCGAGTCCGACCACCACGTTAAGATAGCAGCAACGGTCGGGAAGGAGGATAACTACTTGAAACTAGTCGCACGCAGCCTTTTGTTAGTGGTTTTAGATAAATTAGCTGTCAATTTGAGGTGTGATTTCTTCAGGGTCGGTCTTTTCCGATGCGCTCATTTGGTTGTGGAGAGGCACCACCACTTCAGGTTTTGGATATCTGATGAAAATAACTAACTTTCGTCAAACGCCAATACAGTCAACTATGTAACTTTCCCTTCCTTCTTAAAGTCTCTGATTTTAATCTTATCGTCCTCTAATCGATCTGTTTGACATGGTGGGACCTAAGGAAACAAGTGTTTCAGCTAATACAGCTTAATTGGATCATCACAATAGGCAAGCCCAATCATTTTATTGAGGCAAAATGTACGCACACATCTTTGAATAACAGACACTTCAAGCACTCTATAGAGATAGTGATGAGGAGGCACATCTATATGGAAGAGCTCAAATTATCTCTGGCGTCATCAGTCTATGAAGTTGTTGACTTACACTAAGCGGTTTCAACGGTTACATTATATTGATGTGATTTTTCGCATATAATTTAGTCAAGCAAAAACAATGTAGTCTGATTCGTCTTCCTCTTTCCCTGTTTCTACGTTACTCACGTACGAACTCATGAAACGTACATTTTATCTTTGTTTTTATTACGGAAATAAGAAGAATTCACTATAAACACAGTTGATTATAAGCAAAGATGGATGGTGGCTAGCAGTGGAACCTAGTAGGTGCGTTTCGCCTAGAGTTGATTCAGTAGCTAAGTGTATAGCGTGATGGTATTTGAAGTCGAACGGGGTCGCCGGGGTGGGCATCAACTCTGGAATACAGACACATCCAGCTGACGAGTGTCAAAATGGGACGAAACGTGCATCTCAGATTCTACTAGCCGTCACCACTTATCTCTGTTTATAATGCTTGTGATCTAAGGAAATATCGAGGCAATCCATACACAGGATGAACATATGTCAGTAAGAGAGACAGATCCATTCCAGCCCTAAACATCAATGGGAAGATTCAAGCAAACCATACAAAATTGAATAGTTTTGTTATATCTAGAGCTTTGATTCTTACTATGCCACGTACTACTAGACTACTTGAACGATCGAACCCGCGCGTCGCAAGAGAGAAGACAGAAGACTAGTAAGTAGGAATTTTATTCCCCAAACAGTGTCAAAATATTGTACAGAAATCTCATGTATTTATAGCTTTTGGCTGAGAGTAAATCATCATTTCAGACAGTCAATAGGCACATGGGGGGTCATTCTTATCCATCTAATAGGAAAGCTACACGTTGACATTTCAGAATATTCCCCTAGCAGTGATTGAATGGAATGTCTTCGGCACTTTCTGGACTTCCCGAGGCTTCCTAGAGTTTCTCCACAAGCTATCCTTACAACTTTACATTCACTTAATCATTTATTCATTTTTCTTTATTTCATTCATTTATAGAAACATTGGAAGCTGAACAATTGAATCATACAAATCTTCGTCGTGAAATGGAAACCATGTTTACTGAAGTAGAAAATATCTAATTCAGTAGTGTATACTATTAGCAGAAATATTTTTTTATTCCAATTTTCCAAAGGAAATGGATCATATATAGTGATACAAATGGATACATATACTACATAAGCATGAGACTAGTTAAATGATGCTATGACCATTTACAGCATGATATCTTTTGAATTATTCTTTTGGTTTGCTGAATGCCCCCCTTTTTTGTATCCACCCTTCCACCCCCCTCCCGCTTTTGAGAATGTGTCTTGAAAGATTTCCTCTTAGAGATACTACTGCTGTTACTATTGTTTCCTATTAGTATTCCTTCAAATCTCTGCTTTGTTTTCACCTTGTTTTTTGTGTGTATGGTCTACTGGTGAAGATTATGATTTCATAGGATGATATACTTATTATTCTCTCTTGGCAAACAGCGCCTATTATATACTTCTTCATAGACTACTATCTTGGTTTTTCTGTCTTACTTATTTTTTCTGGTTAGCGAGTTTGGTTTTCTACGGGATGGAGTCGCTAACCCTATGCCCAACCCTCCTATACCCGGGTTTGGGACCGACAGTAGCCCGCGGATGAGCTACAGGCGGAGTTTTTGGTTATATAATATCAGTATTTTTTTCTTCTATGCTAACTCCCCTTTCTATTCTCTTTTTGTTGTCTACCACCACCCTTCATATACAATCAATGCTTGCTTTGCCCAATGATTTTTTTTATTGTCTATACGTGCATTATGATTTATTTTTCTCTCACTTGTTTCCATGCTTGTTTATTCATATGGTATGTGTGAGTGTAAGTGTTTGAACTATTGCATAGTGTCACTATAGCCTTATGTAATTTGAAAATTAATTGGTATTATAGAAAACAATTTGTAACCAATGAAGTGTTGATGTTGGATTAATCGTTCTCATCACTACTAATAGTAGTAAATCAAGTACACAAACTTGTGTTCTATCCTATAACTAACTATTATATATCTGAAGTATTGTGAGTAGATGCAATCCCATGGTACCCGATGATCAACGATTGATTCATACGCCATTTGTTCCCTGGAGTCCATATGAACCGTTGGTTTGAAATCAGGGTTTTCTAACTCTCTTAGGTGAACTTTCCGTGTCCATCAACCGGGTTAAAAGCTCCTACCGGACATTGGCTTTTCGTCCTCTCAATTTCGTGAACAACAGAAATGCTGTGAGATGGCAGTGAATAGGACTTCCCTGACAGAGGCTATATACGCGTGGCCATGTGAGAGCATTTGAAGAGGGAGAGCGGACTCTTTCCACTCTCGGCCGTACCACGGCATTTGGTGGCAAAAATCCGTGCGCCGAGAGAGGTTCAACAGTGACATGTTGGATTGTAAAACGGGTTCAAACTTGTAACTATAACATTAGTTTGATTAAGTATGTTTAAATGCGAAACTTAAACTACGAATATTTAACCACTAACTTCGAAATTAGGCTTGGACTGGGTAGATATCTTTCATTAGACTGAGGATGATGTATTGACAATGAAATTATCTTAGTTCTTCAGTATGGCTAAAGGTTGGTTTTCTTAGGGGCCCACACCCGGAGCTTTTGACCTAAAGATTTGATCCACAAGGTATTATAGCATCGTGAGGAGATGCAGTCCCATGGTAGCCGGTAACCAATGATTGGATACAGACTTAGCTGTTGTCCATTTTTCTACTTGAGATGAGGTTCTTTCAATACAATTCATTATCATTGATCGTATTAAGTAAAATATTGTTGTGTACTGTAAAACATGAATTACAACCTTAAGATAAACGAAATATTCGTCTAAAGAAAGAATCAAATAGTGTACACAATTCTCCTGTATAAATTGCATTTCATAATGATAAAATGGTAGAAATCAAAACAATTTACTCTCTGGTACAAAATAAGATTTAATACTCTAGCTAACAGACTGGATATATGATCAAGGAGATGCAGTCGCATGGTAGTCGGTGACCAACAGTGGGTTTACACGCCATTTGTTCCTTCAGGATCGTGTTGCTCATATTCACCATTGGTTTGGAGTCAGGGTTTTCCAACTACCTTAGATTGGCCGTCCACTAATTGTCTTCAGTGAGTTCTTATCTCACAACAGACGTGGATGCGCACTGCTGAGGAGTCCCATAATAGAACGAAACGGTCATCCAGTGCCTCTAGGTTTTCCATGGTGGTTTAGCTTCAATTAACTCATGAACTCAACTAAGAAATGTGTTATATCTAGTTTATGCTGAAATTGAACATGACTGATTTGAAAACTATTAGATAAATTCGAAATTTTAAAGATTTGTTCTTGTTAAAGAAGGTTACAGCGAGATCGCTATTGGCTTCTACTCTGAGCCATATCTGATAACTTCTCTAGCCACTGTGTTGTACCATCTCTCGGACCCTAGCCAGGGAGTCGTGAAGGACCAGCAGAAACCAGTCGTTTTCAGCTTTCTTTCATACCACGACACCATGTCATACACTGACCACCTCTCCGCTTTTTCTAACCAGTCCCAGCGTTGGCAAATAATGCACGACGTGGAATTCTCTGGGACAATGTTAGTAGAACATGTGCAAGACACCGAAGTCGGTGTTTCAAGATGGTGACACCAATTGAATTATCGTCTCTGCGCCCGAACACAGGATGCTTGTAGTTATGTGCATACTACCTGGCTTAAGACCTCACGTTAACCACAATCAGTAGTTGGAGACGTATGAAATGACTTAGAATCGATCACAATTGCATTCATAAAATCAATCTTTAGATCATAAGTTCACTTGGCTTATGATTAACTTGAACTTGTATGTATCACATAACATACACATTACATTCCCTTTTTTTCTTTGCTCTTTTCAGATGAATTGGTCACTGAGAAAGAGAAATATAAAGCACTCAGTGAAGAATTGGATTCAACTTTTGCAGAACTTACTGGAAACTAATTATAATAATAATATAACTTTATCTTGTTACTAAGCATTTTCTATCCTTACCTGATCAGCTCCTTAAATGAATTCAATATACATATATATACTGCTTACATAATATGAGTGCTTGGCAACTATTTCTCTCATTCATTTTCTCCTTTTTATAGTTGATCAATATTCATATGTATGTTTATGATTATCCTTAAATTATTGATTGGATTGAAATGTTAACGGTTCCAAATTCTTTTTCATTTTACTTATATCAATGATCATAATGAATGATATGATGATATTGTTTCCTTACCCTACTATTCCTAGATTTTCCTTATGTTTAGAACCCTTAAATTTGTTGGGGGGGGGGTAACTTTGATGGCAAGTACATGTAATATGCAAACAAATAAATATATATACATTTTCAACTAAACTTGTATTTTTCTCAGTTCTTTTATCGTACCTGTATGTCCTGATATAGTTGAGGGTGGAGAGAGTTTACTCCCTCTTTGAAAATGCTCTCATATGACCACGTATATGTCGTCACTTCTAGTCAATTCCTAGTCACACTCACCTCGTAGTCTGGGTATTGTTTACCAAATTTAGAGGACGAAAGGCGAATATCCGATGAGAGCTTAAATTGGGTTGTAGGGCATAGAGGAGTCACCTAGAGAAGTCGAGAAACCCTGATTCCAACCAATGGTTAATGTGGTGTACAAAACTACCTCTGGTCACTGGCTACTATAGGACCGTATCTCTTGATGATGTTTCACGGCCTTTAGGACAAGACCTCTGGGCCGAAAGTTGTGGGAGTAACTGTCTAAGAAAACTACCTGCTTCGATTTGGGCAACCGGGGAATATTTCGGCCCACACACAGATTTAGTGACGCCCCAAATTAGGAGCGAACTTCGGTTATATGCTTGACGGTATTGACGATTTAGGGTTACTCTATTATTAGTGAGTGGTGTCACATTCAATTAATCCTAAAGTGCTGGTCAAGTTTTGTTGATCATGGTTATTACTCAGCGATCAATCAATTTAAATTTAATTCAGCACAAAAAAAAATCAGTCGCTTCTACAGTAGCCCAGTAGTAAACTCTAGACTGTGACGTTTGTTGGAATTCCGCTTCCAAGGTTTCCTGTTGATTACTTTCAACCACGCGGCATTCAACCTTTTGTTCAACTTCACGAAATTCTATGATTTCTTAAAGATCTAAATTTTAGACTCAACGCGAATATCTTCATAGTCAGTGTCCAAATATCAATAGCTTTGTCGAACGTCTGAACTCCGCATTCTGATTTTATTCATGAGGTGTTGTTTAAAATTGGCTGTATAATCCTATACGCCTTTATTGAGTTGTATATTAGAAAAGTTACTGTATTAAATGCTTCTTACTTCTATAAGCAAAGATGTATAGTACCTAGCTGTGGAATCTAGAACGCGCGTATCGTCCTATTTGCGACTCGTCAGCTGGATGTACCTGGATCTCAGAGTTGATGTTCTTCCATGGACTCGGACCCAGTACCGTTCGCTTCAAACGATATCACGTTATACACTTAGCTACTGAGTCCTGATAGCCACTTGCTTGTGCAACGGGGTAAATTGTAAATTCACTTGTTATTATTTGGTTGAATCTTCCCATTGATGTTTAGGACTGCAATCGATGAATGCAATAGTTTACATGCGTAACTTCAGTGTGTTCGAAATATTGCATGATCATCTTTCAAAGCTATTAACAGGCAACTCAATTAATCACAGCTTCATAGAAAAACTCCGGGAATTATCCAACACACCTTGGTTTTAATGTTTGTTGGGGTGATCCAGAAAATTTCTTGCGATAGACATGACAAGCTCAGGAAACATTAAGAAGCATTTTATCTAATCAACGTTGACTAGAAGTTTAACCAGAAACATCACGAATGTGAAAACTCACATGTAGAGTTTCTGATTGGCTGATCACTACAGTGCTACTACGCTTAGTAGTATTCTATAATTTTCAGTAAAATGCAAGAACTTCTAAAATACTGTAAACACCCCTAAAGTGCTTCTCGCGTATTTTGCTACTTTTATCTTGTGTTCAAGTCGCTGTGTAGTTCTACCTTAGGGGTTACGAGACTAGCTTAGGATCCCAGTATAGCGTTCAGTTTGCAAGACTCATCAATGTTTCACCAGATAATATCAGTATATGATGAAATGTACCTTTAATATTTAAACCAATCTTCCTTTGGATAACTAATCTATGTCATTAAGTATATCTCTTAGAAGAGGATATACATTAAGGAAATCACGAATGTGCATCACGAGGCAAGCCCTAACATGAAATCCTGAAGTGAAGAGGAAAAGTGGAAGGCCGAAAAAAACACATTATGTCAGGAATTAGAAGCAGTTATGAAAAAGATGAACGTTAACTGGAAAGAATTTCTTGGGACAGGGTTGAATGGAGAATGCTAGTGTGCAACCTATACTCCTCCACGAGGGTTAACGGGCGTAATTATGTAAGTAACTTTCAAAGTTGAAATTGTGAGTCAATTGAAGCTAGACCACCATGGAAAACCTGGAATCACTAGACGGCCGTTTCGTCCCATTATAGAACTCTTCAGCAGTGCTCATCCAAAATCCCGCACTCGCGAGATTCAAACCCAGGACATACAGTTTTCGCGCCATTGCACTTCACCGGCATCCAACGGTGTTAATGTCTAACTTCAACCAATCGACGAAATTGAGCAACCGTTCACCATTTGTCTTCAGTAATTTGTCGGTTAAGTGCTCTGTCGCGAGACTGGTAGATTCTGAGTTCGAATCTCACTCGTGAGGCGGGATCGTGTATGCGCACTGCTGAGGAGTCCTATAATATCACGAAACGGCCGTCAAGCAGTGCTTCCAGGTTTTCCATTGTGATCTAGCTTCAATTGACTCATGATTTCAACTTTGAAAAATACTGAAGTCTTCATCAAACCCCTCCTGATTATGTAAGTCACCTTGACAAAATGAAGTCAAACAAGTTTGATTCTTGTATATTTATAAGTATATATATATATATAGATGTATATATATAGAATATGATTGTATATTGATAGTTAAGTTAGGTTACTTTCCAACATACACAATTAGATAATTTGAAAAAGAGCTAAAATACAATTCAATATTATTGATTTATGCATATATATAACTAGAAATACTAGAAAATGTTTCCCTTTTTTAATATAAAGGGATAAGAAAGAATAAAAATATATATAGAAACAGAAGACAACAGAATGTAATCAATATCAAATTGAAGTATAGATAGATAGGTAGATACATAGATAGGGACGTAGATACTGATGTTAGTATCCTTGATTCAGTATCCATTTATATATTGTATATATATATATATGTTAGCAACAACTCAATGTGTTAATATACATGTGAGTACTAGTCAGATACATAGATACCGACTTTTGTATCCTTGATTCAGTATTCAACTATATTGTAATATATCTTAGAAACAAATCAATGTGTTAATATACATGTGCGTACTAATCAGATAATAATAATAATAATAGTAATAATAAAGATACAATAAAGGTACAATAATATTGATTTAAAAAATAATTATGTAATTGCTATGGAAATAATGCTGATTTATATAAGATGGCAACATGTACATTTAGTTGTCATGCATATATATATATATATATATATATATATATATATGATGATTGAATATTGATTACATATAGATCATCAATTCAATTAAGTTACCATTTAACAAACAAAAAAAGAAAGAAAGGAAAAGAAAAAAAAGAGAAAAAGAATGTTGCCGTTTTTTTAAAAAATGTTTAAATGGTATAAATTAAATATTATGTAGAACGATCTCTTTTCTTTAAAAAAACAAAGAGTGGGAGGGGGCACTAAAAAGTAATGATATCACAGTTAGAAATATAATACAGTTAGCTTACTTATTGAATTGAAAAACAAACAAAAAAATGAGAAGGGAAAAGCCAAACTATAACACTATGGTAATTATTCATCTTTATGGTATTGAGAAAGGTTTGGGCATATATATATAATAGTGCTGTCACCCCCTTTATATATAAGCTTAGTTACATTACATACATACGCACATGTGAATATATACATATACATATACACACGCACATAAATTTGGATATTTCCTTATTCTGATTGGATAATAATAATAATAATAATAATAAAGAACCTATTAAGGGGGGGGCAACTAAGATATAAAATGAGTCATTATAATAGAATTATTAAAATATATCAATCCAAATTTGGTTTATCATATTTTGAAAGATACCTCACATGGTAACAAATCAATCGATCGATCAATCAATCGATCTATCGATCGACCAATCAATCGATCAATCAATCAATAATAATAAATACAAATATATATGAAGAGATCATGTATGAACAGTAATAATAATATTATTAATAATAATTATAGTAATATTGGTTCCCTTAATAAAGTAGTATATGATCAGTAGTACATTACCTTTTCTTATATCATATTACATTCATATATGATCTACGTTTTTAATTGTCTCTGTGTGTGTGTGTGTGTGCATGTGTGAATAGTGAGTGTGCGTATGTGATTGAGTGTGTGTGTGTGTGTGCGTGTGGTTAATCCTTTATCATTTTTTTAAAAAATATTCTTAAATGGAAGACTCAAAAAAAGCAAAAAAAAATTTTGCATGTATAAACAAGAATGATTTTTTTTTCAGTTTTCTTTTTCACTCTTCAGAGGGAGAGAGAGAGAGAGAAATAAAAACAGAAAAAAAACAGAAAAAGAAAAAAAGTAAAAAAAAAGAAAGAATAATCGATTTATTACAATAGAAAAAAATTTTTTTTATTCATGATGATATATTTTTTGTATTTTTTCTTGGTTTCTTGGTTTATTGTTGCTGATAGGAATGCTTCTTTGTTTTTATTGTAAAGAAGAGAAAGTAAATTGGTGTAAACAGCCCCCCCTTTTTTTTGTTTCCATGCCCATACATTAAGGGTACCATAGAAATGTATGAATAGTCAAGTAAGGAAATATTGATTTGATTACATAATAATAAACAGATTAGATAAAATGATAAAGTTTAATATTCATTTAATCGATGCATTATATAATCTGTAATTAGATTTGCATTACATTCTGGTGTATCACATAATACATGACACATATTCTCTCTTGTATTTTGTTTTCTAGCAACAAAACCAAATATTCTAAAATAAAGGGGAAAAAAAGCAAAAAGAAAAACTTTAAATAATCAATCTGATCTACGGTTTTATGGGTGAGTATTTAGATCATTAAGTCACTTATGGGAACTTCAGTCAATCAGTAAGTCAGCTACAATGTAGGACCAGGCAAATATATGCATCGGTCCAAGTTGCCATACTTCATTAGCACAATGAGATCAACACCGAATTCATAGAAGTTGTTAATTTAGTGGTGATAATATATAAAAGAAAGATTGTATATGAAGCAATTTTAATCTCAAGGTTTAAGGGAAGATAAAGAGTGTATACACCTACGCCATTGTGATCGATTCTGAGTCATGTCACCTAGAGTCTCCAACCATTCGTTACGATAGTCACGCAAACCCCAACCAAGTAGTCTGTATCTACCAACATGGTTCAGACTAGAAGTTAGTGACTTCAAGCACTGATGTCATGTTTTGGTTTGGCCGCCCCTAACTCTCTTCCAACCATCCCCTACACTGGTCAACATTGCGCAGCGTGGTAATCGGTGTTCAGCCATACGTAACACGTGACTCAACCATCTCAGTCGATGAAGATTCATGAACTCATCAAGTGATTTACCATCATCATTCCCTAACCGGTGATCACAGCAGTTGAGAGCGATATATCTAAGGCATCTGTGGTCAAATACTGGTAACTTGCAAGTATCTTTTACTCTTATTGGCCATGTTTCGCAGCCGTAAAGTAGAACAGAGCGAACTGATGTGCAGTATACTCGTCCCTTAATTGATAGACGGATATCTCGTCTTCGCTATAGGTGACGTAAGTCGGCAAAAGCCAAACGTGGATGAGTACTATTAAGGATTTTCATAGTAAGATGAAAAGGCTCGTCCAGTGCTTCGAGGTTTTTAGTGATTGTTTGGTTATGATTGACTGATGAATTCAATTATTAAAAGTAGTATGAAATCTATTTAATATCATAAACACTTGTTAAAATATATTTGTGTATTATAGAGATTAATTTAAGGGATGAAACAAATAACTGAGTAAGGTGAAAAATTCTGGGTATCAGAAATCAGACGTAAAGGCGAGGATTGGCAAAGTAAGGGCAGCATTTCTACAATTGAAGAACATATGCAACTCAAAACAACTGTTAACTAACTTCAAAGTGAGAATCTTCAATGCGAAAAGTCAAGACAGACCAACTGTACGGAGCTGAAATGTGGAGAACTACTACATTCATCGTCAAGAAGGTACAAGAATTTATAAATAATTATCTACGCAAAATACTCAATATTCATTGGTCGAATACTATCAGCGACAGCCTATTGTAGAAGAGGACAAACCAGCTTCCAGCTGAAGAGGAAACTAGGAAGATACGTTGAAAGTGGATAGGATATACATTAAGGAAATCATCAAACTGTATCACGAGGCAAGCCCTAACTTGGAACCCTGAAGAGAAGCGGAAAATTGGAAGGCAAAAGAACACATTACTCCGGGAAATAGAAGCCGATATGAAAACGATGAATAGCAACTGGAAAGAACTGGATAAGTTTACCCAGGATAAGGTTGGATGACGGATGCTGATGGACGTCCTATGCTCCTCCACGAGGGTTAACAGGTGTAAGTAAGTAATGAAGTACAGTAAAGTGACAATTTGAAGAACTCTATAGTTAAATATCATACATATCTTTACTGTACAATTCTCTGAATATACTTTATTTTAATGATAGCTCTATATTACCTTAATTAAATATGGATCTATAGTTTTTATGGTTTATATATATCTAATCTAATTATGTATTTGTCATTTAGTTATATACTATAAATGACCTAATTATGCACATTATGATCTTGTTTATTGATATATATATGATGATCATGTGAGTGATACAATCTAATCCATTAAGCACACATTGAAGATTGAAAGAATTTGCATGGAACAATAAGGATTCATCAACTTCATTGACTATATGAAAGTATTTGACAGTGTGAATAGAAACTTCTTTGACACTATGGTGTACTTGAGAAGATTGTCAATATCATGCGGAATTCATACGATGGAATACACTGAGTGGAGGACAGCTGATAGATGGATTCCAAGTAGGGATCCGGTGTCAGACAATGTTGCTTACTCTCAACCTTTCTTTTCCTTCTGGTGGTTGAATGAAGATCTTCACATCTGAGAGAAAACATGGAATCAATTAAAAGATTTGGAATCCGCAGATGATCTGACACTTCTATCTCATACACACTAACAAATGAAAGTCAAGACAGTCAGTGTAGCAGTAGCCTCTGAAGCAGTAGGCCTCAACATACACAAGAGAAAAAGTAAGACTGTTAAAGGCAACACAGAGAACACCGACTTAATCACACTTCATGGAGAAGCTCTTGAAGTGGTGGAAAGTTTTATGTACCTGTTCAGTATCATCGATAAATAAAAAGGATCTGATGATGTAAAGGCGAGGATTGGCAAATTGTTGTCAACATTCTTACAGTTGAAGAATAGATGGAACTCAAAACAACTCTCAACAAAATATTAAAGTCACAATCTTGAATACAAACGTCAAAACAGTTAGTTCTATTATGTGAAGTTGAAAATTTGAGAACTATCACAATCATCATCAAACGAGTTCAAATATTTATAAACAGTTATCTACTTAAGATACTTAGTGTCCATTGACCGGGACACCATTAGCAACAGCTTACTGTGAGAGAGAACAAATCAGATTCTAATTAAACAAGAAATTACGAAAAGACTTTGGAAGTGAATCATAAAGTAAGCGCCAACTTAGAATCCTGAAGAAAAACGGAAAAAAAGAAATGTTAAATAACAAACTATATGGGAAATTGTAAGTTGACAAGAAAAGGATAAATAGCAACTGGAAACAGTTTGAAAAGATGACCGAAGATAAGATGGGATGGAGAATCCTGGTGAGCGGCCTATGCTCTATGTTCTATTGACCTAAAACGGACTACACATTCTTCATTTAGAGACCATATATAATCTACTGGTCATCATAACAGATACCATTTATTAAATATCATTATTATGTCATATATATGTATATAACTTACAATGAGGATTTGAAACCCATTGATCTGAGTTCAGGTGATTCCCAACTATAAAACAAACAAAAAAATTATTCTCAGAAGGTGGTTTTGTGGAGATTTTAGTAATTTTATATAGTTGAGATCATGAGTCAATTGAAGCTAGACCACCATGGAAAACCAGGAAGCACTGGATGGTGGTTTTGTCCAATTGCGCAACACTGGTCGGTCCTGGGTATAGAATCCCGCGTGGTGGGATCGTGGATGCGCGTTGTTGAGCAGCCCCACAATGGGACGAAACGGCCGTCCAGTGCTTCCAGGTTTTCTATGGTGGTCTAGCTTCAATCGACTCATAACATGTCAACTATATAAGAATATTGATTAACAATTAATTTATAAATAAATAGTCTTAGTAACCATTCTTCCTTTCTTCGTGTGTGTGTGTGTGTGTGTGTGAAATCTTGTCATCATGTGGTTTCTGTTTATGATTGATGATTGATTAGTATGTGTCATATACAAGAATGAGTAAATCAGAAGAGAGTAAGAGAGAGGGAGAGGAAAAGAGAAGAGAGTTTTACATAGAATGTAGTTCGAACTCATGTAATAAATTAATTCTTAATATAATAATAGTAATGAGTTCAATCCAGTGTGTGTGTGTGTGTGTGTGTATGAACGGTGGACTTTAAACCAATTTCAAGTTTATCAACTGAATGATGAGAATCTCATATTCTATCTTTAAAGAATAAGTCAAATTTAATTTGACAATTCAACTTTATCGTTATTTTTCCGCTTAACTGATAACTACTACTGAAATGTTCTGTTTAAGTATCCTTTGATCTAGTAATACGGTTGTTATTTTTAATGAGAATAGAATGGATTATAATGCAAAATTTCAAGTTATAGTTGTACCTATGGTTGGATAACGAATCCTCTTCAGATATATGTTGTGGTGTGAGCTACTTATATCCACATAAGTAGTATATCACGATGGTCGGGTATATAATGTATTTCAGTAAAAGATCGATAAGGAGAGAACGGGAACGGAACACAATTGATATGAAAATGTAAAAAGAATAATAATCAGAGATGATGGACTGATTTTTGCATAAGGAATGGTCGAAATTGAGATTATGGATTGATAGTTTGTAACTAGACTATTTACTGTATGGTTGTCAGATTTTAGTAAGATAAACTGTAATTTACGTGTCTAATACATTCAATTGTTTCCACCCGTGTTCTTGTTCATTACAATGTCACCATTTTGCTCTTAAAACAAGAGACCAAAGCATTCCAGAATGAGCGCAACTCATTATACGTTAATTATCTGTCAGTTGTAATAGTAAATTAGATTTTAAGATGGTGGTTTGAGGTAGTCAACAGGAAACCCTAGATCTAGGTTTCGTACTACTAGGCACTCGTCAGTAAGATGTGCCATTAATCTTGAGGGAACTGATGTGCCTTGACAGATTGAACACCATGTCACTCAGCTTAACAGTCAGAGACGTTATCACTGGGTTATTATTTATTTAAACACATAAATATTGGTACAAAGAAGGCACCAGATATATATGCGCCACACAAATCTCACTGGATTTGTGTGAGGGCTGTGAAGCACGTGGTTTTCTTAGATGACCACACCCGGAGCATTTGACCTAACGATTTGTTTCACAAGGCAGTGGAGCATCGTTAAGAGATGCAATCCCATGGTAGCCGATGACCAACGAGTGATTCATACGCCATTTGTTCCTTCAGGACACTGGAGTCCATGTGGACAATTGGTTTGAAATCAAGATTTTTCAACTCCCCTAGGTGGACTCGCCGTGTTCACTAACCCGGTCAAAGAACCAGACATTCACTTTTCATCCTCTCAATTTCGTGAACAACACCCGTTTTGCTAGAAGGCAGTGAGTAGGACTTCCCTTGCAGAGGCTATATACGCATGGCCATATGAGAGCATTTCGAGAAGGTGAGCGGAATCTCCCCACCCTCAGCCGTACCAGGGCATTTGGGGGCTCACTGGGTTATCAGGGCACGGATTAACATCTTGTATTTACAATTGACTAATCACTTGGTGGTAATCAATGTCATGTAAATTAAGCCTCCATTAGTTCAATGTTAAGTCACGTAGAATAGTAACCACACTGCAACTTGATCGATAGGATCTTATCTACACTAAAAAGAACCTGACATGTATGGCATTGATCACCACCTAGTGATTAATAATTTTGATTTTTTTTTTTTAAGAATTTCAAAAGTAACTACACATACTTACCATCTTTGACAAGGATCAATAGAACAAAATGATACAGAATGAAATGGATAATTTCGTCGAAAAAATAATTTTCTCCAATTATCTGTTACTGTTAAACCATCTTGTGATACACGAATTGTTACTTCTGTTTGTCTAACCTATTTAAAAGATATAAGCAATACTCATTATAAACTTATTCGTTAATACAATTAGAAAGGTTTTGTGTTAGGATAGATTAAAATTGATTTAATGAACTTGGATCAACCTGTTATATCGATTAAGTAAGTACCCTGTTTGATATATGAACGTTATATGACCGCCGATTAGAGAGGAGTGCATTGTCGATTCTATCCAATGATACACCAAAAGACGTATGAGCAGTTTTGAGTACTTATCAGTACTGCTATCTGCCTAGCCCAGCCAGTTAAGTCCAGAACACCAATAACAGCCTCTGCAATATGAATCATTATTCACAAACATACTGGGTTTATACACCAATCAAACAGAACACATTGTATCATAAAATAGAAAATAACATATGTACAAGATTTAGCCAAATGTGGCTGTGAATAGGGGGAACAGTAATTAATGGACCAGGGATAATCAGTTAATGAAATCATGAATCTTCATCAACTGAGATGGTTGGGCCACGTGTTACGTATGCCTGAACACCGATTACCACAACGCGCTATACTCACTAGTGTAGGGGATGGTTGGAAGAGAGCTAAGGGCGGCCAAACCAAAACGTGGCATCAGTGCTTGAAGTCACTAACTTCTAGTCTAAGCCATGTTGGCAGATGCAGACTATTTGGTTGGGGTCCGCGTGACTATCGTAACCAATGGTTGGAGAGTCTAGGCGACATGGCTCAGAATCGATCATAATGGCGCAGGTGTGTACACCATTTGTCTTCCCTTAAACCTTGAGATTGAAATTGCTTCATAACTTTTTTCCTTCCTATAATATATCCTTATATACAACCTATCTTTTATATACTACCACCACCAAATCAACTACTTCTATGAATCCGGTGTTGATCTTGTTGTGCTAACGAGGTATGGCAACTTGGACTGATGCATATATGTGCCTGGTCTTACGTCGTAGCTGACTGACTGGACTAGGGACAACTCAAGAATGGTAAATCGTATAATAATAGTCTACAGGTCAAAATAAAGCTTGTAATAAGGGGGACATGAATATGAATAGTTTAGTTACTTAACAACTATACAATAGGAAATATACATATCATATTGGTCCATAAATAGTCCTCAAAGTTACCAATCATAAATCTCCATGGGATATAACACAACCAAAGTTCAGTTGGATTCAACTGAAAAGATGATATATATATATATTCTTTTGGAGATCACAGAGAACCGAATGATTGATTTATCCTAGTTTAAAATCCTCAGTAGTGTATGTAACTGCTGCCCTGTCGTAGACTTAATCCAAGGCCTTCATATATCTTGCAGTAAGTGGTGTTTAACCCCGACAACAATAGTGGATGGTAACAGTTAAGATCTATTTATGGACTAATGCTGCATATATAATCTTATTGTATAATTGTTAGGTAGCTAAACTATGCATATTCATATCCCCCTTATTGTAAGCTTTATTTTGATCTATAGACCATTATGATACGATTTACCGCTCTTGAGTTATCCCCAGGCTATTAATTACAGTCTCCCACATTCACAGTCACTTTTGACTAGATCCTGTACAAATGTTATTTCCTATTTTATGGTTTGATATGGTCTGTCTGGTCTGTATATAAATCGAGTAGGTTTGAAATACATGATTCATATTACGAAGGCTGAGATTAGTGTTCTGGACTAAACAGACAGGGTTAGTTAGGAAGAAGGACCGATAGAGACTCTAGATTGATTGTACGGCTTTTATGCGTTGTTGGTTCAGTCGATAATTCATTGTTCTCTAATTGGTGGTATCATTACGCTATATGTTAGTAGGACACAAGGCCACAAGTTATAACAAGCGGTTTAAGTTGTACACCACTACTAAGTTGAGATTCAATGCTTTAAAAGTTCAGCCTCAGTTAATTGCTGATATACAGTGACTATTATTTAATGGGGTTGATGATGAGTGTCATATTCCCAAAATGACTGATATCAACCAATCACGAATTCCTATTAAGTATTCACAAAATCACCTGGAAAGTGGTTCCTGTTCAAAATATGTTTATAATTTGACTACAATGTTTATGGAGATCAGTTTCATTTGAGAATGCTTTTTCCATATGACATCAACCAGTTTTGCTCTCCCTCACTCTAAAATTTCACTTTCGGACCTACATACAAGACAGTTACTCCAGAAACAATAGTCATTAGACAAAGAGAGAAAAGATAAATTTAATACAGCTGAACAAAAAGTGAAGCCAGTTTAAGATAGCAGTAAGGAGATGACTAAGAAATTCGACAATACATCTTAGTTACTCATAAGTAATATAAGTAGAATACTTAAATTTTATCGGCCGGTCCTATGTATCACACATTTTGATGATAGTAGGATTGAAAAATGGGGAGTATTGAAGAACTCGTATGGTAAGTGATGTCGGTTGGGGAATTTAAAACTTAGAATGAAACAGCTAATAAATAGTGTGTCATTTTCAATATTTCTTAATGTAACCCCCATTCAATGAAGAAAGGTCACACTAAATAACATTAGATCTAATTTCAACATCAGAAGGGGGTGCCGGCTCAGTGGTCTATCAGTTAAGTGCTCTATCACGAGACTGGTAGGTCCTGGGTGCGGATCTCGCGAGGCGGGATCGTGAATGCGCACTGCTGAGGAGTCCCACAGTAGGACGAAACGGCCATCCAGTGCTTCCAGGTGATCTAGCTTCAATTGATTCATGATCTCAACTAATTTCAACAATTGTTACATTCAGAAGGAAATGCCTTCTTTGGACATGAATCATAGTTTTCTGAGCATGTTGTTTACTTATGAATGAATTGAAGCTGGATTACTGATCATTAAATTTAGATGCTTTTCTCTAAGATCTAGAGTTTCACAGACATTTGATCTTACAGTATCACATTTCATCCTCGAATAATATCGTCTATGTATAGTGTTTCCTGTTACCATTGATACTGCTATTATTTCATCTGCTTTGGCATCATCACTATGTGTTGGTGAGACATGGTAACTCAATTCGATGTATCATATTTGCCACGTTTTACGTTGTATACGACTGACGGTCCTAATAATCTCCTTTAGCTGCTAATGATTGATTTAGTTTAAAATTCCAAAGTTTATAAAAATGATGTGATCATGTTTAGACCGGAATTGAAAGGAAGATTAATATAAGTGTCGCAGCTACTTATTTCAAAACAGACCACCTATGGTTATCAATTAAGCACGCAGTACTCGAACCGAGGATCGTAAGTGTATACTGTTGAGAAGTCCAACACCAAGACGAATCGGTCGTCCAGTGCTTCCAAGTTTTCCACGGTGGTTTAGTTTAAATCAACTTACGAGTTAAACTATTAGATGACTAAGATCTCCACAAACCCCCATTCTGATTATAGAAGATCAAGCCAAAAGTGGCTGTGAGTATGAGACACTGTAGAATCCTAATTAATCATTCAAAAAAAAAACCATTGTGATTAAGATCAAAATTATAGATTGATTCATGTCACGTAGGCTGAAATTTGTGTTCTGGAGTCAACAGGCCGGCAAAACTAGTCACGAAGAAGGATCAATAGAGACTCTAGACTGCTTGTACAGGTTTATGTGTCATTGGTCCGGTCTATAAGTTACTATTCTCTAATTGTCGGTATCATTACGTTACATGTTAATAGGACACAAGGCTACAAGTTATAACAGAAGTCTAATCAAAAATTGTTTCATTTTTATACATGTGTATACTCTCATATGTGGTGTTATCTAAAGTCTTAAGTTCCGTTGAGTTTTCCATGTGGATTATGATATCTTATATGCAAACTGTTAAGCTTCTATAACGAGTATATTATACCAACTACAAATTTACTACAATTTGTATTCTAGTGTAGTATGATCTACTTATATCCATATAAGTAGTGTATGATGATGGTTAGAAATTAAGAATGTATTTTGGCAAAAGATCGATAAGGAAAGAACAGGAATAAAGCACAATCGGTACGAAAATGCATGAACAATAAGAATTAGAGAAGACGGATTGATATTTGCAGAAGAAACAGTTAAGATTGAGACAATTGCTTGTTCTTTTGTAAATTACCTATTCAATGTAGGGTTATCGAAATTTAATGAGATAGTCTGTAATATTGTGCTTAAATACTTTCGATTCTCCCAACTAGTGATCTTTTCACTACACTAGTTGTAAACATATTAGTTAACTGACATGTAGATGATTCCTTTGATGATCTATCTTTGTATAGGATGGTTCAGTCGTCAGCGCTAAAAAACAACCAGCTATCAATCATTAATGTATGATTAGTTAGTGTAATCGTCTCAATCTAATAGGAGATTAATTGAAGCTTGAATGATTCATTAGTAATATTTTAGTTTGTAATATTGATTAAAGGAGATATGAAAAAGATGAACGGCAACTGGAAAGAATTACCCAGGACAGGGTTGGATGAAGAATGCTAGTGTTCGGCCTATGTGCGGCCTCCACGAGGGGTAAGAGGTGTAAGTAAGTAAGTAAGTAAGTAAGTAAGTAAGTAAGTAAGTAAGTAAGTAAGTAAGTAAGTAAGTAAGTAAGTAAGTAAGTAAGTAAGTAAGTAAGTAAGTAAGTAAGTAAGTAAGTAAGTAAGTAAGTAAGTAAGTAAGTAAGTAAGTAAGTAAGTAAGTAAGTAAGTAAGTAAGTAAGTAAGTAAGTAAGTAAGTAAGTAAGTGATATTGATTAAAGTAGGTTTCAGACCTACATATTACAGTAGCTTCGATGAAAATGTGGTTTTCTATTTTATGGTTTGATAAGGTCTGTTTGGTTTGTATATAAGCCTATCATGTTTGAGCCTGAGATTTGTGTTCTGGATTCGACAGGTAGAGCTAGATGGGGAAAAAGGATTAATTGGATACCTAGGCAACTGATACAAGTGTATGCATCATTATTTGGTCGTATAAGTCAGCGTACCTAAATTAACAATCGTATTTTGACATAATCGTATAAAGTAATGACATAACTGGTTCTAATGAATAAAATACTAAATATTAAAAATATGATTAGAAGTTTAGAATGAATTCACTTGGTATTGTTTGTTTGAATCTTCCCATTGATGTTTAGGACTGCAACTGGTCAGTCTCTTATTGACTATATTTTTATCTTGTGCGGACTGCCTTGATATTGTCTGAAGTCACAAGTTTTATGAGCAAAGATGGATGGTGGCTAGCAGTGAAATACAGGACACGCGTTCTATTCTATTTGGGACTCGTCGGCTGGATGTACCTGCAACTCAGAGGTGGTGTTCACCCTGGGACTCGAACCCAGTACCATTCGCTAGCCACTATCCTTCTTTGCTTATAAAGTTTAGAATGAAGTTTTAATGTCAGAATTAAGGTTTACAGTTTGGGATTATCATTTCAGACTTGGGACTAGGGTTACATATAGAATCCTTTTTTTCTAATCTTCTTTAGAACCCAAGTTCACGTCGGGGAGAGGGGAGAGACTATAATGAGAACTACCAAACGAAATAGATAATTTCATTCTGTCTAAGATGAATGATCTAATGGTAAGGTTAAGCAAACACATGGTTAATGATTATCTTGACAGATATATATCATGTCATAGACTTAAGGTTGTTCATTGTATTCGCCTAAAAGCAAAAGTCGTTTCCCATCTTTTCTTTTTCAAGTTAATTGTCATAAATCATTCAGTGGCCCGAAGCAATGTCACAGATAATCAATTCCATTAAAGATTCATTTGGTGTTGTGTACTTGTATCTTCCCATTGATGTTTAGGACTGCAACTGATCAGTCTCTAATTGGCATATGTGCATACTGTGCGTATTGCCTCGATATAGCCTTAATTCACAAGCATAGATAGTTAGTGGCTAGCAGTGGAATCCAGAATGCACATTTCTTTCTATTTGGGACTCGTCAGCTGGATGCACCTGCATCTCAGAGTTGATGTTAACTCCGGGACGCGTCCTGGATTCCACTGCTAGCAACCATCCATCTTTGCTTATAAAGCTTTTGACTTCAGGCAATATCGAGGCAGTCCGCACAGTATACACATATGCCAACAAGAGACTGACCAGTTGCAGTCCTAAACATCAATAGGAAGATAAAAGTATTCAACATCAAGTGAATATAACTTTACCCATTGCACAAGCAGGTGGCTATCAGGACTCAATAGCTAAGTGGATAACGCGATTGCGTTTGAAGCGAAAGGTACTGGCTTCGAGTCACAGAAAGGACATCAGCTCTGAGATGCAGGTATTTCCAGCTGACGAGTTCCACGTAGGATGAAGCGCGCGTCCTGGATTTCACTGCTAGCCACTATCCATCTTTCAATTAAAGATTGTTTTATTATTGATAAGGAAGAGATCATAATTTATGAACGAATCAATCAAACTTAAGATAGCCAGTCTTGGATTTCGGAGAGAAATCCATTCATTCCATTCGGCTAAATAATGTTTTGACACTTTAGCTGATGTTAGTTCGTGATAAAAAACCTTAATTCTAGTTCCTCATCCAAACTTCAAACTCTAAATCTCAATCCTACTTCTTTTTATTGATTTAAAGCTCTAGTAGATGAAATTAAGAAAATATATTGGAAGTAGATAGGACATACATTAAGGAAATCACCAATGTGCATTACAGGGCACGCCGTAACTTGAAATCCGAAGGGGAAGCGGAATAGAGGAAGGCCAAAGAACACATTACGGCGGGAAGTAGAAGCAGATATGAAAAGAACGGAAAGGAACTGGAAAGGATTGCTTTGGATATAGTTGGATGGAGAATACTGGTGGGCGGTCTATGCTCCTCCACGAGGGGTAACGGACGTAAGTAAGTAATGTGAACAATGTTGAGATTCAATATTTGGATTTCATGTCTATATGACAAATTGTTTGATGAAACTATAAATCATTCATAACACAAATGGTTGAGATACATGGTATATATGGTTAGCCATTATATACTCAAATTCACCGGACGGTCAGCACAGTACAGCATAAGGTCAAATCAAGGTATAACTTCAGTCAATGTGTCAGTAACAATAACGGAAAACACGAAAAGTAACTAACTATATTAACTGATAGCCTACTTGAATATCAGGATTCCCTGTTCCTGTCATCTAGACACTTCAACAAGTTATCTGTTTCTTTATGTTTATTTTGATACATCATTATGGCTATTATTCACATAACCTATTAAGGTATGTTTCTGAAAATTGTACAACCTTTCGTTGTTCAAATTACAAAACAACCAATCAGAGACATCGTGGTGGCTTTCAGTATCCATAGGAGACAATGACCATTATTCAGATGTCAATTGACTGGACTGTTAACATCTAACTGGCGATCGCTCAATATTTATCGTCAGAATCCATCAAGAAGTAACCTTTTGAAATACTTGGTGCTCAGAATTTTACATTATACCAAACATTGATATGCTTTCTGGTATTACGAGTTCACCTAACTCGGTAAACGGAACGAAGGTTAAAGACACTGTGACATAATAGGCTATTCTAATCCGTTGTCCCTGCCCCTGCTAACACTATATCAATAAATGTTGATTAGGCGTAGAGAATGTATTCTACAAGCATCTAGAAAATACGAGGTCACTAAGCTCACAAATCAAGCTTATTTATACAATGATAGAAATGCCTTCGGAATAGCTAAAAAAACAGTCAACCAATGGCAGTTAAGGATTTCCGAGTGGGAAACGTAAGCTGACGAGTCCCAAATAGGACGAAACGCGTGTCCTGGATTCCACTGCTAGCCACTATCCATCTTTGCTTACCACGCTTGTGAATTTAGGCTATATCGAGGCAATACGCACAGTATGCGTATGTGCCAATTAGAAACTGACCAGTTACAGTCATCAATATCAATAGGAAGATTCAAACAAACAATACTAAGCGAATAAATGACATAGTAATACAAGGAATAAACTTTACCTGAGCTGCATTTTCTAAAAGTACATCAACTGCTTTACGAATTGCTGATGAACCTGTAAGATTCTCGGTGTCAATACTTCCTAAATAAATCGATGTAAATGCTGGGTAAAATGTAAAAAAAAAATACAAAGAAGTAGATTTCGAGCTCATTAAATTGAATGAAAAGGGGTCACATTGAGTGATGATCATTAAACGTGTGAAAATATCAATAAAGGATATCTGGTGAGACTACAAATTGTGGACGACCTTTGAGTGACCCTAGAATAATCTTAAGAGTGTCCACCTAGTAACTAGGACTTGGAATTATGATTTACAGTTGATGGTTAAGGTTAAGAATTAGATTTAGGGTTTTCATCACGAATTGACATCAGCTATAATGCCAAAACTCTATTTAATCGATTGCATGAGTGAACTTCGTGCCAAAATCCGAGACCTTTTATCTTATACGTGATTGGTTCGTCCATAAATTATATTCTCGTTGAATATCAGTGTCGATGATAATGATTGAGTTCTGATCAGTTGATCTGATTGTCTCATCATCACTACTTCAATTAGGGGAATCTAGAATCTGAGACATTTCATCTTAGTTACAACTCGTCAGTTGGATGTATCTGTTTCTAGGTCAGTTTTCATACTGAGACTCGAATCCCATACAATTCGCTTCAGGTCTCTAAGGAGTTATCCTTTGAGTTACTGAATGCAGATAGTCACTACTTAAACGACCAATTTTTACAGTCAGTGGTATTATCAATATGTTGTCTTTAATCGCTGTGAAAATGAAGGACAATAAGACAGTTCTTGAAAAAGAAAAAGAATCTTATTCAATACAGATACCTGAGACATATGATCAATATATTTAGCTAATCCAGACCTCAAAGTGCAATGCTGGTGAAAGTAGGGATAGATTAGAAGAAAACTAGGCAAGGAGAAATGGAGACATAAAATTCGTATATGATATAATTGACTATTGAACTGGAATGAGCTGCTAGATGCAGATTACCTAGTGGGAATCATCAAGATAACCAAGATCAGCAGTTGAAGACATTGGTCTATATCTCTGAAGGTATCTCAGAAATGAAGATGAAAGACTTCCCCTCATGGAACCCAAAAGCATTCACTTCCTGTTGTAAAGAAACCGATTATAGACCAGAGATTCATCATCCAATGTTGCTTGTGATATTCATTTTACTTTTGATATCGTTGAATTTCTACTTCTTACTTATATGTGACAAGACCTTCTTGGAATCCATGTCGAAGATAGATACTAATGATCATTATTTAAATCTGAAGTTTGTTTACATTATACAAATGTTTACTCAACTGAATGACTAAGTCGACTATAGTCAACTCAACTTAAGAATTCCCCAACAATGTCTTCAGAAATCTTTCATCCAATTCAAGAGTTATGTTTTATTACTCTTACTGGATGATCACTTACTGTTACTAAACTTAGAATGTCTTTAGAACTTTCCAGAGATTAAACGTAACCAATAATCACACTTGTTCCCTATATATTGATTAACCTTCAAATAAATCTTCTATTAACACTTTGCGCTCTTTCTTTTCTATTCACACTTCTTATGTCAGGAAATTCTATGGATCCAAGATGCTGGTACGGAGTCATTATCAAGCGATGGAGAAGATTTGTAGCTCAGGTGGATGATTTTGATGGAGTTTTGTTCTCTCAGCTGGATGGTTTGATCGTGGAGATTTCATCGTCCTTCTGAACGACATCATCAGTACTTCTACCTGACGTTTGTGGTGATGATGTCGTTCAGAGGGATGATGAAAGCTCCACCACCTAACCATCCAGCTCAGAGAACAAAACTCCATCAAAGTCCTTATCAAGTATTTGGGTAGCAGACTTATCACAGATACAAAGTAAACACTTGAGTTGACGTGAAAAAAAATCGATTGTTTTTTCGCTGTGTAAACATATTTTTCATAAAGAAGGAAATAACTAGTTGCTGTCATATCAACAGTAACAACAGATGGTCAAGATTATCAATGACATTTATGTTTTATTCTAACATGTTCGGAAGCGGGGGGGAAGGAAAGATAAGAGGAGGTTATTATTATGTAAATATAAAGGATTAGTTTATTTGTATAATTATACTACTATTACTATTATGCAATATACTTCGTATCCGTTCGCCAGACACTATCAGCAACAACCTACTGTGGGAGAGAACAAACCAGATTCCATTCAGCGGAGGAAGAAATCAGGAAGAGGCGCTGGAAGTGGAAAGGACACACATTGAGGAAATCACCCAAATGCATCACACAAGGCAAGGTCTCACATGGAATCCTGAAGGCCAAAGGAGAAGACGAAGACCAAAGAGCACATTACGCCAAGAAATAGAGACAGACATGTGAAAAATGAACAAAAGTTGGATAGAACTAGAAAGGAAGGACCAGGACAGAGTGGGTTGGATAATACTGATGGGCGGTCAAAGCGCCATTGGGAGTTACAGGCGTAAGTAAGTAAGTAATTATTATTACTCATGTAACTACTGATGATTGTTTTATTGTAGAAGATATTAGAAATAAACTGTACAATATACTATTTTTTATCTGTTAAATATTAAAATGAATATACTCACTTCTTCCTGAATCTGGAGGACCTATTGGTCCTAGTTCACCTTCATAAACAGCAGGAGGAGATCTATTCGATCTAGACTTGGAACCGCTAAATGGTTCAAGAAAACTGTCTTGTCTAGTTGAATGATGTATACTCGGTTGTGAAGGATGTGTTCCTGACTGTTGGTGTTGTTGTATTGCATTATATGATGATTCCATTTCATAAGATCCTAAGTCAGTAGGTACAGATTCTGTTGGATGTCGTACTGAAACTCCTTGGGATCTATCAGTTCTATGAAAGTCATGAGGACTTTCAGAGCCTATATATATGGAAAAAAATTACTATCAAATATAGATTTAAATAATTTAACATAACTCGAGGGCAAATTTTATCTCTGCCTGACATGATTCATGGATTCAGTTAAAACCAACGAGAACTTGACATCAGTGACCATAAATAAAGATGAACCAGACCTTTCGGAGAAAGATCTTAACTATTAGGTTCCTTATATGTGTACATGTGAACAATAACACTACGATACAACCACATCCAGTTGATGAGTCATAAACAGAAGAAAATGACGCGTTTGCTGGATTCTATTGCTGACTAAATATCAGTTATACTGAATTATCAGTATATGGTTGTGGAGATTGTTTGGAATTATGAAATGATCAATGTTAGACCACCATTGAAAACCTGAAAGCACTGGACGGCCGTTTATTCCTTAGCAGTGGAGTTCAACCTTGAGTGTTTGAGGCAGTTACCTACCGAAGTCAATGTAAGCAATATCCTGGGTTGATTGAAATTAGACATCGGAAACATTAGATACTAGATCAGTGGTCACGTGTGGGACCGAAGGTCCTGACTTCGGGTAGCGCGTATGGGGTCGTGGATGCTCATTGTTGAAGAGTCCCATACTAAAACGAAACGGTAGTCCAGTGCTTACAGGTTTTCAATGACGGTCTAACATCGGTCGGTACATGATCTCAGTTAAACTGAATTGTTTATGACGAAACAATAACTGATTTCTTCGGTATTTTACAATACTGTCAAGAAGTCATTATGAATGCAAACTTCAGTCAACCATCTTCATAATGAAATTATGTAATCAAAGATTTCATGATAATGTGCTTCACTATCAAGCTACAAGATCCTGAATATACAATGCTAATAGGCTGGAAACTACTAAGCGGAAACATCTGTTCAATGCTCACTAACATATCTGCTAATTCCGTAATTTGCGTGTCATTGATTTATTTACATAGTAGAAATCCAACTATTTTAGGGACTGAGACAAACAACATTAATAGCATTCAACGTTGATTGAGTAACATAGAGGAATTGAAGCTGGAAATGCCGGTCATTAGTCTAAACCTATTGTAGTCATCATAGGATAATTAGTTCTGGAAGCTTTTCTCTGATAGAATCATAAGTCAATAAATGAAGTGTTGGTCAGTACTTTTTGACTTACAATAGGTCCGAAGCTGATAAGCATTTAGTCTCCAAGAAATCTTAGATAGAATTTCAGACAAAGCAAATACTTGTTCATTGAATGTATTAAGAACCATCTGTTTAAAAATCTACTTTCTCACAAGGTTGTACATGATTATAGAGAATATTCATAGTTTTAATGGAAACAGGACTACTAGTGAATGGTATTGATTGTGAGAATTTCTTGAAAGATACACCTTAGTATAATTCAGTTGTAAGATCATAATTGAAATCATGAGTCAATTGAAGTTAGATCACCATGGAAAACCTGGAGGTGAGGCGAGATCGTGGATTCGTACTGCTGAGGAATCCCACAATAGAACGGAAGGGCTGTCCAGTGCTTTCAGGTTTTCTATGGTGGTCTAACTTCAATTGACTCATGATTTCAAATATGAAAATACTGAAATCTTCACAAATCATATGCTCACTAGTGACTGACTTCAAGATATATGTCCTGGAGTTCTAGTGAGAAGCATTGATCAGTGGAGTTCAACCACGTCTGGTGTGAGATGACAACTCACTGAAGATAATTGGTGAACGGCTGCTCAAACTCCATGGATTGGTTGAAGTTAGACATTAACACCGTTGGATTCCGGCTCAGTAGTCTATCGCTTAAGTGCTCTGTCGCGAGACTGATAGGTCCTGGGTTCAAATCTCGCGAGGCAGGATTGTGGACGCGCACTGCTTAGGAGTCTCACAATAGGACTTCCACTACTAGTCACTATCCATCTTTGCTTATAATACATTTGATTGTCCCCACTGGTGTTCTTGTTTACTACAGAGATACCGTAAAGCGGGGATTATATAACACCGATTTGCGTAACTTCTCAATCAACCACATAGATCATACACTCATCTAAAGATGTTCTAATGATTACAAATGACTATCATCATATACAAACTCATTATAGTTTAACTTATTCATGTATAAACATACCAGTATGATAAGATCCAACTTGTGAAGTATATTTTGGTATGATTGATGTTGGTGATATATGATCTGAATATGAATTTCTTGTTAATACAATTAATGAAGGAAGACTATTCATTGAAGTAGATAATTTAAATGGTAATTTTAATAGACATGGTAATGCTAATGATTGTATAGTATGTTCATATATTAAACTAACTAAATTAGTAAATATTGGTTCATTTGATGATCCACGTAATCGAACCGGTTCATGGATAACACTTAAAGCTGATGAATCCATTGGAATATTAGATGATGGTAATAATGTACCAGATATACCAATTGGATGATATGTAGTAGATGATGTTATAGATTGTAAACCTTCAATTAAATAATGTCGTATAGAATCGGATTCTTCACCTGTATATAGAATAAAAAATAGAGTAAGACTAGGTATACATTGATGAATTGAATGAAACAGAATGATGTTTAAACAGGTAACATTTCCAGATTGTGTAGTTTACATCATGGATTGAAGTTGAAGGAACATTCGCTGAAAGTCAGGAAGCACTGGATAGCTAGATTGATCTAGTATAGTATATTCCAATAGTGCTCAACCACGATCATTACTAACTGGTTAGCGTTTTTTTAGCGAGTTAGTTTTCTACGGGGTGGGGTTGCTAATCCCATACACAACTCTCCTCTTTTATCCGGGTTTGGGACCGACAGTAGCCCCCCCCGGAGGGGCTACAGGCATTAAACTCAAGACAATCGGTTTGGCGGTGAGTCTTTAAGCATTAGCTAAATAAGACAACATCCAATGATTTACATGTTTAATTTCAATCAATCCGTCATATTGTGCAGACATCTTTCGATGCCACTAGTGAGTGAATGTTTCACACTCGATATGGTCGATCTTCAAGTGATCACGACTTTCACCTTAAGACTTTGGGAACACACTCGCGAAACAAGGTAGTCGTGGATATAGTTTAAGCAGATGTTTTTCTCTTGGAGTTTAAATATGCCTTAATTATAAAAACAATATTGAATAATGATTACGTAGATGAGCATTTAGAGAGATTGATGGATAGTAGAGGGTACTATACAACTGTTTCGTTCTAACTCTAAACCTTATAATGATGTACATTCACTAACCTGCACACATTAACTCGAACCTATGATTTACAAGTCATTCAGTCAGCATAATAACTTAATGTTACTTGGATTCGTCCAATCCTTTGTGGGGTACTGGGTAAGTATGAACCACTTAGTAATTAAATAGATCCAAACATCTCAGTTTAACATCCGGTCACTCGCTGACCAGACTCAGATTGTAAAACTAGGTCACACAAGTCCGTATCCTCCAGGGTGCATCAGCTCCATCAAGATTACATGTAAACCCCACTAACGAGTTTCAAATAGCACGAAACCTCAATCTACACTTTCCTGTAGATTATCTTCAGCCGCCTACTATAAGAAATATATAAGAAAGATTCATTTTCTTCCTGGCTTCATCAGAATGTCTATTCCAGCAATTTAATTAAAAGGTATCTAGCGAGTCAGTCAGTCACAACGTAAGTAAATCAGTTCGAGTTGCCATACCACATTAACACTGAGATGCAGTTGTCGACTCAAATTCCATAGTGGTAGAAGTAGTAAGAGTATAAGCAGTAATCCGAAAGACTAGGGTTTGAAGATGTTATTCAAAGAGTATAATACAGTAAAATAAATTTGGAAAGAGAAAAAAATATAGAGACATGAAGAATTCAGAAGATTAGAATTTGGGGTGAACACAAAGTGTGGATGCACTTTCACCATTGCACACGATTTTGAGCCATATCATTCAAGGTCTCCAACCATCGATTGCTATCATCTCGCGAATCCCAACCAGGTAGTCTACACCTAATAACATGGCTCAGTTCACTTGTCAGTCGCTTCATAGATTTGTGCCACGTTTTGATCTGGTAGCCCCTAGCTTTCTTCCAACCTACTCCTACACCAAGAAACATTGCACGTCGGGGCAGTGGGTGGTTGGGCATACGTAACACGTGTCCCAGATATCTCAACTGATGAAGTTTCACTACTTGATCAATAGATTTGCCATCCTTACCTAGTACCCGTTTCCTAACATCTGCATTACTTATCCGGTGGTTTCAGGATATACGAGCAATCCTTCGAAGACATCTATAATCGAATACTAGTATCCTACGAATATCCTCTGCTCTTACCGGCCATATTTCACTGTCATAAAGTAGGACTGAACGAACTGCTGCACAGTAAACTCGTCCTTTGGTTCCTAGATTGATATCTCACCTACACCATAAATGACGCAAGTTGGCGAAAGCTAGACGAGCCTTCTGTAACCGTGCTGAGATTTCGTCACGCATCAGACCACAAGGGGTGATGAGACTCCCAAGATAAGTGGAGCCGTCAACATGCTCAACGACTTCACTCCATATCATTAGTTCAGGTGTCGATACAACCCAATCTAGCGAGTCCACATACCATTAAATAGAAAAAAAACCCAGATTTTTCTACCATACATGAAAAATAACATTCTGAAACACTTTGAAATCAATTCAAGTAATTCATTACAGTTTATGAAGATCTAAGGATAACGATGGACGAAGATAAAAGTAGATGTCATTTATTCAATAAATTACACCATTAGCAAACACAGAACATTACAATGGATAAAGTGGACACGCCTATTAACAAATAACATAAGTTAGCAATAAAGAGACATGATATATTGTCAATGATAACAATACACATTGAATAATCATAGACGTGAATACGATTGTAGTAACTTTCAAATTATGGATAGAGGAGAATTTCTAGAAGAATGGTATTGAAACATTTATATGAATAATATGTGTTTTCTATTGGCTATCAGGACTTAATAACTAGGTGGATAACGTGATGGAGTTTGAAGCGAACGGCACTGGGTTTGTGTCCCACGGTGAATATCATCCCAAAGATGCAGATACATCCAGCTGACTAGTCTCTGATAGGACGAAACACACATCCTAGATTACATTGCTAGTCACTATCTATTTCTGTTTATAAAGTCATATCGAGACAATCCGCAATAAGAGACTGATCCATTGAAGTCCTAGAGATCTATAGGAAGATTCAAGCAAACAATACTAAGTGGATTTACAATTCACCTCATTGCATAAGCTAGTGTGTTTGTTTCAGTTTACTATCTTGATCAAATTCTATAGATCAACTGCAAGATGTAGATCTTGAGCATTCTAAAGAGTTCCTTGAAGCAGTGAATAAAGGTCTTTTCAGTTATCATTTACAGAATAACTTAAAATAATAGATAGTAGTATTAAATATTGTAAGTAATAATTAATATTTGACTAACCATGAGTATGATGTCTGGGGACTTTAACTACTAATCCAAATGAATGTGGAAAACTTCCACTATTACGAACTACAAATGTTCCAGGAGCTTCTGATCTGATTAAGTCCATAGCTGTTAAACAATAAAATGAATATATAATTAGTGAAATATATAGAAGAGATTTATTAAGTAGTATTCTACATCAGTTAGTATCAGTAAGGTTAAAAGTAATGACTATTGTATGGCAGTTTCCCCTAGTATGAACTTACAATCATGCCGAAAACCGAAATCAGCATCTTCATATATTGTGTCGAACACCTAACCATTAATTCAGTGGGTTGGCATTCAGTGGTATACACTGCTTACTGTAATTCGTATTACACTACAATGATTATCTGATATCATTAATAGGAAAAGTCAGTATGGCAAAGTTATGCACAAAATTCTTAATTTTCAGTCCTACTCCAACTGATATCAGTAAGCGATAAATGTCACCTGCAACTTATACGAATCAGCAGTACAAAGTATATTCATTGAAGAGCAAACTACAGTTACATTTTGTACATAATAATAGGACTTCTTCTCTAAAAAGAATGTTGAATTATTAGGTTTGAAGTTGACTATCATTTCTCGTTGTGAATACGATTCATCTTGACTACATTTCCAACCCCAATCAATTCTTGATATTAATGCAATCATCATTCAGTCATTTCCGTGATCTTGATGAAGTTTTGCTCTCTGAGCTTGACGGTTTGGTCGTGAAGCTTTCATCGTCCTTCTAAACGACATTAGCAGTACAAACTTCGCCACCATTTCCGTGATCTATTCTAGTTTATTAAATAAGACAAATTAAGGTTTTACTTTATCAGATTCCTCAAGAAAAACTCTCCTTTCTAGATGTGAAAAACTAACAAGTTTACATTATGGGTATACTTATGATAACACTCTAGTTTACTTAAGTTGCAATGGAACCTTTTCTAAATTCCCTAACATTCCTTCTAATTATGCTACTATGTCTTCTTCAGTTATATTCTCTGAAACATATTTGATCCGTGAGAAGGACTTGTGCTTGAGCAATGTTATCCCTGGTCTCTTGAAGGTCCCATTTTAAACCTTCCATTTTCGAATTCTACGCCTAGCCGAAGAATAAACTTCATCTACTTATTCGTTATTAATCATAGTACATATCCCAAGTGATCAACAACTTGGATTATCATTGGTGAATACTATATCAGTATGTTGAAAGGTCAAAGTCTTTTGCAATAAATCATTATACCAAGTCATGTTGTCAGTGACTGTTTAACTAAGACGTATAAGGTAGCGAAGACATTCTCACTAGAGTTTGTTTCATAATTATAATCATTGTCTGTGTAAATCTGAAACGTTTCGAATTCACTAGTCAGCGAACGGAACAAAGACTTATGACCAGAGACCGACACGACAGCTATACTGACATGTCCCAGACTCAGATAACTAGAGTAAGAAGTCCTAGTTGGAAACGGGGAAAATATATTCCGTAAGCAACCAGAAGTACAGCAATCGTGAGGAGAAAAAATCAAACGTATAAATACAGTATAAAAGTGTCCTTGGACAGCATTACAAAATAGCACACTGAAAGATACAACGGACCAATAGCGTTTAAGATATTTTACAATTGGGAAATTCAACTCGAAGGTCAAATGAACGCTTTTGGGCGCGAAAACAAAGAAATTCAAATTTTCAAAATAAAATTACAAAAATAGGCCTTTTATCAAGTGAGTTCAGGGGATTTAACATCCCTAACAGTCTGTAAAATTGTATGTAAGTTTGTAACCATGTTCATCCTTCATAGTGTTTTTAAATCTTGACGTTTTATTATAAGCCCTCAATAATTCTTCAGGATAGCTTACTGAATCTAGAAGATCACTGATTATTGTACTTTCCTTATCCTAATTGAACTATCGATCTTGTCGTCTACTCAGTATATATTTTCGAAAGTTCTAGAATTACTAAGTCACTAAGAATACTGAAAATATCATGTCTTCTTACATAAATCGACAGCTTTTCCACAATCTGTATTCTATTCAATGTTTATCAATGGAAGATCCCTGAGAGGTTATTGTACATGGTTATTCATTCATGTTATTACTTTTTCTTTCAATATGAATGAAATAGTCAAACAAGTTTATGTTATAACTTGGATTAAGTTTTTCATTTTATACTTACCATCATTACGTGACATTTCAGGACGATACCATATATGAGTAGATGCTGATATTTTGCTTAATACAACTAAAGCATTATCCGGTATTTGCTCTGTAATCAATAACAAGAGAAGATTATTATAACACGTTAGTTTTAATCAGTAAAAGAATTTTGAAGGTCCTGAGTTCGTTCACTGGTGAGGTTGTGAGCTTCACCCCATTCCATAAGCAAGTGGATATCAAGACTAAGTGGCCAAGTGGATAATGCGATGGTGTTTGAAGCGAAAGGTACTGGGTTCGAATCTCAGAAGTGAACGTCAACTCTGAGATACATGTACATCTAGTTGACGAGTCCCAAATAGGACGAAATGCGCGTCAAACTGGATTCCACTACTAGCCATTATCCATATTTGTATACTACTGAATAGTTCCATATTGTGATTAAACAGTTGTTTAGTGCTTCCTGATATTCAATATTTGTTTAACTAAGGTCAATGCATGATGTAACCAATACCTGAGAATAACAAACTTGTATAACACTAGTGATAAGATAAGAATAGTTTAAGTTTTGTATCATTTAGATTAAGTAAGGTCTATTTCACAGTTTTTAATACCAGCTGATCTTAACTAGACAGAAAGTGAAAACTATGGAGTAACGCTGAGCTATTTCATTCTAATAATAGAACTTCTTGGGATTGCGGATCAATGATTCCAAGAGGGGACGAACCTAGAGTCTTCAGGTATCCTGGAAAACAATCAATGGTTCATATAGCCTAGCTCTAATCAATTCAAGTTAATGTGTAAATATCTCCTGATTACATTCGTGGATCATTAACCCATAAACGAAGTGGTTGGGTGTGAGAATATCAGTAAAGGGTTGTGGAGATTGTAGAATTTCAAAGAAATCATGAACCGATCGATGTTAGATCACTAGTGAAAAATTGTAAGCATTGGACTGCCGTTTCTCACTAGTATGGGACAGCAGTGAGCATAGGCTATCGTGCACGTGGGACTCGACTCAGAAATTTGGGTCTTGCATGAACGCTCAACCTCTAGACCACTATGCTGGCATCTAACAGTGTTTATGTACAACTTCAGTCAATTCATGATTTCAGTTAAAGTCAACAATCACTACAACCTTATACTGATAATTATAATGTGCTCACTAGTAGCTAGCTTCGAGAGAAAATCTCCTGAGTTCCAGTGAGAATCCGTGACCAGTGGACCTATTCCGTGTCGGATATGAGTCGGTTACCCATCGAAGACAACAGAATACAGTTGTGCTGATTAGTGGATTGATTGGAGTGAGAAATAAACACCATTGGTTGTCAGCTCAGTGGTTCAGAGGTTAAGTGTTCACGTGCGAGACTGAAGGTCCAGAGTTCGTGTCTCAAGTGCTCGATAGTGTGTGCGTACTGTTGGGGATCTCATACTATTACAAAACGTATGTCCTGTGCTTATAGGTTTTTAATAATTTGTTCATTATAATTAAAACTAATGAAATCAAAACATTATGATACCTAAACCGCTTGTAGTTGGTTGTTTTTGTCTTGGTGGTTTATGATCTTCTGGACTGCGATATATTGGAACTTGTGTAGGTCGATTTCTTTTCGTAGTTTCAGAAGTTTTACCACGCATTGTTCTATATGGTCGTCTAGGAGGTTGATCATGTGCAGAATATGAAGTACTAGGATAGCAGACACGACTACCAAAACCAGCCATAATCGCTGTATCCGATTGACTACCACCATCAATCCCTTCTGATGGACGTCGAATATATCCTTTAAATGGTGGACTAACTGGTGATCGAAGTAAACGACCAGAATGTGTTTGTACTGGACTAGTACATGAAGATCGATCAATTGTTGGTCCATCAGCTAAAATGTATAGAATAATAACTTTAGAATCCGGATTTCATGTTCACTCTAGTCTTAACAACAGGAAAGTGAATCAAAATCGAAGAATTCAAATAAGCGGAATTTTCAAGGAAAAAATTTTTTATTTGTTTTTGCTTTTGTTTTCGAATAATCACCATGTTTGGTCTTTTTTTGTGTCGAATTGTTGTCATTGACAATGAAATAAGTAGTACAATGAGTAAAGATGAAATTTTTTTTCACTGTCTCTTGTTTCAAATGAATGAAATAGAAGGAGAGAGAGAGAGAGAGGAAGAAAAGAGAGAGAAAAGAAGGAGAGAAGGAGAAATAAAGATTGAATACTCCCTTGAAAGAATCAAGTATTTGCAGAAAAAGAAGGAACACGTTTGAAATCATTCACTAACAATCATGTCATCTAGTTGTATTGTCTGTCAAAATAAGTGAATAATCAATGGTTCACTTTGATCATGATGATAAGGTTGTCTAACAAAAAAAAGGAAACATTAAAAAGTTCGGAAACATATGAAAGAAATCATGATGTTCAAAGAATGAGACTTCAATGAAAAGTTGAATGTATATCAATGATTTCGGTAGTGTTTTTTTGGAGCTAACGTTTAAGCTAAACATCTACAACAGTGTTTTATGGTAAAGGACAAATCAGCTTCCAGATGAAGAGGAAATTAGGAAAAGACGTTAGAAGTGGATGGGACATACATTAAGGAAATCAACAATGTTCATGACAAGGCAAGCCCTAAGTTGGAATCCGGAAGAGAAGCGGATAAGAGGAAGGTCAAACAACACATCACGCCGGGAAATAGAATCATATATGAAAAGGATGAATAACAACTGGAAGGAACTGGAAAGGATTGCCCTGGACATAGTTGGATGGTGAATGCTGGTGAGCGACCTATGCTCCTCGACGAGGCTTAACAAGCGTAAGTAATTAAGTCTGTATTGATGTGGAAAAAAAATTTAATAGAGCTGACGCTGTACACAATATACAAACTTTGATGACCTATTTGAATACTTTGGCTACTTGTTCCTCGCTAATATCTAGATATTTCGACAAGATATCTTAATAGTTGAGTTCATGAGTCAATTGAAGCTAGATCAATATGGAAAACCTGGAATCACTGGACGACTGTTTCGTCCTATTGTGGGACTCCTCAGCAGTGCGCATCCACGATCGCGTCAATAGGATGAAACGGCCGTTCAGTGCTTACAGGTTTTCTATGGTGGTCTAGCTTCAATTGATTCATGATCTCAACTATTAAAATTACTAAAATATCCATAAAATCCCTTCTGATATTAAACAAGTTAGTTGTTTTTCATGTTTCTTTTAACATATCGTTACATCTAATAATCACACGACTTGTTCAGGTAAGCCGCCGTTTGTTGACCGAATACCAACAACCTACTGTTAAAGAGAATAAACTAGCTTCCAAATGAAGATGAAATTAGGAAAAGTCGTTGGATGTGAATCACGAAGTAAATGCGAATTTGTAATCCTTAAGGGGAATGGGAAAGAGGAGGGCAAAAGAACACACTGCACCAAGAATTGGAATCAGATATCAAAATAATGGATAGCAACTAGCAATGATTGCACAGGATAGATTTGGATAGAGAACCCTAGTGGACAACCTATGCTCCTCCATGAGGAGTAAAAGGCGTATGCAAGCAAGTAAAATATCACCTCTCACATACATGGTTAAGTAACATAAGATTATCGTGAGAAGTGATTGAATAATTCATTTTGGTTAGCCTAACAACATAATTCATTATCCAATATGAGAATATCCTGACCACGTAGCAGCATGAAACCATCTTCATTATGAATGAAGATAATCTGGTCACTGAGAACCGAATAGCGATGGGTTTTGATAGTCAAAGTAATAACAGATGAAAGCTGTAGACACATTGAATTCATTGAATATTCATTACTGGATAATCCAATCTTATTTTTTTTAGTTAGAATGGATCACTTACCGACTGGTTGTCTCGACCATTGCTCATCATAACTTGAATGTCCCCAGAAGTGTCTGTAAAATATGAAAATAAAGTAAGTGAACTAATCGACAGAAAACGATTCAAACAAAGTGTTTCGTGGCCGAGTGGATAAAACGACGGTGTTTTAAGCGAAAGGTAGCGGGTTCGAGTCCCAGAATGAACATCAACTCTGAGATGCATGTACATCCAGTTGACGAGTCCCAAATAGGACGGAACACATTTTGTCTCATTTAGGGCTCATCAGCTGCGCATATCTGCATAAAAAATTTGGTGTTCCCCTTGAAATCCAAACCCATTATCTTTCTCTTGAAACACTCGACGAGTCACCCACCTAACTAGTAAGTCCACACAGCCACTCACATGTGTAACAGCTATAAATTTTAATTCATTTTAGAACGGTTTGGGTTATCGTTTCCTTGACGAATCCCTGAAAAAAACTGGTTATATATGTCTTCAGAATCTAGGTATTTCTTAACTATGTTAAAGTAGGCTGTCGAACCGGTAAGTGCCGAGATGACGTGTTCAAGATTCCGACCCACATACTAACGACTAAGGATGTTGATGACAGACCATGTGATGAACAGTTGTATTGACGCAAATGTAATAAACAATATTCAACATAATGGATTGTTACAAAAACGACTAATCAACAACTTTGGACGTGAAATCAGTCAGATCTCATCAATGTAGAGTACGGAAAAAAGGGACCAATGGTCCAAGTTGCCCTACCATGTTAGCATAACCAGAAAACACTGACAAAATGCATATTAAACGAGATCGAACCACTATAGTAGCAATGATAAAAAGTTCTAGCATTGAAAATATGTTCCGAAAACAGAATGGAAAGATGTGTGTATATGAAGAAAGACTAAAGATCAAGATAATTAGAAAGTTCAAGGATGGAATTCACTTTTGTTTCTGAGATTGTTCCTAAGAAAAGTCAGACATCTGTGAGCTAGGAAAAGAAATCAATCTGAAGCAGTTCTTCTCTTCTATTTAAAGTTTAAATGCAGAAAAATCATGTTATTCTTAATGTACTTGTTGATAGAGAACCAAAGCAAACACTACATTTGATTTATCAAAAGTATGAAAAATATATGCCGTGTAATAGTTGGATTTCAGCAGAGAAATATTCAGAAGGGGTTTTGTGGAGATTTCTGTATTTTCATAGTTGAAGTCATGAGTTAATTGAAGCTAGACCATCATGGAAAGCCTGGAAGCACTGGACGGCCGTTTCGTCCTATTATGAGACACCTCACCAGTGTGCATCTACGATTCCTCCTCGCGAGATTCGAACCCAGGACCTATCAGTCTCGCTCCAGTGTACTTAACTTCTAGGCCACTGAGCCGGCCGGCATCCAACGGTGTTAATGTTCACTGAAATCACAGTCAGTATTATGTACCCATGGTTTGAAGTGAGTTATTAAAATAGATATGGGATCCGTCTCCACAGTTATTTACAGTCGCATAAACGTCTGAAAAGGAAGATGATTTGGGATAATATAGAAGATTTTCTTCAATAAAGAAATGTTCTAGAATTATTCTGATTGGCTAAAACTACTCCAAGTCAGTTTGAAAGTCACTCAACTGAAGATAGCCTATGTAATTCAAGTAAATCTGATTACTTAACTATTCCTTCATGATCTCAACTATATAAAATTACTAAAATCTCCACAAAACCCCCTTCTGATAATGATCATATGCTCACTAGTGACTGGGTCTATGAGATATTTCCTGGAGTTCTGGTGAGACGCAGAAACCAGTGGAGTTCAACCACGTCTGTCGGGAGATATCAACTCACTGAAGACAATTGGTGAATGGTTGCTCAATTTCGTGAATTGGTTGAAGTTAGACATTAACACCGTTGGATGCCGGCCGGCTCAGTGGTCTATCGTTTAAGTGCTCTGGCGTGAGACTGATAGGTCCTGGGTTAGAATCTCGCGAGTGAGGGATCGTGAATGTGCACTGCTGAGGAGTTCCACAATAGGATGAATGGAACGTACAGTACTTCCAGGCTTTCCATGGTGGTCTGGTTTCAATTGACTCATGATTTCAACTATATAAAATTACTAAAATCTCCACAAAACTTCCTTCTGATATTCCTTCATATCACATATCTTTTACGTGTTTATAAATAAATTAGAACAAAATCTTGAAATATGGTTGTTGATACTTTATTGTAATGAGTTACATTGATGATGATTAGTTTGGAAGAAAGTAGTTTTATTGGTTTGTTAATTTGTGGATTGAAAACTCTGAACACATTGCCAAATGAAATCCATCTGAAGATGAAGAGTAGTGATTAATCTTAAAGTCTGTAAAGATTGGGAAAATCATACACAGATCTTGACAACTAGATCAGATAAAGCATAGATAATAATGAAGTCTGCCATTATCAATAATCATCAGGGCAACATGTAAAGTTGAGATGGTGAGGAAGACTTGTAGATCAAATGAATAGTTAGACTGAAGTTAGGTTCTTGGTGATGGCTGGTTCGATCGTGAGGTTCTCATCATCTTCCTGAACAACACCATCGGTATAATCTTCAGGTAAAAGGAAAATGCTTGAATTTCTTCACATAAAAATGACAGATTGTCCTGTTGACTTTCGTTTTGATCAGTTACGGTTGATCTTTATTGTATCATTGTCTGTATATTTATTTTCATTATCTCTCACTTTGACCTTTATTTTGATCTTTTAATTGTCTATGAATTTTCCAATCGATCGACGAACGGAGTCGTTATTGACTTGTTTATTGATTACTGATTGAGCTAACTACTAAACATGTATGAATTCACCGGTCTTCTTTATACACCCTCTGGTGGAAAGTTTAACAGTTGTCTATATGAATCGACATAAGCGGAGATATGTCATGGCATTTGACAACCACTTAGTGTTCAAGCATACGAAGATGTCGAGCGTTCTGGCTTGTAGTATTTCTCGTCATTGGAACACATCATTTTGTAAATGATGTTCGGCTTTTCTTTTCTCCACTCATGTTTTGTTTGCCTAAGATTGATTCCAAACAGTATCAGTAATCCAGTTCGCATTTCTGATATCTGATATCGATTAGTAGGTAACTGTTTCATAATCGAAATGGTTGAACCCTACTAGTCATGGTTACCGCAATAGACCTCCCGAAATTACTCTCCCCAGAAATGTTATTAGTCAGTAACAAACAAGTATATGTTTTTTATAAGTATGAGAGGATCGTAGAGATGTTTACCAGAGTAACTACAGCCTATTCAACACCAATAGATTGAAATATCACTAGCTGCTTCGGTTTGTGCGTCCAGACAGTATCCCAGCCGTCAAACAAATCAAAAGATGAAGTGTTATACATACATATTTGTAGTCTACTTGTACCAATGTTTATGCGTTTAAATAAATAAATAGGCAACAATCGTCTAATTAGCATCATGGAACCGACTATGTATTCAAGTAACTTGACTTATTGAGGTTAACATAAGTTTATATGATTTTAAATCAAAATCTACAGCAATCAAATACAAAAAAAACATGATAATAGATATATGTGTCCAAGTTTGACTCACGATCTTTTAGCGGGAGACATATAAGATAATCTTGATTTTGTATATGGTCCTTGAGTTTGATACATTGTCGGAGATCCAGAAAATGCTCTGCCTCTAGCCGGTCCACCTATAAAAGTATTCATGGAAAAGTGGTGATAGACATTGGTGACAAAACTTACTGTAATCAATGCTATAAAGATTGTGAAGCTCTCGAATTTCCATAAATTAAAAATCTGTCAGATCATAATGAATGAGCCAAGAAGCTTTAAAATTTCCAGTCAGTATTCATGGTCATTGGAGTTGTTGATCAAAGAAATGGTCATTAGTCTAATCACTCTCAAATGCCCTGGTACGGCTGATGGTTTGGTGAGTCAGCTCTCTCTTTTCGAATCCCTTCATATGGACTGGCATGTACAGCTACTTCCAGAGAAGTCCCAAATACTGACTTCTCACAGTATCACTGCTGTTAACAGAATTGAGAGGACGGAAAGCAAATGTTCGATGCTTTAAGCTGGTTGGTCGATATAGAGAATCCATCTAGAGGAGTTGGAAAACCCTCATTCCAAACCTATGGTAAACGTGGGCTCCACGATCCTAAAGAAATAAATGGCGTCCAAACCCATTGTTAATCATTGTTAACCATGGCTCTGCATCTCCCAGCATTGCTCCACTGCCTTATGGATTAGAGTTCTAGGTGAGAGGCTCGGAGTGTGGCCTCCTGAGAAAACTAGCTGCTTCGGTTTGTGCGTCCAGACAGTATCCCAGCCGTCAAACAAATCAAAAGATGAAGTGTTATACATACATATTTGTAGTCTACTTGTACCAATGTTTATGCGTTTAAATAAATAAATAGGCAACAATCGTCTAATTAGCATCATTGAACCGACTGTGTATTCAAGTAACTTGACTTATTGAGGTTAACATAAGTTTATATGATTTTAAATCAAAATCTACAGCAATCAAAGTCACATGAATGATGATGTTTACTATCGACTGTCATCAATAGGAAAATCGATCCAATCGAAGAAGTACTGAATTCTCGATTTTATCTTTGACAGGAAAGTTCACTGACATCCCCTATAAATGATGATGGTGATATTCCTGAAATTCTGATAGAACAATAATGTTGTTGTTGTTGTTGTTGTTGTTGTTGTTGTTGTTGTTGTTGTTGTTGTTGTTGTTGTTGTTGTTGTTGTTGTTGTTGTTGTTGTTGTTGTTGTTGTTGAGGTGATCCAGAATACTTCTCACAATAGACATGACAAGTTCAGGAAACATTAAGAAGCATTTTATCCAATCAGCATTCAGTAAACGTTTTGCCAGAAACATAACGAGTTTCTGATTGGCTGATTACTATACTGCTACTATGTTTAATAGTATTCCAGAATTTTCAGGAAAATCCAAAGACTCCTAAATTACTATCAAAAACCCTAGATTTTCTGTACATAAATGAACTTTTGGAGTAAAGTTCTTCTCGCATATTTTGCCGCCTTTTCTCTTGTGTTCAAGTTGTTGTGTAGTTTTTAGCTTAGCGTTACGAGACTAGCTTAAGATCCGAGTATAGCGTTCAATTAGCAAGACTTATCAGTTGTCTTATCATTCACTGAATTCATAAGTGACACAGATATTATAGATGATACTTAATAATGATAGGGAATTGAATATAGTTGAAAATGTAAGGTATATTAAGGTGTGTGCTACTTATATCGACATAAGTAGTATTTAACACTAGTCAGGAATAGAATGTTTGGTAGCAGAAGGTTGAGAAAATCAAGGAGTAAAGAACGGGAACATAAAACAGTTGGAATATAAATGCAGAAACATTGAAATCTGAGACGATTGATTGACATTCTCAAAAGGAACAGTCAAGTTGAGACAATTGATTGATACTTTACAAATGAAGTATTTACTGTATAATTCTTACATTGTACTAAGATATGAGGTTTCATTCTCTAAGCTAGATAGTTCAACCACAAATATCATATTGCCCTTTTGAACAATATCGTCAATCAAGCTAATTAACCAAGCAATGAAAAACTGGAGGTCCACAACAATAATCAAACAAGATGAATGTACCAACAAGACAAACCGTCAGTCAAAAGGTGAAAAACTCAAATAACCTACTATTTATCTAAAATCTTTGCTAAATAATATTGTCTACAAGGACTATGAGAACTTTACCATTCAATCATCCAGGTCAGAAAAAAAAGAACTTCACCAAGAACAAGAAAACGAAGTTCCAATGGAACATTTAATAACTTACTTGTTATTTGATTGGATGCTTCAACAGGAGAATGTACAACTTGTATTCTTGGCTATTAAATTCAATTAATAATAAATAAGATTTAATTAAAACAATTTCATTTATAATTTTAAGGTCATTCAGAATGGGGTTTTTGTGGAGATTTCAGTAATTTTATAGTTGAAATCATGAGTCGATTGAAGCTAGACCACCATGGAAAACTTGGACTCACTGAACGGCTATTTCGTCCTACTGTGAGACTCCTTAGTTAAACTTCGTGGATTGGTTGAATTTAAACATTTACACCGTTGGTTCCTGGTTCAGTGATCTAGTGGTTAGACACTCTTGCGCGAAACTGATAGGTTCTGGATTCGAATCTCTTGAGGCGGGGTCGTGGATGGGTACTGCTGAGGGGCCCCACAAAAGAACGAAACGGCCTTTCAGTGCTTCCAGGTTTTCCATGGTTGTCTAGCTTCAATTGACTAATGATCTCAACTTCTAAAATTACTAACCCCTTCTAATATTAATTTTTATGCAATAAAAATGTGAATGGTAATCCGCAAACGAGTTTCAGTGTCTTCCTTGAATTCCACCATGGAAAACCTGGAAGCACTGGACGGCCGTCTCGTCCTATTGTGGTGTTTCCTGGTTTTCCATGGTGGTCTACCTTCAATTGACTCATAATTTCAACTATCAAGATGATTTATTGAATAAAAACATAGTTGTTTTAATGAAACAAGGAAAATGAACAAAAATAGATTCGTTTATATTATCACTTGAATGAATTTAATTACCCAATCATTATAATAACTATATTGTATAAGGGAAAATGTTCTGGTGGGTGGCCTATGCTCTTCCATGTGAGGTAACAGTTGTAAGTGAAGGTAAGTAAAGTAGGAGAAGTGAACATATTCAGACTTAATTTTTTGGTGTTTCATTCATCTACCTTGACGTGTACTTTTTCACAATATTTTTTTGAAGATTTATAGAAACACAACCTTATTTATAGGTTTGATCATTTTGAATAGTGGTAGCTGGAGTAGTACTAATATGATGTAGGCTATAAATGTCGATAGATATAAGTAGTATGTATCAAATATGGAATATTTGGAGGAAGAAGGGTTGAGAAAATCAAAAGAGAAGAGAGCGAGAACAAAGAGTGATCAGTATAGAAACGAAGGAACAACAATTTTTGAGACATTTGATGGATATTTTAATAATTGAGATTATAAATCAATTGAAAGTAGACCAACATGGAAAACCTGGAAGCACTGGACGACTGTTTCGTCTTATTGTAGGACTCCTCAGTGGCAGTGCGCATTCACGAATTAGGGTTAAGACTGAGATTGAGTTAGTTTAAGGGTTTATAATAGGGAGTAATATTTAAGGTTATAGTTAAAAGTAGGTTATACTAACCCTAAGTCCTTAACCAACTGCGCATGTAGCCCCTCCGGGGGCTACTGCCGGTCGCAAGTTCGAATAATGGAGGAGGGTTGGGCATGGGGTTGGTGACCCCATCCCGTAGAAATCTCATTCACCCTTTTCTTCCCTTACATTTTCAGTTCCGAAATCTCCCTATCCGATTTTCTTCTTTCTATGCCTAAACGTTTTTTCTACAGACAATACTTTTTACTGTATTAATCTAATTTGACAGCTAGAATCGATGTATTTTTGTGCAAGGCTTTATGTAGCATTTGACTCACTAATTCATTACTGACTGAAACTGTTACTAACTAACGATAGAGTAATTGTCGCATTGTACACATACAGAATCAGAAGAATGATTATGAATACAGTGGTCTTGAGTGCTGTTAGAGGTAAGAAAGCAGTTATCACTTCCCGGTTGCCCACATCGTGAAAGTGTTCTTCTAGAGGTATCTGAAAAGGAAATTGGATTAGAAGTGGTCTTAATGACCTGAGAGCGTGACCGCAGTGCCCAAGGGACAACTGCATGAGGTCGGAAACACACGACGTTTTTGTGGATAGTTTTTGTGTTAGCTCTGTTCTTCAAAGGACCTTACCGCCGGAGACGGATATCCATGGGATAAGGCGAGGTGTGCATTTTTAGGGTCAGACTTTTCTAACCCCACCCCTCCTTGTGGGAAGGCAACATCGCTGTTATGCTGGTTGTCTGAAAGAAACATTTTACTGTTGTGACACCTCTGTACAGTCAGCAGTACGACTTCCCCTTCGGACCTTGGGTTTGCTGCTTTTACTTTTACCGCTCTTCAACCGACCTGTCTGGGATGATAGGACTTTGAGGGACGATTAATCCAGCCAGTATAGCTCGGTTAGTTCGTCACGATAGGCAAGCCCGACCACCACGTCAAGGTAGTAGCAACGGCCTGGTCTTACGTTGTAGCTAACTGACTGATATATAGAGAATCAACTCAAGTTAGACACATGGAACGTTGCATCCCAACTAAAAGTAAACTGCTCCCTCAAATATCTGAAGATCTTTAATGATTTGTAACACCTATTAGAAGTTCCATATCAAGACAAAACATCCATCTATCTACTATGCCCTAATTATCAATAATATCTCATCAGAAAAGCTATCTACTACTTATATCAGCTCATTACTATTTATACAAAAAGAACATACCCGTCTTGGGAATAATTCCGACTCTTCATTATGTTCTCCTAGATAGATATAGTACACAAAAGATAAGAAAGATCTTTTTTTAATATTCATATAGGTATATAATGAAGTATGAAAACTTGTGTACTGGGGTACGATATTGTATCAGGTTTTATTGTATTCAAGCGAATATACGTTTGCATGCATATCAATTGAGCAAGACAGTCATGCTTAGTAATAAACCCCTTTATCTATACACATACATACAGATAAACATACGGATTCAATCTTACCATATGGTATAATAATATCAGATAATGGACTAAAATCTCGATATGAATTATCATGTTCATATTTATGTAAAGCATGATGATATGGATAGAATGTTGATTGTAAAGAATAATCATATTCAGGAATATGACAACGTGGAGGTGGAGTCGGAGGAAGAGTTGCCTTGGATTCGAGATCCATGTATGGAAATGGCAAATGTATCGGTAAAACTGTAAAATAAGTTTTATTTTTATTATTTACATGTTTAAACTTGTATTGAGAAGTGATCAATCAATATTAACTAAAGGAAAGCAAACCAATTTCACTAGTATAGTGTACACTTTAAGTATTCTGGAACTACAACTAATCAGCGTCGACCAAGTGTAATCACATGTAATTCAAGCGACACTTGAAAATACATTGTATATCCTATGGTGAGTAATACTATACAGTAAATCATTATATAACACTTTGTATCTGTGAAGCGTAACCTTTGAAAAGGTGTGATATTTATATGCATTGGTTGTTAGTGTTTTGGTGCCGCTGAACCTGTCAGGTCAGTCCTGTCCAATTACAGGTATGGCTTGTTGGTAAATTTTAAACCTTTATAAACTTAGATCTATAGTATTTCCTCATGACCAATTATCTAACCTTTATGTTGTTCTGATTATGAAAACTTGTAAATCCATGACTTTTCCAGCTCAGTGGCCTGTCGGTTAAGGGCTTCGGCTCGAGACTGGTAGGTCCTGGGATCGAGAACGAGCACTGCTGAGGAGCCCCATAATAGAACGAAACGGCCGTCTAGTGCTTTCGAGTTTTCCATGGTGCTCCAGCTTCAATGGACTAATGATTTCAACTACGAATTGAGGTGATCAATTAACGAAGCACGGCATTACAAGTTGTATAATGAAATGCTAGCTGCCTTGAATAGGTTCAACGTTCATGATCCATCTTTATTGAATTATTAATCAGTGAATTATGTCATTTTCTTATAATTAGGACTGTTACCTATATCACTGACTATATTAATGTAATATCACCTCCTATTCTCAAGAGTTCGATTCCTAAAATTTATTTTATCCTGAAAATACAAAATGGTTATCCGTGAGTCGACGAACTTTAGGATTCTATAAAGGCAAGAAGACATAAAACATCAAGATGGCTAAAGAGTCTGTCTCCTGAAGACTTTCAGATATATAATAATAATAATAATAATAATGTTACCTGGTATAGTGGGACCAGTGAAAGCTTGACTAGATCCATCAACTACATGACCAGTACGTTGTTGTTGTCCAACAATACGTAATGGAATATCACTTGCATCTTGTAATCCCATTTCAGAATCAGAATAGATTCTTCGATTTTCCGGTTTTCTAGATAATCTTTGTTCTAAAATAGCTAATAAAGCTGAATCTTCATCTATAGGGTTGTAAAACAAAGATAAGTATCATTAAGTAAACGTTTACATTATTAATTACTTAGGCAAGTGGAGTAAAAAATCAAAGAGTGAAAGTTACATACTAGTTCGTACACGTTATTAATGTAATGTACGACTCCCCCCCCGAACTTCTGCTTCCTTGGACATTGTAATCAATATCGACAAGTGTTGTCATAATCTGATACATAATCATTGAGCTATTTATTTAGCGCCTGACCTTTAGAAAAACTAAGATATATCTTTTATAGACTTACTCACTTACTTACGTCTGTTACCCATCGTGGAAGAGCATAGACCGCCAATCAGAATTCTCCATCCAACCCTGTCCTCAAAAATCCTTTCCAGTTATTTACAGTCAACATTCATCCTTTTCATATCTGCTTCTATTTCCAGAAGAAATGTGTTCTTTGGCCTTCCTCTTTTCCGCTTCCCTTCCGGATTCCAATTTAGGGATTGCCTTATGATGCAGTTTGGTGATTTTCTCAATGTATGTCCTATCCACTTCTAACGTCTTTTCCTGATTTCCTCTTCAGCTGTAAGTTGATTTATCCTTTCCCATAAAAGGCTGTTGCTGATAGTATCCGGTCAATGAATGTTGAGTATTTTGCGCATACACCTGTTTATAAATTCTTGTACCTTCTTGACGATGGTTGCAGTGGTTCTCCACGTTTCAGCTCCATACAATAGGACTGCCTTGACGATCGCATTTAAGATTCTCACTTCGAAGTTAGTTGACAGTCGTTTTGAGTTCCATATGTTCTTCAACTGTACGAGTGCTGCCCTTGATTTGACAATACTGGCCTTTACGTCTGCATCAGGTCCTCGTTGTTGATCGATAATGCTGACCAGGCATGTGAAACTTTTCACCCCTCCCAGAGTTTCTCCATCAAGTATGATCGGCTTGGCGTCCTCCGTGTTGTATTTGAGTATCTTACTTTTACCTTTGTGTATGTTGAGGCCTACTGATGAAGAGCTTTTCGCTACACTGACTGTCTTCACCTACAATTGTTCGAGTATGTGCGATAGAAGGGCAAAGTCTTACTTGATTCAAATACAAATATTCCAATGTATGATTGGCCAATTGACTTTCATTGATCAGATTAGATTCCTATTAGTGAGATATTTATGTTTTGGCTGGCGTCTTTGGTAAGATGTCAAATTAACACATATATAGGTGTATTTTCTATTTTATTCTCTCAGCTTATATTTGTATGAGGTGGTTCAATGTAGTTGAAAAAGTCAAATACCTGTCCCCTTGATATTTATTATATACGAAACCTGTTGGATATCACCCCTAACTCAGGGTCTGGAAAGTCGGAAAAATGAAAATTTCTCAAATGCGATAAAAAAGATCTTGATGGTCTTGCATTAGTATTCCGACACCAGACAATGAATTTTAAGCTTTCTTTATGCCCTAACGCTTCAGGCTGGGCTGTCTCGCTTACTACCCTATAATTGTGTTGTATGTAGTATAAGCTTTATTGCCATGTAGAGATGAAGGTCTTATGTGAGACCGGAGGTTCGCCAGTGACATTGTGGATGGTTCGGCATTGCTTCGGCAAGTTTTGCTGATTTTTCATGTGAAACTTGGTTTGCTAGTTAACCGATTTCATTCATACTGATAGTTGTTTTTCAGTGTTTTCAAGGGCTAGTGTCATGGAGCGTTGTAAGGCATATCGCTATTGCTAACAGTAATGAGTTTGACTGTCGTGTAAGCGGAATGGGTCAACTTTGGCCTGTTCATGCTGTGCATAATTGATTTACGCGATCATTGATCGGAATAACTATACATATGATGTGAATGTGTATATGAATGGTGCGAATGGTCCACCAGAGTGTTTGGTACTTGTGTGGTTGTGCCACAGGATTGAGCTGTACTGTTCAGATTATAGTGCTGAAGCCCATATAGTGTCTGCTTCTCCTGTGGGGCGGGATTGAGCTGTACTGCTCGGGTTAAGCCTAAGCAGTGTCTGGCTCTCCTGTTAAACGGGATTGAGCTGTACAGTTTAAGTTGTCACGTGGAAATCTGGAAGGTGTCTGGTTCTTCTGAAAACCAGTGTAAGATTACCCTGGCCCACACTTACTTACTTACTTACGCCTGTTACTCCCAATGGAGCATAGGCCGCCGACCAGCTTTCTCCAACCCACTCTGTCCTGAGATTCCTTTTCTAGTTCTATCCAGTTCTTGTTCATTCTTCTCATGTCTGTCTCTATTTCTCGGTGTAATACATTCTTTGCTCTGCCTCTTCTCCTTTGACATTCAGGATTCCATGTGAGGACTTGTCTTGTGACGCAATTAGCTGATTTCCTCAAGGTGTGCCCAATCCACTTCCAGCGCTTCCTCCTGATTTCTTCCTCCACTGGAATCTGGTTTGTTCTCTCCCACAGTAACTTATTGCTGATAGTGTCTGGCCATCGGATCCGTAGTATTTTGCGTAGACAGCTGTTAATAAACACTTGTATCTTCTGGATAATGGCTTTCGTAGTTCTCCACGTCTCCGCCACATACAGTAGAACTGTCTTGACATTTGTATTGAAAATTCTAACCTTGGTGTTGGCTGACAATTGTTTTGAGCTCCAGATGTTTTTCAGTTGTAAGTATGCTGCTCTTGCTTTGCCGATCCTCGCTCTCACATCTGCATCTGATCCATCGTGTTCATCAATGATGCTGCCCAGATATGTAAAGGTTTCCACATCCTCCAAAGCTTCTCCGTCAAGTGTAATTTGATTAATGCATATTGTATTGTATCGCAGAGTCTTGCTTTTCCCTTTGTTTATATTGAGACCTACTGCTGCTGAGGCTGCTGCTACACTGGTCGTTTTCTCCTGCATTTGTTGTTGCGTTTGTGATAGAAGAGCCAGATCATCCGCGAAGTCTAAATCATCAAGCTGCATCCTGCCTATCCACAGTATCCCGTTCATTCCTCCAGATGTTGACGTCTTCATGATCCAGTCGATCACCAGGAGAAAGAGAAAGGGTGAGAGTAAGCAACCTTGCCTAACACCGGTCTTTACTTCAAACGAGTCGGCGAGTTGTCCTCCGTGGATAATTTGGCAGTTTAGTCCATCATAGGAGTTCCGTATGATATTGACTATTTTCTCAGGCATGCCGTAGTATCGAAGAAGCCTCCATAGTGTCGTCCTGTCCACGCTATCAAATGCCTTCTCGTAGTCGATGAAGTTGATGTATAAAGTGATGAATTCCATTCGATTGATTGTTCCACAATGATACGTAGAGTTGCGATTTGATCTGTGCACGATCTATCCTTACGAAATCCAGCTTGTTGATCTCGAAGTTGGGCGTCCACGTAATCCTTCATCCTGTTTAATAATACTCAGGTGAAGACTTTTCCTGGTATTCAGAGAAGAGTGATGTCCCTGTAGTTGTCGCACTTGCTGAGATCACCTTCCTTTGGTATTTTGATCAGAAGTCCTTTTTTCCAGTGTGTTGGTACTTGTTCTTCGTCCCAAATCTTTCTGAAGAGGATGTGGAGTATCTTGGCAGTTGCTGTTACATTTGCTTTCAGTGCCTCTGCCGGGATGTTGTCTTATCCCGCTGCTTTGCCACTCTTGACTTGTCTAATGGCCATGCTGATCTCTTCAACTGTTGGTACCCTGGCCCACAAGGATATATTATATAACTGTATATATATAACTGTGAAACCTGTGCTATCTAATATTATTATTGCCATATTCAATTAAATCACAATATCGTGTGATCAGTAGTATGAGATACTATCCGTGGGAGATTATTATTATTATTAATGGCTTTATTCAATATTAGATCTTCGGTAGAATATAGAATACTCAGCACAAAGTATTTCAACAAGTTCCTTTTTCTTATTTCTTGATTTATCCTGACGACACATACTGAAATCATTTGGTGGTACTGTTGGGGATGTCGAATTCCCAGAACTTACTTGATAAATGGCTTAATTTTGTAATTTTATTTTGAAAATTTGAATTTGGCCGTTTTTGCGCCAAAAGCGCTCTTTTTATCTTCACGTCATATTTCCCACTTGTAAACTATCTTAAACGTTATTGGTCCATTGTTTCTTTGAGTGTGGTATTTTATAATGATGCCCAAGGACAATTTGTTGCTGTATATATATGCTTGGGTTTTTCCCCTTATGACTCGCTTGTACTCGGCTGATTACGGAATATATATTCCCCTACTTTGCCTTGGACTTTTTCATCTAGTTAGCGGGGCCTGAGACAGCAGATTAGTTTAGCTTATCGTGTCATTGTGTCATTGGCCTTTCGTTCGTTACCGCGAAATCGACTTAGTTCAAGCACATCAGATATTGAGCAATCGTCTTATAGAGAATTCAACTAGGATTGTTGAATTGTGATTACACCACAATTACGATACATGTTTCGACTTAGTAGGAATCGAAGACAGTTCACCTTGCTAATAAGGGATCGGTAGTTAAATGTTAGCAGTTCAAGAATCGACATCTGAATAATGTGTATTCTTTTCGATGCATACTTCCAGCAACCATAATGTCTCTGATTGGACTCTTTCCTAACTTGTACAGTGAAAAGTTGTAAACGTTTCATTAACGTTTCACAAACGCACCTGAATGGGTTATGTGATTAATAGACATAATGATGCGTCGAAACGAACATGAAAAACAGATAACTTGTTGAAGTATCTAGATGACAGAAACAGATAACCCAGCTATTCAAGTAGGTCACCAGTTGCAACTCTCAACCTAGATGAGTTTCAATAGACGACTGAAGGTGAAAGTTAACATAATATTAAAAATGTTTATTTATATCCAAAAAAGATCAACTAATCTGTACTTAAAAATGAATGTGATGGGCGATGGTTTAGTGTTTACAACGATCAACTTCGATTTATTAAGTCTCAGTATCGAATCTAAAACAAGCTATTTCGGTTTTAACAATTGTATAGTATGTCATGAGTCAGTTAGTCAGTCAGCTACAACGTAGGACCAGACACACATATGCAGCGGTCCAAGTTGCCATACCTCGTTAGCACAACAAAATGAACACCGGATTCATAGAAGTAGTTAATTTAGCGGTGGTAATAAATAAAAGAGGCCCAGGAGAGAGTGGGTTGGAGAATGCTAGGCGGCGGCCTATGCTCCATTGAGAGTAACAGGCGTAAGTAAGTAAGTAAGTAAGTAATAAATAAAAGAAAGGTTGTATATAAGGACATAGTACAGATATGAAGCTATTTTAATCTCAAGGTTTAAAGGAAGATAAATAGTGTATACACCTACGCTATTGTAATCGATTCTGAGCCATGTCACACAGAGTCTCCAACCATTGGTTACGATGATCACGCAGATCCCAACTACGTAGTCTGCATCTACCAACATGGCTCAGACTAGAAGAGTATATCATGATCTTTTACATTTAAACTAAGATACACAGAACTGTATCTGATAACGAATTATCAATAATGATAATAACAATTTTTAAACTGTTGTAAATTACAAACTTACCAAGATCCGATCCGTAAGCATCACCGTAAGGATAATGACCACCACTGCCAAGTGGTACTCTCGCTGTATCGGCTAGAAATAACAGTAAAAAAAGTTATCATATGAGTTCTTGTCTACTTAAAACTAGTCAATGAAGTCAGTCATTTATGAAATGACACAAATGTTCATCAATTTGATCGATAATACTTTGAATCAGCATAGTAACAAGATAATAACAAGACGATGATTTCGTTATTAACAACGAGAAACTTGACTTAATTGACAGTTTGCATTAGTTCAATACGTGCCATCTTTCCATAGATTTGATGTTCAAAGACGAAGTAGGTCATTCTATTTCATTTCTCAATAGGAAATAGATAAGGGGAAGTGATCAATTTTCAAAAAGAATCATTTATAAAAAACAAACATGAAACGGTTAACTGATCAAACTGTGTAAGTGGGATCCACTAAGTAGAAAGAGGGATATCATGAACTGTTTTATTTTACCGAGTGCATATTGAATCCATTCCCTTCATATAAATGATTAGTTCAGAAGGAGTTTTGTGGATATTTCAGTATTTTTCAACCACGTCTGTTGTCAGATAACAACTCACTGAAGACAATTGGTGAACGGTTGCTCAAACTTCGTGGATTGGTTGAAGTTAGACATTAACACCGTTGGATGCCGACCGGTTCAGTGGTCTGTTGATTAGGCGCTATGGCGCGAGACTGGTAGGTCCTGGGTTCGAATCCTGCGAGGAGAGGTCGTGGAGCGCACTGCTGAAGAGTCCCACAATAGGACGAAACGGTCGTCCAGTGCTTCCAGGTTTTTGATGGTGGTCTAGCTTCAATTGACTCATGATTTCAACTATGAAAAAGGATTAATTATCGCACTGATGTGCAGTGAAAGGATGTAAGAGGTGCGTTATCACTGAGCGTGAATAAGCAGACATTTAGCTTGCTAACTATTAAATGTAAGATTTCCTTTCCCGCTATTTATTGCTACTTTGAATTTACTGAAAGTGTCTGCTTGTAATTGTGTGGAATAGAGTAGTTTCTATCGTTTATTCTAAATCTTTGTCTGTTATCATGAACCGAGCATCGTTTATTTCATTTATTATTTAAACACATGAATATTGGTACAAGGGGGTACCAGATATATATGCGCCACACAAATCTCATTTGATTTGTGTGAGGGCTGTGATACTGCCCAGGTGCCCGAACTGAAGCAAGTGGTTTTCTTAAAGGGACGCACACGCAGCCTTTGATCTAAAGGTCTGATCCACAAGTCAGTGGATCACCGTAAGGAGATGCACCCCCTTGGTAGCCGGTGACCAACCATTGATTCATACGCCATTTGTTCCTTCAGGATACTGGAGTCCATGTGCACCACCGGTTTGGAATCAGGATTTTCCAACTCCCCTAGGTGTACTTTTCGTGTTCACCGACTCGGTTAAAGCGTCAGACATTTGCTTTTCGTCCTCTCAATTTCATAAACAACAGTAATGTCACGAGAAGACAGTGAGTAGGACTTCCCTGACAGAGGCTATATACGCGTGGTTATGTGAGAGCATTTGGAGAGGGAGAGCGGACTCTCACCACTCTCGGCCGTACCAGGGCATTTGGTACAATCGTGCATCGAATATAACATGATCCAGTTTGTGTATGGCGCGTAAACTCTATCACTAGAATTATTATTGCAGTAAATATAGTATCTCATAGAAGAGCGAAATATGCATTAATTCCTTCGTAATAAACACAAATCATAACTAACCTGATCCAGATCGACCAATTGCATATAAAGGTCTATTACGACCTCTAAGACGTGCATCTTCACTGGTTGATATACGTTTAGTAACTCGACGATAACTTTCTAAAGGTGTTAATCCAGAAGTACCAATAGCACTACCACTAACACCAGTAGTAGGACGTCCAAATTGTTCTAATTTTGAAAGACCAGCTCGTCGATTACGAATATTTTTTAATTCTTCAAATAATTTTCGTTCTTGTTCATTCAATAAAGAACGTGTTCTTTGTAAATCAATTCTTCGTCTTTGTTCAGCTTGCCAAGATGGATCACTCAATAGATCAGTTTGTCCAATATCACCAATTATGCCTAAAATGTTCAGTGTAAAACAAGCGGAAAAGACCTAAAGGAGCTCCTCATGATCTTAGCGTGAAATTCAGAATGAGATGATGAATAATCTTGTTTTGTGTCGTGTCCGATTCCAATATGGATACACTAGGTCCCGCTAAATGGGCACAACCGGCTATTTGAGTAAGGAGATACTTCACTTTTTGTTAACCGAATCGCGATTGATAAGGCATCAGTAGAGTGCCTGGGAAATCCAAACATTTTATTCACTAATAGCATGTGTTTAAAAGGTTTCCGATATCTGATTGACTCAATATATCAATCAACTAGTAGCAAGATGAAATCAATCTGTATATACTTCATTTATCAGAAGCTTCCGTTACACCCATCAACTATCGTTTTACGATTTACTACTCTTCATTTGTTGCCAGTCTATTACTTACAATCTGCTCTAGTCACAATGACTCTTGATTTGTTTATGTATAGTTGTTATTTTTCATCTTATGATGCAATGTGGTCCAGTTTGTTTGTATATAAACAATGACTGTTTGAAATAGAGCGAAAGTAGCGGCTGTTTGTTACTCCTGGACTCAAGTCAGGGGCATAGAAAGAAGCTTGTGAATAGTGGACCAATAGGGACCGTGCTGACAGTTCAGGGTTATAAGTGTTGGTAGAGGGTGTAATTAATAAAATCTGGAACTCAAAATAATTATCAACGTTCACCAAGATAAGAATTTTCAATACCAATGTCAAGACAGTTCTACTGTATAGGACGAAAAACCTGGAGAACTACGAAAACCATCATCCAGAAGATACAAGTGTTTATTAACAGTTGTCTACGCAAAATATTTCGGATCCGTTGGCCAGACACTATCAGCAACATTCTACTGTAGGAGAGAACAAACCAGATTCCATCCAGCGAAGGAAGAAATCAGGAAGAGGCGCTGGAAGTGGACAGGACACATATTGAGGAAATCACCAAACTGCATCATAAGGCAAGCACTCACATGAAATCCTCAGTGTCATAGGAGAAGAGGAAGACCAAAGAACACAATACGCCGGGAAATGGAGACAGATATGTGAAGAATGAACAAAAATTGGATAGAACGAGGAAAATAAGTTGCAGGACAGAGTTGGTTGGAGAATGATGGTCGAAGGCCTATGCTCCATTGGAGGTACATGCGTAAGTAAGTAAGTGTGTAATTGATCAAGTCAGAGATATTAGGCTTTAAATCTCAAGCCTAACTACTTGTTAATGCATGATATTTCAATAAAATGGCGGTTTCCGGAGAATGATATGAGAAAGAATAAGATATTTAAAAACAACATTGAAACTTCCAACCATATCAGCTCAGCTCACGACAACGAATATCGAGGTGACAAAATTCAGAAATTCGTAATTTACTGACACAATGATGAAATAATTCCATAATCTGATTAGAATGAAAGTTACATTCTCCAAACGCGCATCAAATGGTATCCATGTAAGCTCATATTAAAGTAAACTGTGATCAAGCATGTGCAATACACATCTCAAAGTTACTTATAATATCCATAAGTTCAAAAATGTTCAAGTGCACTTTTTAAACACTATCAATCATGGTACTTACCGAGATTTGATGGACCAACTAATCTATTTTGTGACGAAAGATAAGATGGTTCCATAGCAGATGGAATCTGAAAATTCTGTAACAACGGTTGTTGTTGCTGGGGAAACATTGACGGTCTTAAATTTGAAAGAAGTAAATTGGAATTTGGCATTAAATTAGGATTATGAAATAATGTTGGAGGTGGAGCACCAGTTAATGATGGTGGTGCAGTCAGTGATTCTCCAGTGTTATAAGCAATCGACGTAGGAAGTAAAGCTCGTGCAAGATTATTGAAAGCAGATGATGTAGATAGACCAGAAAGACTAAGTGTTGTTAAGGGTTGCATAGCTGGAGCAGCCTATTCATAGAAATAAAATGAACATTTGTTAAAGCACTTTAAATGAAATTTCATACTGAACCTATAAATTATGTAGGAGGAATCATTTAATCTACGGTTAATTCATTCAATCAATATTATCCATGTTCACGTCCAACGATTAAATTGTAAACGTGACTGATCCCACGTCAGTATTTAAAATGACCAAGGCTAATTATGCGTGCAACTACTCTGTTGAGATGCTAACAAAAATGATCTTATGACTTAGAAACTTAAACTTCTATCTGTATCCTTTTGATAGTCATAAATAATGTTGGTATTCAAGGTCCTTCAATGGAAGTCCTTCTTAGCGCAGATCGAATGCTATCGATGAAGTTGCAATATGACCACTAGTTTAGATGACTCAACATTGCGTGCACTATGTTGAAATAAGATGGTGGTTTGAGGTGATCAACGGGGATTACTGGACCCGGCTTTAATGCTATTTGGCAACTGTCAGCAACCAAAAACCATCTCATCTCAACATAGTATACGCAATGTCGAGCCACCTAGACTAGTCGCCACATTGCAACTTGATCGATAGCATTTGGTATTCACTAAGAAGGACTTGACACACATAACATTGATCACCACCCAGTAATCAATCAATTTTGATTACATCTCAGTCCTACAGGAGGTCGATCGCGAACCGGATAACTCAGTGATAACGTCTCTGACTGTGAAGCTGGGTGACACAGAATCAAATGCATCAGGGAGCACCAGTTTCTTCAATATTACAGATACACCTTGCTATCGAGTGCCAAGTTGTATGAAACCCGGATTAAGGGTTTCCTGTTGACCTTCTCCAACCACCAACTTACTAACCTATCAGGAAACACGTCCTAGTTACATAATAATTAACAATACAGTAGAATAACGGTCATAATATACAAAATAATTCCTTACAGGTTCTACTTACAACCTTCAAGGAACTTGAAGTTAAGATTTAGAGTTGGGAGTGAGAGTGAGAGGACATTATGTAACTATACAAACACCCTTGCTTATGTATTGAATCATATCAATAGTACATATTTCTTGTGATCTAGCTTAAGTACTAGGTCATACTCACTGTTTAATTGTATAATAGGCACTTTATTCGGTCAATTCAAGCATTTTAGTAACTGTATATGTCACCAGATTTTACTCCGTTAATCATACTATACAAGCTATCTAGCACTAAACTTTTAATTTCGCACTAAAATATATAAGGTGCTAACTTATTCATGATTAACCTATCCAAAGTTATCAATGTAGCATACTTTTAAAGTGTTGTTGGTCACCAGCTACCATGGGACTGCATCTGCTAACGTTAATCCATTGTCTTGTGGATTAAAGTTCTAGGTCAATAGCTCGGAGAATGGCCTCCTGAGAAAACCACCTGCTTCGTTGTGTGCTTCCAGACAGTATCTCAGTCGTCACACGAATTGAATGATGATGAATTACCCCCACATATTTGTAGCCCCCTTATGTCAATGTTTATGGGTTTATAATAACAAAAATAAGTGATATAGTATGAATATTAAAGATTATCTGTGACTTTGGTGACTATCCTATTTACATAATCCACATGATATTTACTACTACCCTAATGAGATTGTAGAATATACAGTGATGAGGCTGGAATGAAAGTTTCCTACGTTTACATCATTGTGCTCTGGAAGACAACATAATCGTAGATACTATGGGCTAGTGGATGCGCACTACTGAGGAGTCCCGCAATGGGACGAAACCACCTTCCAGTCCCTCCAGGTTTTCCGAGGCGGTCCAGCTACAATTTACTCTTAATTTCAACTATAAAATTACCAAAATCTCCACAAAACCCTTTATGATAATAATAATAAGAATATGTTCATTAATGACTGGATTGAAGAGGCATTTCCTGGAATTCTAGAGAGAAGCAATGACCAGTGGAGTTCCATCAAGTCTGTTGTGAGATAGTAACTCACTGAACACAATGGTGGATGTGTGGTTCAATTTCGTGGATTGGTTGAAGATAGACATTGACACCGTCGGATACCGTTTAAGCGCTCGCACACGAGACTGATGGGTCCTGGGTTCGAATCTCATGTGGCAGGATTGTGGATGTGCACTGTTGAGGAGTCTCACGAGTTAACGAAACAGTCTTTCAGTACTTTCAGATTTTCCATGGTTGTCTAGCTTCAATTGGCTAACGAATTCAACTACAAAAGTATAGAATGAATCCAAAGGATTCACAGAATTTACAAGTTCTTCATGGCTATCTTCCACCATTCAGAATAATTTCCATTAAGTTGTAAGTAACAAAAGTCTTGTTTAGGTTATCAAATATCATAGCAGTATTAGTGAGAAAAAATCAATGAGGTAAGAAGAACTGAGTAGGGAACTATGTCAATTAGTGATAGAATAAATGATAAAAAAGAGATTCTGAAGGGCTTATGCTATTGGTCAAATCTTGGCTTGACTTTCGGTAACTTAACTCTTTGATTTCTATAATCCGATAAATGCCATTGCACATTTTTGTTTATCTAAAACAAACGTTTCACGATCTCAATGACGTTTTCTCTAGAATCTTTACTACATCAAGCTGTATACCTTCATAACTAATCATCTCTGTAAAGTTATCGTATGTCAATTTCCATGATAATTTTGATGATGTAATATTGTGGTATGGGTTACTGATATCCACATAAGTAGTATATGATGATGGTCGGGCATTGAATGTATTGCAGTAGAAGATCGATAAGGAGAGAACGGGGACGGCATGCAATTGGTACAAAAATGCATGAACAATTATAATCGGAGACTATGGACGGAATTAGTTAAGATTGAGACAGTTAATTGTTATTTTCATAGTTGAAATCATGAGTCAATTAGAAGCTAGACCACCATTGAAAACCTGGAAGCACTGGACGGCCGTTTCGTCCTATTATAGGACTCCTCAGAAGTGCGCATCCATTTTGCAAATTGACTGTCCACTACATGGTTCTCATATTTTAATGAGATATTCTGTAATGTTATGCTAAACTACGATTGTCCCCATCCGTGTTCTCATTCACTGCAATATTACCTAAACTGTTAGGAGCTTACGAGAACGTATTGAGATGAAATGAATCCATACTATCCTACATCAGTCTTTCGTTTTGCTCTTTTCAAATGAATCAAGACATTTGTATGTATAAGAAAAAAATCCACTTAGATATCAATACTGAATATGTAACTTACCTGTGGATACATAGTCACACTAGGAATGATTGATGGTTGTGTCTGAGGTATCTGTAATTGTTGTTGTTGTTGCTGTTGCTGCTGTTGTTGTTGTAAAATTATACGTTGTAAACTTGCAACCAATGAATTAGGAATATTAGCTGATGGACGTTGAACAGTTGCATAAAGACTACTGTCTATGGGTTGACCTTAAGTATGGAAAATATATGTATATATATATTATAGACAAATAGGTATTTATATATATATACTCTAAGTAATAAATATATAATCTTAATTGATCGGTACTAAATACGACGAATTCCTGGAAGTAGCTTTCCTGTTAGTCGATACTGTCCACCACTATGAAGATGATTAGTTCTTCCAAGTGTTGTAGATATACATGTTCTAATGACTTGGAACTAATATGAAACTAATATCCTAAGCTTCTTATCAACTGCTTTTGACTAATTGCCATCAATCAAAACACCATAATATAGTAAATGGATAAGACTCATGAAAATATTGTAGATTTGTAAGCAGAGATGATGGTGATTAGTAGTAGATTCCAAGATGTGAGTTTCGTCCTATTTGGGATTTGTCAGCTGGATCTACTGGAATCCCAAAGCAATCCTCACAATATGTACATATGTCAATAAGAGACTAATCTATTGCAGACCTAAACATTAATGGGAAGATTCTAATAAACAATACGAAATGAATCATAGACTAATAATTAAACAGCATAACAATCATCACTCTCACTAAATGATCCTTCCATATCAGAGATATGACCTATTTCTAGGTTTGTTAATTTTCGATCTCAGCCAGACACTATCAGCAACAACCTACTGTGAGAGAGAACAAACCAGATTCCAGTGGAGGAAGAAATCAGGAAGAAGCGCTGGAAGTGGATTGTGCACATATTGAGGAAATCACTCAACTGCGTCACAAAGCAAGTCCTCACATGGAGTCCTGAAGGCGAAAGGAAAAGAGGAAGACCAAAGAACACATTACACCGAAAAATAGAGACAGACATCAGAAGAATGAACAAAAATTGGATAGAATTAGAAAGGAAATCACAGGACAGAGTGGGTTGGAGAATGCTGGTAGGCGGGCGTAAGTAAGTAAGTAGGTAATTTCAAATCTCAACTGGAGGAAACCAAGAGTTTTAAGATCATATTTATTCTCTAAGTCAATTAACGTTAATTTCTTATCAATGCAATAAGTCGATTTGTTTCGATCATAGATGTGTATTGAGCAGAATTGAAATCAGCTTACAGAATAAATCATAAGTGAGCTTGAATGACCCTAGTTCAAATGATAAAGTTGATGCTTTAGAATATAAACCTGGGAGAAGAGTGTTTCATCTAACTACAACCATCAGTTTCCTCAACATTGTAGTTACAACTTCCTGATAAAAGAAGACTAGCGCGAAACTTCGATCATCACGGAGTTTCGTTTCGATTACCTTCAACTAAAATTTTCCAGACAAGATACTAAATGTTCATTGACCGGATGCCATCTGGAAGAATCTACTGTGGAAGAGAACGAACCAGCTTCCAGCTGAGGAAGAAATTAGGAAAAGATACTGCAGGTGGATAGAACAAATATTGTGTAAATCATCAAACTGAATAGCTAGGCAAGCTCCAACTCCGAAGCATCAAGACAAAAAAAGAATAGATAAACCGAATGAAACATTTTGAAAGCAATTAAAGACAAACATCAAAAAAAGGGATGAGAACAAATAGAAAGGAGAGTTGAGGACAAAGTAGTCTGAAGAAACTGCCAGTCTGTGTCCTCTACCCTATGAAAAGGAACAAACTATAAATTGTCTTAAATCGATTTGTGATGGAATCCATCAACAATACCAATGGTCTTTGCACACACACACAGACACCCCTATTATCACTAATAAACAAAAAAATGCATTAATCATGAGGTTTTAAGTTTACGTAATCTTTATTACCAGCTGCATAATCCAAAGTCTGTTGTTGTTGTTGCTGGGGATGAAGTTGTTGACGTTGTTGTTGTTGTAAAAGTTGCTGATGCTGTTGAAGTAATTGTTGATATAAATTTTGTAATTGTACCAAATTTGATCGATTCATGGAGATTTGCCCACTTGATGATTGATTAGGAGTAAGTTGAGTTTGTTGTTGTGATTGTTGTTGATATTGTGGTGTATCAGTGTACATGTTTGTTGTATAATTGTTATTTTGTGGAACTTTTACTCGTGGACTTAGCAATGCTTGTTGATATAAAGGTATTTGATTTGTTGTATATGAAGCATCTTGTACATTTATCCATTGACTGGAACTTTGTGGACTACGTCCACGTATTACTGGATGACTTAATGGATCAGATGTTTGTCGCATTAAGTTCAATCGATTAGGTTTGGATGAATCTGTGAAATAAAGATGATAAACAAAAATTCATAGTGAATTTCAATTATTGACACAATGAGAAAACTTCAATGATTGTCATATGTGCATACTGTGCGTATTGCCTCGATATAGCCTAAATTCATAAGTATGGTAAGCAAAGATGGATAGTGGATAGCAGTGGAATCCAGTTTGACGCGCTTTTCGTCCTATTTGGGACTCGTCATCTGGATGTACCTGCATCTCAAAGTTAATGTTCACTTTGGGACTCGAACCCAGTATCGTTCGCTTCAAACGCCATCGCGTTATCCACTCGGCCACTGAGTCCTGATAGCCACTTGCTTGTGCAATGGGTTGAAGTTGAAATTTACTTAGTACTGTTTGTTTGGATCTTCCCATCGATGTTTTTACAGAATTGTTACATAATTGACCAGTAACATTCTCGGAAACTGATCTAAGTCTCCAGGTTCACATTAAGACTAGTTGAATATTATCAAAGGCTGTGTAAATCCAGATAAATATATTGATATGTGAAGGAGCATGAGCATGATTGGTTGTTTGCTTAGTCGGACTAGTAGACAATTTGACAGGTTCTAGATGAGTTATATATTCAGTGCTTTCAGGTTTTCCATGATGGTCTAGCTTCTAATTGACTCATGATTTTGCAACTTTAAATTAATTAACTGTTATCCATATGTGCATAGATTACCAGTCTTCATGAACTCTTATAAAGATATACGTAGTTTTCTATGGATTCTCTTATATTACTCATGTTTACCATTAGGTATTTAGAGTTAGGATAAAAACCTTAGGGTTAGGAATTAAGGATAGTGTTCATTTGTATGTTATGTGTGACCTAAGTCAGTCAGTCAGCTACAACGTAAGACCAGGCACATATATGAATCGGTCCAAGTTAGCACAACAAGACGAATACCGAATTCATAATAGTAGTTAATTTAGTGGTGGTAATATATTAAGAAAGGTTATATATAAGGATATAGTACAGAAAGGCAGGCAAAAATGAAGTCATTTTAATCTCATAGTTTAAGGGAAGATAAAAAGTGTATACACCTACGCCATTATGATCGATTCTCAGCCATGTCACACAGAGTCTCCATTATGTACAATCTAGATATTTTAAACATCATATAAGCTATAGAAAGATCTTCTTCAGTCGATTCATATCAACATTATACCATTACCATTCAACATTTCATCTATACTTTAGATTAACCCATGTGACTTTATTGAATCTCATGTAAATAATGTGATTGTACCATCGGAATCACTGTAAAGTCGGTGAGTCTATAAGTTATAGATAACTATTGAGCAACACTAAAATGATCTTGAAATGTCCACCGCACTATGGATAAATAAGGGTTATGTACTACTTTGATGACTAAGGGATTCGGATTTACAGTCGAACGTCAGAGTTAGGGATAAGATCTAATGTTTACATCATGAACTAACATCAACTGTAATGCCAAAATGATATTTAGCCAAATGAGTGAGTGAATTTTGCGCCGAAATCCAAGACCTTCTATCATAAATCTGATTGGTTCATCTAGAAAATAATAGTCTCACTTTAAAATCTTTCAACTTCGTTTACTCTCTTACCATATACATGTACTGAGGTACATGCTTTTCATGTGTCATGTAATCGTTTAGTGAGTGTAGACCAACAGTTACCCATGATAAATCCATAAGTTACAATATTTTTATGGCGATCGTGAAAATTTACTCGCAATAGATATAACAGTTCAGGAAACATTAAGAAGAATTTTGTTCAATCAGCCATTGACTAGAACATTAGCTAGAAACATCATGAAAGTAGAAAGTCACATGTAGAGTTTCTGAATAACTGTTTATCATACTGCTACTATGTTTGGTAGCATTCTAGAATTTACAGGAAAACCCAAGGACTTCTAAAATACTATGAAAACCCTAGATTTTCTGTACATAAATCAACCTTTGGAGTAAAGTGCTTCTTGCATATTTTGCCGCCTTTTCTCTCGTGTTCAAGTCGCTGTGTAGATTTAGCTTGGGGGTTACGAGAATAGCTTAGGATCCGAGTATAGCGTTCAATCAACAAGACTTATCAAATATATTATTTTCATAGTTGAAATCATGAGTCATTTGGAGATAGGCAATTATGGCAAACCTGGAAGCATTGGACGGCTGCTTCGTTCTATTATGGGACTTCTAAGCAGTGCGCATCCAACGTCTGTTGTGAGATAACAACTCACTGAAGACAATTAGTGAATGGTTTCTCAAATTTCCTGGATTGGTTGAAGTTAGACATTAACACCGTTGGATGCCAGTTTAGTGGTTTAGTGGTTAAGCGCTCGCGCGCATACCTCATAGGTCTTGAATTCGAATCTCGCGAGGCGGGATCGTGCATGCGCACTGCCACTGAGGAGTCCTATGCTAGGACGAAATGGCCTTCCAGTGCTTCCTGGTTTTCCATAGTGGTCTAGCTTCAATTTAGTCATCATTTCAAATATTAAAATACTGAAATCCGCACAAAACCTTTTCTAAATATATAATTGTAAATCATCTTCATTATAACATATCCTGGATTTCATATTGTAGCTCTCAATTGTTGTTTGCCAGAATTTTCTCTCTATGTATCATTATAATGATCTAATTATCTCTTATATCTGATCTTATGTTTCTATTGTACCTAACCATCTATTACCTTGTCTGTCGATCAAAGACTCAAATCAAGTCATTTTACTTAGTAACTATGATCAAGGGTATGAATAAGAAACTTAACTGTTTTCTTTTTTTCCATTTCATCAATTTTAAAAGAACATAGATGTAAAAAGATGATAATCAAACCTGGAGGGACAAAAGGTGGGGAACAATGAAAGAGGAAAGTAGGAGGGGGGGGCATAAAATGAGAAACTCTTTCATCATCTTAATTCTATTTATCTTCTGTATGATTAGAGATAAATAAACAACTAAGTTATGTAATCATCATTGGAAAAAATAAAAAAAAAATTGAAAAAAATAAAAAAACAAACTTAATTAAATTTCTTTGATTTAAGTAAATATTCCCACTTTGGTTAATTTTTGATAAGGGAATGAACGAAAACGAGTGGAAATTATGATTAAATCCGTTTTTTTGACTTTTTCTAGCTTTTGAACGTCATTTTATGGCAACTTCAATAGAAGATTGAGTGATCTATCGGTTAAGTGCTCTGACTCAAGACTGGTAGGTCCTAGGTTCGAATGTTCCAAGGCAGGATCGTGAATAATCACTACCACTGAGGAGTCCCATAATAAGATGAAACGGCCGTCCAGTGCTTTCAGGTTTCCTATGGTGGTCTAGCTTCAATTGACTCATGATTTCAACCATGAAGAATGTAAACAATGATAATGGAAAAGTAATGGATCTTTACTGATGAGATTTTGCAGGTCTACAACACACACATAGGGCTTGTGTGGTATGGGCTACTTATATTGACATGAGTAGTGAGTGAGGAGTAGAATATCTGGCAGCAAAAGATTGAGAAGAGAAGAACAGAAAAAGAAATCGATTGGTATGCAAATCTAGGAACATACATAATCGATTGTCCTCACCTGTATTCTCATTCACTACAATTGTTTCATATTGGGGATACCATTGAAAACAAAATAGTGCTGGATAGCGTTTTCATAGAATGTCGTTTGTTATACAGTTAGGATTAGGGCAAACTCGTACATTACTGAATTCTAGTTCAGTGATATAGAGGTTAAGCATTCGAGCACAAGATCGAAGTTTCCAGGTGGTGTGGATGTGAATCCTCCACTGCTGAAGAGTCCTATACAAGAACGGAACTTCTATTCTGTTCTTTCTGGTCTTCATAGATTGTCTAGCTAAGATAAACTATGAAAATTCTACAATCTCTCCAATCTCCACTATACTATTTCAACATAAAACTGAGTCCAAACAGTGATAATGAAAAATTTGTAGAATAACAATGATAAGATCAATGGTTGAAAAGTTTATGTTCAGATTGGTCTAACTTATAGTTAGTATTTTTCGTAGACTTATCTCATTTGGGTTGGTATTGAAAAACAGATAGTACTGTGCAGTTGTTTTGACCCCATATGAAACTCTTCAGCAGTGCGACCCATGGCTCCACAAGGGACTAAACTTAAGACATTCTGGCTTCACTGTGGAAGCTATCGGCAGGAACTCAGGATATTAGTCTGACAAATGTATTCAACTCTGTACATAATATTGATTTCTGTCATGTCAGGAATCGAGTCAAGTATTCCAATTTTTTTCACGCCCCATGTTAACTTGAAAATACTTGTTTGTCATCCAATGGTCCACATTTTCAACTTCAGTCAATTTACATTCGACTATCATCCATTGTCGCCACTGGTAGATTTATCGGCCTGGACACAACTGAACTTCATCTGTCAAAGTTTATCGAGTATTTTTAATTCCATAATCTTTATCTATTCCAGCTTTACTAGACGACAAGAAGTACTAGATACGTCGTTGATCTTTTGATTATGGCATAAAGGTTACGTTGATAGTATTTTCAATTACACATGTACTTGGACTTAAAAAACTATTTATGGGATACTTCAGGCGGATGAATAAAGTAGATTGGACAACAAAAATGACTTGGTTTCTCAATGCTGTTTAATGAGAAAGAGAATAAGGTAAGTGAGATCTGTATGAAAGTTGATTACTGCCAAAATTTAGATCTTTTTACTGAAAATACATTTGAAGGTTTCAAAGTTCTAATCTCCATTACAAAAAAAACAAGCTTGAACTGAGCAAAAATAATCAATGATATCACAAGACAGATATCACTTGAAGAATTTATAGACAGAGGGGATTGTGGATGAGCACTGCTGAACAGTCCTGTGCTAGAATCAAACAGCCATTCAGTGCTTCCAGGTTTTCAATGATGGTCAAGCTTAGGTTGACTCATGAATAAAACTGTTAAAATTACTACGATCTCTGCAAATCCCCATTATCATAAAAAAGAGTCAGTTTGAGACTTGTGTTTTAGCTGCC